AATTCCAGTTTAAGAATTGAAATTTATCAAATGAAACAAATGTATGCCTAAAAATGGTTAAACATCTTAAATGATTGCAGGAAAATGACTGTAAGAAAAGTTCTGAAATACATTTGAAGCCAGGGGTGGGCAAACTACGGCCTGGGGGACAGTATCCGATCCGGAAAGGGAATTACTATACTATACTATACTATACTATACTATACTATACTATACTATACTATACTATACTATACTATACTATACTATACTATACTATACTATACTATACTATACTATACTATACTATACTATACTATACTATTATACTATACTATACTATACTATACTATACTATACTATACTATACTATACTATACTATACTATACTATACTATACTATACTATACTATACTTTACTNATCTTGTTTGTACTCAACCCTTTAACTATATTGCAAGTCGATAATCATTAACATTTTCATTTTTATAGTATATTTCTAATAGTTAAGCATTTTATGATCGTATCGAAATTTATCGCACTAATTTCCAATTATTGGCAAAACTTTTTTGAATTCATTCCAAAATCTATCATATTTTGCGTGCCTAATGTAGTTTTTCTGGTATTAAGACAGTTTTTGAGTCATGCTATCTTGTTTGTTATTGTTTGAGACAGTTTATCATTATTTTTCGTGCTAGTTTTGCACTTCTTTCTATTGCTAGCTTATTGAGACGTGTGAGATTGTATGTTATTTTATTGGCTTTAGAAATGTAGACCTGGAATTTCGAATAACCGCAATATTATTTCATTGATTATTTTATCAACTACTAATTCGGTTTTATTTTGCTGCCTTGTTTCTGTAAATTAATATCAGAAAGAAGTAGCAAATGTGTCTTGGCAACTAAATGTTCTTTTAAGGGGAACCCATTACAATCATCTGCCAATCAGAGATAAAAGGGTAGAGGTCAGTCGCCTAGGGTGCTATTTAGAGAACAAAAGGGCTCTGTTAGAATTTGTACAATAAAGAATGCAGTCCACAAGCCAGCTTGAATCTTTATACATGATCAAAAAGGAATGTTGCAAACAGGCCGAAAAAATACAAATTCCTTGATGATGAAATAGATAAATACATTTCGTTTGCGGTGTTGGCAAGTAAATGCTTGATTCGTATAAAAGCCATATCCCGCTGAGCGCTGAAATCAAATAAACGCGGGATTCAAATAAATGCCGGATTCAAGTAGATACCGGATTCAAATAAATGCCGGATTCAAATAAATGCCGGATTCAAGTTGATACCGGATTCAAATAAATGCCGGATTCAAATAAACGCCGAAAATACTACACAATTCAAGAATTCGATTAAAACTCGAGTTCTTAAAACCAAATTTGCATGTAGTCTCGTTTTTGTGATCGTTTACTTTTGTAAAAACTAACTTCAAATAACCTATATACAATAACAATAACTAAAAACGCCGGGTTCAGATACCTAAGCGCCGGATTCTTATCAACGCTTGATTCGATATAATGAATCGGGCCTTGTCAAAAACTTCGTTTTTTGCATAATGCTGCAATTTTTATTCTGATAAATTTAGTTAAGTCCTAACTGTATCGCCATTACTTTAAACTTGCAAGTTAAAAAAGCTAAAAAATTTTGACAAACTTACCCGAACTCAGCAAATCCAATTTTTTATTGATAAACAAAATTACTCGTCATTAATCAGTTTTAATATCTTTGTTTTCTCCCTTCATTCAAAAAATCGTTAGAGACAACTTGGTTGTTATCAATCTATGTCACTTCAATCTTGAATTATATTATAATATCTTTTTAGGTATTGTTCCAGCGTTAAGTTTTATCAGTTGAGGTACCAAAATGTATTTCTAGCTGATAAGATGCACGGAAATTTTGCTATTTCCAAACATGTTTCGTTTTTAAACAATCTTTTCATGGTACAGAATTTCAAAATGGCGTTTGCTTATTCAATTCCATTTTATATTCAGTTTTCCACACAGTATTTTGAAGAATTATCGTTATTTGCAGAAGTTGTGATTTTCCATTTTTTCAATCTTCAACCCCAAATCATAGAATGATAATTTCGTCTGCCCCCAAAAAAACTAGAAGCATTATTTTACTTCTTTTATGTCGTTAATTTTTTTATTTAATTACAAGTCTTTGATGTTTACAAAAGTTTTTTCTAATTACTCAAACCTTTAAGAAACCGGAAACAAAACAACGTAGTCTTTGTAAACATTTTTTTGCAATCACAAACTGGAAAATGCATCAAATTTCTCGATTTTAGTGTTCCTTATTCAATTCAAAATCGTGATTACGCCCATTGTGCAGTTTTGTGTAATTTCATTAAAATTACTATTCGATCCGCAATTTTTATGGGTGTTTAAATTTAATAATGACTTTAATAAAGGCATTATAACGCATGCCAGAGCTTCTCGTCTAACACACTTCACAGCATAAAACCTCAAATAGGCGATAAAAATCCCAAGCTAGGAAATAGATATATATATATATTTGAAACCTCCTGAAGAGTGAGTTACTCACGAAACAGGCTTGTAGAGATAAACCATGTAGTTTTACTTTTTTCAACTATATGATATATCACGCTCTACGTGCTAACGTATTGAGCACTGTGCTACGGAAGTATCAAAAGACAAATTTCTATATATACATATATATGTATTCAAAAGCTCTAGACTGTAATGTTTTTTAAATATTTAAATAGATGATCAGTAAAAAAACAACTTAATTAACGTTTCGCAATATGCTTCTTCAGAATATTTGAAGAATGATTCAGAATATATATAGAATGCTTCTTTATTGTTTCTTCAAGTTGTTTTTTTACTGATCATCTATATATATACACCCAGTTGCGGATCGAAATAGGCCAATCAAAAAGAGGTCATTACATTGTTCAAGGGTGAAAAATATGTCTTAAAATGATTAAGTATGTCTTACAATATCTGCTCTTTTAAACTTACGCTTCTCTCTTTTTATTCCCTTTTTCCATTTGATGCTACCAACACGGTGAGTAAATTTCATCATGGCCTTTAAATGTTCAAGTGTGAAGATTTATAAATTCTAATTTAAAGTATAACGTGTTAGGTATTTTTCCGATTAACCAATTTCACTTTGTTGAATAGAATCTATTTTTGAGTTCTAGGAAGCACTCAGTATGTAGGCCATTTAAACATAAAATATACATTTTGTCAAACTATGAGAGCATCAATGTTTTTACATAAAAATTACAACTAAAATTTACTTACAAAATTATCAAGCGTTAAATGCTAAATTGCCTTTTTCTTTATGTTAAAATAAAAATTCGGGGAGAAAAACAATTTTGCAACTCACTGCAGCATACGTATAATTTTAATCTAAGGAACATGTTTGCTTCCATCATGAATTTTTTTCATCGTATCCTAAAATTGTTAATATATTTTTAATAGAATTTTAAGATGGAAATATACATAGGTTTTTATTAAACAACTTAGACTATGTTATCGAAATGATAAAGGAAAATATTTGTTAACTGGGAAATATGGGCCGGGGGATTTTGGATTTTTTGCTGGTAAAATAATCTTATGTTTGATAAAATCACCTGATGATGTAAAAAAACAATGTTCTCTTTGTGTACATCTTCATTAGTGTATATTTTCCTCTACAAGCATCCCTGGCACCTTCACGGGCTTGTAGTGCTTAATAAGTAACAAGGTGGGGGGGCTCTTGCGCAAAATGGGATTAGAATTATTCTCATCTAGCTTTTTACAAGTAGCTCCATAATTTTCTGCTTGAGACTATTAGTAAGAACATTAAAAAGTACTAAAGTAGATAGAAATTCTCCAATGAATGGCTTTGTGAAATGCTCTTCGGGAACGGACGATCCAGATAAAACTAAACTATTTGAGATGGTATCAATATCGAGACAACTCTGACGGAAAGACCTCATTGCACGCCCTCAATTTTGGAACCAGAGATAACTTTTCTATTTTACGTTACTATATTATACTTTATTATACTATACTTTACTATACTATACTATAATATGCTATACTATACTATACTATGCTATACTATACCATACCATACTCTACTATACTATACTATACTATACTATACTATGCTATACTATACTATACTTTACTATACTATACTATACTATACTATATTATACTATACTCTACTATCCTATACTATGCTATGCTATACTATACTATAATATACTATACTATACTATGCTATACTATACTATACTATACTATACTATACTATACTATACTATACTATACTATACTATACTATACTATACTATACTATACTTACTATACTATACTATACTATACTATACTATACTATACTATACTATACTATACTATACTATACTATACTATACTATACTATACTATACTATACTATACTATATTATACTATACTATACTATACTATACTATACTATACTATACTATACTATACTATACTATACTATACTATACTATACTATACTATACTATACTTACTATACTATACTATACTATACTTAACTATACTATACTATACTTTACTATACTAAACTATACTATATTATACTATATTATACTATACTATACTATACTATACTATACTATACTATACTATATACTATGCTATACTATACTATACTATACTATACTATACTATACTATACTATACTATACTATACTATACTATACTATACTATACTATACTATACTATACTATACTATACTATACTATACTATATCAATTTGAAGAACATACGCCCGTTGTGAAATTAACTCTGATAAAAATTTTTTTAATCATAATTTACAAAACAGAAGCCTATCATGATGCAGTTTCTATGATGCTCGTGAACGCTGGACCTGCTTAGTGCTCGGGAGGGTAACTCAGCCTAATTTTGGACGGGAACGTGCCATTTTGGTTGAATAATTTGGTCGCATAATTCCGCACATGCCTGTTAAAATGTGACCCTTAATTCTGCAAACATTTTGAAAGCTATACTCATAATTCCGCGAAGCAAATAACAATTTTAAAGCACAACAAAATAATGAAACAAATTTTGCATAACCTTTGCCCCAAAATCTCAATATTACTCAATATTACTCAATATTACTCAATATTACTCAATATTACTCAATATTTCTCAATATTACTCAATATTACACATATTTCATATTCTCATCTTTAACTGGACATCCATTTTGTTTATGCTAAATCTCCCTTCTAAAAAACTTTGTAATATTTTCCCAAAATGGTTTCCATAATTCTGCATGTTTTGTCGAATGGTACCCATAGTTCCGCACATATTTCAAAAACTGATACCGAAAATTCTGCACTTTTCAGAAAAAAGGTACTCTTAAAAAAATGGCACGTCCCTGTATTTTCAAACATGTTAAGGTACCCCACTCCCCCCGGGGCTACGTGTAAAAAATGGACCAAGTTACGGTATTGCTCTTCCGAAACCTTTCCATCAAAAGGTTTTCGAGGTTCATGGTGCAATCCAATCACTAAAGCCTGGTTTCCATATAACTTTTATGCGTCACCGACGAGTTAAAGTTGGAAATACCCCAACAAGGTCACCGGCGATGCTCTGCGAAATTTGAATCTAGTTCAACTTTCTTTTTTGTTCTCGGCGCGTTGAGGTATTCTTCGTTGAGGTTGAGGTGAGGTGTATATTTGCTAAATTTCTATCGACTTTTCGCCGCAAAAATTCCATCGATCGGAGTCCGTCGAGCAGTTTGCTATTGTGACCTTTTCTTTATTTACACACTTACAACTTTTCTCTGTCGACGATGTCGGCCACTCTGTGTGAACACATGACCCACACTAGCCAATCAAAACCATTTTCAATCACCATGCAAACTCTTTACGCGCGATTTGTTGTCAAGAAAGGCTTTTTAGGAGGCCTGTCTTCAGAGACACGTAAAAGTGCCTCGAACAAATTTACTTGTCGTTTTACATGTCGTCGTTGCGTCAGCGACACGTAAAAGTTATATGGATCATTGGCGATACTGAAGAAAATCATTGGCGGTGCATCGCCGACGTGTCGCCGAGCGGAGCCCCGAATCCGTTGGTACTACACATGAAAGCGAGGCGACAACATAGCACAGAAGTTCACAGAAGTGAAATAAGGCAAAGTACCTCTGGAACGGAAAACCAGCAAATTAAACTTGAAATACACAAAGTTGTTTTAAAAAAATTATTCTGTTGATATGAGCTAGTGGTGTTATGTAATGATCAATCCTTTTTTGTGAGGAACTGTTAAGATAATGGCGGGTATAAAGTACTTTTGTGGTAAGAATAGCAACAGCTCACCAAGTTTTGTCGTCTGGAACAGCACAACAAATAAATTTGGAGAATGTTTTGAATGGCTATGTTTGACAGGCATCAGTCACTTAATTTTTGCCATAGCTTGTGCGTTTGTTTTTGGCAAAGTAAGTAGAAAGAGAGTAGGGCCGACACGAAGTGTATCGAAGTTTGGTATGTTCAGAGTAGCTGTCTGCTATATGAATGCTGTGTGTGCACTTATTGGTGTTATTGTAGCATACACTTTTGAAAAACACCACCCGCCTGCTTTTGTTCTCTCCAAGACAATAACCTTCTCAACATGGATCCTGTGTGCCCTACTTTATCATAAGTTGACTGGTGTGAGAAAGCTGGCTGCTATAACTTCAAAGCAAATACTTTTACCATTTCTTGTTGTTATGGTTTCATCAAGTATTCAGCTTTATGACCACCTGGAAAACAATGTGATAGTATTCAAGAAACTTGCCAATTGGTACACTGTGTCTTATTTGACACTGAATGTTATTTTCTTGCTGATAATAGCAATTAGCTTGTGTTTGACGAGAAAAAGTAATTTGACATTAGGAAGGCAGCTATCATCACTTATATCAGCTGGTATTCAGCTACCCCCAGACTTTGATTATAACAGAGAAGGATATTGTGAAGAGGATGCTTTGTTGGGTACACACATTGACTCTTATGATTCATGTAATGTTGGTAGCCCTTCTCTTGTACGAGAAAGTGTTCTAGGTTGGGCAGAAGAAGAGGCCAATTTTTTTTCAAAAATTTTTTTCCATTGGGTTAATCCTCTGATGAAAAAAGGAGACAAGACTCTTCTAAGGAGAGCAGATGACCTTTTTCTTCTTCCATTAAGCCTCGACACCAAAATGATCAAAGAAATATTCCAGAGTGTACTGAGAGTCCAAAAGTTGAGTTCTCATTCATCCTTCAAAAGAAATTTAAAAAATAGGAATACAAAAAGATGTGCTACGCTGGAACATGGAAACGAAATCATCAGAAAGCCACTGAATGTGTCATTGACAAAAGCTCTTTTCAAAGCTTTTGGAATGTTCTATATGACAGTTGGAATACTGAAGTTTTTGGCAGACTGTTTATCATTTGTTGGACCAATATTATTGAATAACCTGGTATCATTTATCGAAAAAAAGCAGGTAGGTTATTTGCAGGGGTCTATCCGGCCATAATTCTTTTGAAAGAATTAATCATTTTGCAAGTTTCTATCAAAACATTTTATTTCTGTGATGTTAGTGCTTTACCAAATGCCCACCGAGGTAAAATTCCAATCAAGTATGCATCTGATAGAACTGAGTAGTAGGAGGGCCATGTACATTTCTGTAGCAACTAGATTATCCTGAATTTTTCTATCAGATAACCTTTAAGATCATACACATGTAAAGCTGGTTCCAAATGTTTGATATGTGATTAATTCCCAGTAGTCCAGTAAATACACTGAAAGCATTATTAGCATATGTTTTTTTAGGAGCCTGTGGAACATGGATATTACTATGCATTTGGTTTGATGAGCTCAACTTTAGTTGGTGCCCTATTAAATGCTCAATTCACTTATCAGGTATATATGTGTTATTTCAATTCATGCTTCTAAACCTTGAAATTTTCCTTGATATTATAAAGAAGTAACCCAGTTGTGATCTAAAACCATTAAGATATTTAGAATGATAAATTTATACTCTCATTCACAACTACAGTGAGTGAACTGCTTCTTCATTGCTTGTACTGGTGGGGTGCCCTGCTCCATAAATTGCTGTTACAGGAATTTCCATAGTCATTTTTGTCATAATCACTGTAGATCAGGGGTTTAGGACTGTAAGAAAACAAGAGAGACCCTTTGGAAAAACTGACTCTAGCAAGGAATAGATAAAGTTCTTTTTGAAATAAACAGGGTATTGTCCCCAGAGCTCCCTTGCTCCACACTCTTACTTCATCAATCTAGGGAGGGAAGTATCTGTAACCAACTTATGTTTTATATTCACATTTGTTGAAGAATATAAATCTACCAGAATTATCAAAGGTTCTACTCCCGCTCATACTCAAGGGGCAATCTTATATCCATTGTCACACAACATGGCAATTCATGATTCACTAATGATATCATAGACAAATGCTTTCAGGCTCCATGCAGAGATTGTGTTGATTTGCTTTTGTTACAAAGAAAAATTTTTATGCCAAATATGATGCTATTTAAACAGGGAATTTGCATAAACATCAAGCAACTTGCCTGACCGAAATTTTTAAAGTTTAAAGCATAAATGTAAAGGTCACTGAGCATTTTAAGACATTTTGCCAAATGAATGGAAGTTAAGGTTCCGTGAATGTGAAAACGCACGGCCAGCAAATTCCAAACCTTCGAATTTTGTAAATACCATCAATGCCAACGGAAAGAGCTTGCAAAACTGAGTAGGAAATAATCAGTTAATGTGATCTAACCAAGCAAAAAGGTGTTGAAACTTTTGGCACAAGCACACAAAGAAGAGAGCTACTCTAACAATGGCAAAACAACAATTGAACAGCTATGAAAGAAAACATCAATTTATTAATAGTAACTTTTTTACAAAAGATGGGGGCAAGCAAGAGCCAAAGAAAAGTTCTGGAAGGGGCCATGGCCCCCAGGCCCCCCGTAGAAACGCCACTGTTTTCATACTGGGGTATTTGTACCCAGTCTTCTATTAGCTTTCGCACTACAATACTTTGCAAGTTATACACTGAAACTATGGTCCTGGCGTTATTTGATATGCTGAATGAAATGAAATGCATATCAAGCTTTGAAAACGCCTCCTTAAATGGGAGATCTTGTATCCCCAAGCTGAGCCTCTGGTTATTGTCTGGTTTATTTAGACCAAGGTAAGCTGTCTCAAGAAATTTAAGCAAAGCAAACCCTGATAGAAGAACTATTGCTCTTAAAAATCTTAAAGAAGATTTACGACGCTCCCGACTACCAAGTAGATTGACAAAAATCTATCAACGATATGTCTTTTTTAAGTAATATAGAAGTGATGACAGAATGGGCTAATGATGATAAAGAACCAAGATAAAGATAGGAATGAATTGTCGATGAAAGCAGGATGACGAATGTTGCTCAGGCTTTAACCATTGAACAAAGTCTCACTGCAGCCATCGAATGCCTCTGACGCCGATGAATCAGTGAATAGTAATCTCTGTAGCGACCAACGTACAAAAATGCTAACATAGAGGATCATGTAGACGAAAAAATGCTAAATTTTGCATGTAGACTCCTTCATATTTAATAGACTGATTATAAAAACGACAAAAAGGCGCAGAAAAGGAACTCTATGTTAAGCACAATGCGTCTTTAAAGACGTAGTTGCAGATGGGAGCAAAGGGCATTAGTCCGTCAGTACAAGACGTTACTTCAAAAGTTGATATTTTCTTGATGTTTTCGATCAATAGTTGATAAGATGCAGCAACAGCTGTTACAGCAAAAGAAATCATCCTTAAAGATATTTGTCGTTTACTTTGTAATATCAAGGTACAAAACCGCGGCCGTTTAGAGCAAGACTTAAAGGCAATCTGTCACGACGTTGATTGATTATAAGAACAAAGGGATTTTTTATTGTTTCCAATCCCCCTTTAATTTATCGCATTGTAAAAAATATGGCGGAGCGCTGGAATCGTGTTTAGGCTATTGTTCCAGCTATTGTTCTCGTTAACCAATCCACAACGAGACAGATTGCCTTTAAGCTTAACTTACAACCGAATTATCAAAAGCATGAGAATAAAATTAAGAAACAAATCAAAACGGCGACGAGAATTTAATGTTGTGAAATAAATTTTCCAAAATAAATTAAATTAAACGAATCCTAATATTTCGCCCCAGCACACAGGGCTTCATCAGAGTAAATGAAACGAACGAGTCGTATTTATATCATAATCATTGCAAGATTCACAGAATCCGGCGGACAGCCTATCCTGCAGTTCTTCCTTCTCACACATATCAAAAGCATGCCTTTTTTATGCATATCTGCTAAATCAAAACTGATGGTTCTAGACCCTAGATCAGAACTCCAGTGTTTTTTCAGGCATTATTTTGTGATGGTGATATATGCATAGCTCAATTTTAATAATAACAGTCGGCTGATGTAATAGCATTGGATCATGGTTAGTAATAGCAGAGGGTCATGGCACCAATGATACAGATGTTTAAGATACAAATGGTACATAGCAATCAGCTGACCGCAAAGTTGCAATTAGTGCAAATGCGAAGTTCTTATCTTTGTCAGAAGGGCGATTATATATAGATGTTTGATCTGGCCTCCAAGGTTGAAACATTGTGCACTGTTAGAAAAGTCAGTGTGTTAGAAACATTGTCAAAATGCTATTTTTACAATGAAGATCTATGCAAGAAATTCTATCATGCTTGCGGAAGTAAGAGTCTCTTTTCACCCTGACTGATAATGTAATTTGCAATTTAACATCTATGTAAGCACCAAGTTTCATACAAAAAATTACTTTCAATAAAAGCACAATACACCTCTAAATATTTTCTGAAGTTCAACCTTCTGTTGTCTAAATAGGGAAAACAGTGGGCAATTACGATAATCAGAAATTTTTTTAGAAAGTGCAAGTCTCTCCCTTCATGGAAATGTTTTATTTCATCTTTTATCTTTTTATCCAAGGTTAACAAAGTGCGTTTGCAGTGCAGGGCAGCACTAGTAACAACTGTTTACGAAAAAGCACTCTCCGTAAGCTCAACCTCTTTGTCAGGTTTTTCTACGGGACAGGTTAGTTTTTGCAATTCTTTGTAGCTAATATTTGAAGAAAAAGTTATCTAGTTCTGGTTTTATGTAAGATTACAAAAAATGATGACGAGGGTATTTTGTAGTCCTTGTTTTCTGAACAAAGTCGACAATAAGTTTACGAATTTCTTACCAGTGTCATGAAAAGTGGGGCTAGCAAAGCTGATTGCAACTGATTACAGACAGACGGGTTTTAGTATGTACAACAAGACCACACCTTGCATGTATTGTATAAATGATTTTGAAAATCTTGACGTATTATCTCGGTGAAAGATGACCATTTGTCGAGACTGTTTTTTGCCGTCTTTTCAAAATTGTTTTCTCGATTTTACATGCCTAAAGCTAGATTTCATTTAAATACCTTTGAGTAATCTCAGTGTTCAGTTGAAAGATTGTGCCATAGAATTAAAATTTCCATGTCATTGTTTTCATAGAGAATGATTGTTATGATAAAATCTTTATAACTATGTTTTGAATTATTCTTTACATAAGGTCATAAATTTCATGTCAACGGATACAGACAGAATATTAAACTTTTGCAACAGCTTCCATCAGTTCTGGAGTCTTCCATTTCAAATTGCTGTATCACTCTACTTGCTTTATCAACAGGTTTGTCCGAGTCTGTCTTTTACCATTTCTAATTATGATGTAGATTTATATCCAACAAAAAGCAAAGATTCCAGCTAAACGCTGAGGTTTTCAAATTTAGAAATAAAGGACGAGAAATGCAATTTCTTTTAAAAGTTTTTATGATTTTCACGACGTTTTTCAGGAATTTTTTGCGAAAATATGTCGATATAATATAATTTTTGAATTCTGAGAATCGCTGTTTACCGGTCCGTCATCAAGTGCTCGATGCCGTTCAGGCAGAGCTGTACACGCTTTTGGTGTGTAGAATAGGGCAGTTCTAAGTTGCCGTTCAGGGTAGACTGGTTTTCTCAGATAAGAATTTAGTTGATTTGAAAAACCAACCTGCCTGGCCTCCATTATTTATTACGATTAGCCCTCTCAGATTACACTTCCTGGTATTCTAAACTTCTAGTCAAGACTACGTCTACTACAATTCATATTCACTCTATTCGGCTGCTAGCACTAGAAGTTAACAATACTTTGCACAACTTGAATCCAGCCCTTATGAAAAACTAATTTCTCCCAAAACCCAGTACATAGCTATAATCTTCGAAGAATTGACAGTCTATCTGTTCCCAAGGTTAAAACTGCAAGTTAAGGTATCAAATCTATTAGCTTTGGTTTATAATAGATTTGGATGCAAGTCAATTAAAAAATGCCAGTCAATTCAAAGCTCTAATAAAAGATTGGTTTTTCGAAAATCAATGCACCTGTAACGCTTGCAATCAATAACTTCCATAATGCAATCTCTTAATTTGCTTCATCTTAGTGTTTTTAAGTGTTAACACTATTGTCAAACTAACAGTAAAGAAAAGGTATTATTGTTATTTTGATCATGTGGATGTCCTTCTTATAGCAACGTTGTCGAGCCATACTGTAAAGTTAAAATATACTTTATATGAATAATCCTTATTTATAGGTTGGTATTGCCTTTCTTTCTGGTCTCGGATTTGCTGTTATTTTGATCCCAATAAATCGATGGATAGCACTGAAAATCATGGAATTCAGTCGCAAAATGATGGATAAAAAAGACCAGCGTGTTAAGGTAACCTTAAAAAGTGTTATAATTGGCTTCAGCCAATTCTTCTTTCAGTGAGCTATTTCATTGGCCGTTGTTTACCAATTGTATCTAAGCAGTTATTCCATAGGGTTGTGAGCGTATCGAATGTTTTTTTCCTTCACCGAAAAACAGCACTTCAGCCTACTTTAAGAATTTGTCACAAAATCAGTTCATTTCTGTCAACTCACAATGAAATGCAATTTTGAAATACTCAGTAGAAGCCACACCCTAGATACCACATGGTCACACCTTTTATGTTCAAATTTGTCTCAAAGATTCTCTAATGAAATCACCCAAATTATTCACCTACTCTAAAGCCCTGGCAAAACATTTACTCAACTTTTATTTAAAGTCGCGAAGTTTAGCAAAGGTGGCAAAACGTGACCAACCTTTTCATTAAACTTCAATCAACTTTTTTAAATTGCGAGCTGTGTAGGATGCTGTAGGGGATTCTTTCTAGGTGTTTTCTTTCTGCGTGTTTTATTGTCGTTTTGTTGTTGTTCTGTTGTCATTTTATATGTAATGCATTAATTTACCAAATTTCTAGCTATGCTTGTTTTTCCAATCTTTAGTTGATCAGTGAATGTCTTTTTGGCATACGTATGGTCAAATTTTGTGCTTGGGAAGATCATTTTTTGAAAACCATTGAGAAGATAAGGTATTCAACATTTTTTAGTTTCTTTTGAGGCCCAAAGAGAACTTGAAAAATCAGAGTCACGCTGTTATTAATGGTCCCATCACACGAAGTCGACACAGCACCAATAAGACTGGACGATGCTTTCTATACGATTAATATTTCTGCATGTTGTCCGCGCCATACTGACATGAGACGATAGGAATGTTTATAATACTGTGGGTTTAAGGCTGGTTTTCATATATCGTAATTCGTCGGCGATGATCCCCGACGCAGCTTGGGCGATGTTCTATCGTAATTCGTCGGCGATGGTCTATGCCAGTCTGCGATGGTTTATGACATATGAAAACCGGGTCATCGGGAACCATCGGCGATCATCCCCGATCACCGCAAACCATGCCACTGAGTAAATCTCTCGTGGCTTCTTTGTCCGAAGAGAAAATCAAATGACGCATCAGAACAATTTATGACGCATAGTGTTACGACGAACTACAGTTTCGAGGATTTTTTCGTAATTTAACTTTTTCGAAGAATAGGAATTTTGTTATATTATTAGCTTTTTGCTAACTTTGCTACTTTTTTTCTTTTTCGAGACCAAAACGTGTCCATTTTTAATTGAAATTTTGTGAAATATATATGAAATTGGGCGTTGCCCCTTTCTGCACTTATCCGGTAGACTGACTTGGAATTTGCTTAAGATATCGCTGAGGGAATCTACTCATTAGACGTCGATACCTTTCCTTCCATAGTTTTATGCTTTTTCCAAATATACTACTGTGTTATTGGAATTTGATGGCCGCTTGTTTTTCTTGTTCTACGTGTTCTTATCCCAAACATCCTAATCCTTTGAATTTACACCCTTCATGGCTGTACAGCCACTCCACGCTTTCCACTATTTTGATGTCAATTGATGACACCTTAGACAATCCGTGCTCTCCCTCGTTCCCTCCACTCCCTTGAAAATGACCGTCTCGTTAACATTACAATATCAAAGCTTGTCATATGGCTATAGACTGCATTTTGATAATTGCAAACTTTCTTTTGCAGGGCAGGTGAGTTAAACTGCCTGAAAGGACGCAAGTATTTGGATGCACTTTGTGTTTACTTTTGGGCAACTACGCCAGTTCTGATTTCCATTTTAACATTTGTAACGTACATACTACTCGGAAACAAGTTGACAGCAGCAAAGGTTGGTAATAAACTTTCCAAAAACAGAGGATTTCGAGCACCAAATAATTGCCCTCCCGCTTATTTAATTTTTTATCTTCCAGCTCCTACCTTTATTCCAACACACTTTTGTTAATTCTTAAAAATTGAAATGACTGTGAACATGATAAGCACAAAATGTCTGTCAAAATTGCATCATCGAGAACTCTGTCAGGGTATTCTTGCTAAAACCAGGGTCCCTGAGTACAATGACCGGAATCAGTAACATAATCAATACAAAAGGATAGGTTTAAATTATGATGACGCAAGACGACTATTTTCGTTTCAAGCCTCCTTCCCAAATTGTTCCAATCATCCCGATTATTATCATATTAAACCATTCCCGAACCCCCTCTCCCCGATTATTCCTCACCCCCTGTATATTCGTTACTCGTGAGAAGCAATTGAATCACCCTGGGTACCAGATCCGTGAGAATTAACGGCAGCAAAGAAGTAATGAAAGCTGCACAATTGAACAGAACATCTTCATCATATCAACTTTCTGATGTATCAGCTGCGAAATGGACTTTTCACGTGGGCCGACACCTGTAACGCAGATATATTCACAGATAAACATGTTTACAGACTATTAAAAGCTGATATTCACTTTGACAAATTATAATTCAATGCATAGTCAATGGACTATGTTCAATAGAAATGACTCGCATGAAATTAGAGGGGCGTTCATCACTCGAAAGCTTTATTGTGTCCGTTGATTGCTTTGGTTCTCAAATTGCTGATTTGCGTAAATGAGATGATTAAAATTCGCTTCTTCGTCGACAGATGACCTAAAGCGTTTGACCGTTTGAAGAAAATATGGCTGTTGGTGTTTCGCACCATGTTTTTTCTAAAATATATATACATTTTTGTACTAGCTATGAAATCTTAAAAATATATATACTAGCTATGAAATCTTAAAAAGACCTTGAAACAGGGAAGATATAGCATACCATGTTTCAGCTTTACCTTGCTTTCTTCTATTTTTGCAGTAGGAAACGCTCAATTAGCTCTAAACGCTTAATGTATGAAGCAACGTGTTCGATAACAGGCTTTTGATTATTTTCCGTCTAGGTCTTCACAAGTATAGCATTGTTCAATATCCTTATCGCGCCACTGAATGCTTTTCCCTGGGTCATCAATGGGCTGATGGAAGCTTGGGTGTCCATCAAAAGAATTGAGAAGTTCATGACTCTGCAAGAACTCAATTTTGAAGATTACTACTCTTCTTTAACTGAAGGTGAGAGCGGTTTTAGTAGAAGGCGAGAAAATAGAACATGTAATGACAAGGAAGGGCTTGAGGATAAGTCGACAGTAATCCCGTTGCAGCGAATAATAACAATAAGAATAATGATAATGGAGGTTTTTAATTTTGAATTCCAGTTAAACTACAATAATATGTAGTTTAACATATAAAACGATACAAGCGTGATATTGACAAACATAAATGCAACTAAACGTCGAAAAGGCAGTAGGGCTGGGGGCGGCACCAGGAAATTCAAAGTGGGGGAGGAGGGGATTCGAGATGATAGAATTAATTGACTAAAAAACCCAACTTTTTAAATCGTTCTAAAATGCGTGCCTACGATTTTATAGAAAATGCTGTCGAGAGGTTTCGAAGGCGCTGGAGCCAAGGCCCCTTGCGAGCCAAACAAGCAGAAAACTTTCGCGACCGCGCACTTTAGATTAGCTTGAAATACATTTGGAAAACTTTTTCGTGGTACTTCGTTTGCAAACGATACTTTCGTGGTACATTGAAGATGGTTAAAAGCCGTTTAAGATACATACCAGAGCGATTGTTGCAGTAATTTTATGCAAGCTGGCGTCTGAATATATTCAATAATTGCATTTTTGTTCATATTATGCCAATTGCAAAAGACACAAAATTAATGAAAAATCACTATTCACTGAGGGAAAAACACGGAATGAAAACAACTATTCTTTTAACTTTTTGTAGTTTTTGGTGAGCTATTTTAGTCGCATTTTTGTTACGTTTGATTCCATTCTTAAAATTGAATTTATCACTTTGTGAGCCCTCCTAAACCTTGAATTTATTACTTTATGAGACCTCCTAAATTTTTTTTCAAATTAAGACATCAAAAGGATTTATAGAGTTATTCTGTTCTTCTTTCTCTTTCCTTTTCTTACATCTTCTGTAAACTTTTCTTTGCAAAATAAAGGGGGCCTTCAGCCCCCAGCCCCCTTTAGTGGCGCCCATGGTAGGTAGTGCCAATGGAGCCGCTTGAATGTTTGGATATGAGGTTGTAACACCTGTCGATGAAAGTGGTACAGAGATTACCAAAAGCACCAAATGGACCGATAGAAAGATTGAGAAGCGAAACTGACTCGACACTAAAACGTCATAACATTTGTCCTTGGTTTGAATAGTAATGTGACTTCCAATTATGAAAGCCTGGTATATGCATATAGAGAAAAGGGATCTATTTATTGCTTATTAATAGTCACTAGAAGGTTTCATAAAGTTTTAGGCAGGTTGCTCTGTGTAATTGACCAGATACCGTTGGATTTTTCTCCAAATGGGGCACCAGAGACAAAATCGTTGCTCCTTGAGCTGGCAAGTTGTGAAGGAGACGTTCTTGCTATCTCTGATTTGATGGTGTTTAGAACCTCTTTTCTGTTTCGATGGGTCTCTGATTCCTGTTTCTGACCCTGCAATAACTAGGGGTATTTCATACTGCAGGTTTGTGTCGTGGCTGGTGTTTTTCCATTAGGTTTGAATGTCGATATTTAGAGAAAACGTCAGGATGCTGCAAAGAAATGCGAAAGTCAAGCAAGTTCTGAACTACCCAGTTCTTTAGTAGATCTACCACAATAAAATGCTAAGAGACTTTGCATATGGCTTTCAAAAGAGCAGTTTAATTTACTTTCCATGTGAAATCTGTTCTCTGTCTACCCCTTTTCTGATGCAGATAAGACTTGTTGTTATACTAAATGGAATTACTTTAGGCCATTTTTACTCCTGTCATAATTCACTTGCATCTTTTTAATTCTATTTTTCGAAGAAAATATGAAGTGGCGCTTATCCCTGCACAGTATCGTCAGATTCAGTTCAAAATGCTCTGACCCCGTAATAACGAGAAGTATTTCAATAACATGGTGTGTTGAAACTAAATGAAAGCCTTGCAAGAAATTTCTATAATTATCTTGTCGTTCTTCGAGTCTTAAATATGGAAGATTTGGAGTGCAGCAGTGGCTTGAAAAAAATTATCATCTAAATTTCAGCAGATATCGTCTTTATATGAAAAATAAACGTTTTTATACGGAATAGGTGTTCTAGATGAATCTGATGGGAGTGTTTTGGAAGTTGACAGTGGATTGTTCAGGTGGAAAGGTTGGAAGCCTGATAGAACAATGTCAGAAGAAGAGCCTGTCAATCAAGAATATGACGTCATAAAACAGCCGTTTCTGTTAGAGAATATCCATTTACAAATAAGAAAGGTATGGAATAATTTTATGTTTAGTTTGATGGTTTTGTGGACGTTTTTAAAATCTCACTTTTCACTAAAGGCAATGCAAGACAAGAGAAAGTTGCATATCTCGATTGTGTCTAACTGACGCGATATATAAAACAGTCGCCTCGCGTCGCGATAAGCCTTTAAAGTCCATGTATCAAAGCATTTAGATGTCACTTCCCTCCACAAATCGGAGGAGAAAACCAATAAGAAAAATTACAGACCGGTTAGTGTATTACCAACTGTTTCAAAGGTTTTTGAGAGACTTATGGATAAACAGATTATTGATTATATGCAATCTTATTTATCGTCACTTTTATGTGGTTTTCGTAAAGGGTACAACGTGCAGCACGCATTAGCTCGAATGCTTGAAAAATGGAAAGCAAGCTTAGACAGGGGAGAAAATGTTGGCGCAATCCTTATGGATCTCTCGAAAGCCTTTGATTGTATTAAACATGACCTCCTTATAGCAAAACTAGATGCTTACGGATTCAGCCATGAAGCACTGTGTCTTGTTAACAGCTACTTGGAAAATAGGCATCAGAGAGTTAAGATTAATGGATCATTCAGTACCTACAAACAATTGTTCCTTGGTGTTCCGCAAGGATCAGTTCTTGGTCCCCTCTTCTTCAACATCTACATAAATGACTTACTTCTCTCCTTAATGGATACGGATATCTGCAATTACGCGGATGATACAACTCTATATGCGTGCGATAAAAATCTCAATAATGTAATTGCAAGGCTAGAGAATAACTCAAGTATAACTATCCAATGGTTCGCTGATAACTTTATGAAGTTGAATACAAACAAATGTCATTTACTTATTCTTGGCAAAAGTTCTAATCAACAAGTTAAAGTTAATGTAGGAGATTCTATCATAGAAAACTCGGAAAAGGAAAAGCTACTAGGTGTTGTGATAGACAAAAAACTCAGTTTTGAGACACATATCAGTAAGTTATGTAAGAAGGCTGGTAGCAAACTCACCGCCCTCGCTCGCATATCTTGATACATGGACGCTAAAAAACTTAAAATCTTAATGAGAGCATTTGTAATTAGCCAATTCGAATATTGTCCACTAGTCTGGATGTTCCACAGTAGGCACTTGAATAGTAAGATTAATAGAATACACGAAAGAGCTCTGAGAATTGCATACAAAGACTATGATTCTAGCTTCAACACTCTGCTAGAAAATGATGGCTCGGTAAATATTCATGTAAAACACCTGCGAAATCTTATGATTGAAATGTTTAAAACAAAGGGAAATATCAACCCTCCTTTTATGAGGGAGATTTTCTGCGAGCGTCATGCTATTTATAATTTGAGAAATAATAATGAATTTATGGTACCAAGAGTAAGAACAACCATTTATGGAACCGAAACTGTCAAATATAGAGGGCAGCGTCTTTGGCTCTCTTTACCTCAGCACATAAGGAATGCTCAATCTATTAATGAGTTTAAGAAAGAAATTAAAAGCTGGAATGGCACAGACTGTACATGCAAACTATGTAGGACGTTCGTGCCACAGCTTGGTTTTTTGTAATTCTATCTTTTAAATAGCTCAGGTTTTTATAGTTTTTTAATGGATCATTTTGTATTTAAAATTTTATGTATTTAATCTCGTATGTATTTAGTTGATGTAGTAGTTTTAACAGTTGGCTTGGATTAGCTCATTTCTTTGTAAATAGCTATGTAGCGCCAACTTTAAATAAATTGATTATTATTATTATTATATTTGGCAATGATATTTAACCCCCAAAGCATTTGACAATGATATTTAGCCCCCATAGCATTTGACAATGATATTTAGCCCCCAAAGCATTTGACAATGATATTTAGACCCCAAAGCATTTGACAATGATATTTAGCCCCCAAAGCATTTGACAATGATATTTTGCCCCCAAAGCATTCGACAATGATATTTAGCCCCTAAAGCATTTGACAATAATATTTAGCCCCCAAAGCATTTGACTATGATATTTAGCCTCCAAAGCATTCGACAATGATATTTAGCCCCTAAAGCATTTGACAATGATATTTAGCCCCCAAAGCATTTGACAATTATATTTAGCCCCCAAAGCATTTGACAATGATATTTAGCCCCCAAAGCATTTGACAATGATATTTAGCCCCAAAGCATTTGACAATGATATTTAGCCCCCAAAGCATTTGACAATGATATTTAGCCCCTAAAGCATTTGACAATAATATTTAGCCCCCAAAGCATTTGACAATGATATTTAGCCCCAAAGCATTTGACAATGATATTTAGCCCCCAAAGCATTTGACAATGATATTTAGCCCCCAAAGCATTCGACAATGATATTTAGCCCCTAAAGCATTTGACAATAATATTTAGCCCCCAAAGCATTTGACTATGATATTTAGCCCCCAAAGCATTTGACAATAATATTTAGCCCCCAAAGCATTCGACAATAATATTTAGCCCCCAAAGCATTCGACAATAATATTTAGCCCCCAAAGCATTTGACAATGATATTTAGCCCCCAAAGCATTTGACAATGATATTTAGTTTCTCGCTGCAAAAGATAATGGACATTTATTTGAAGCAAATGATCAAATCAGAAATAACTGCTTTCTTCATCGTAGATTCTTTTCAGCAAACAACTGCAAGTAACTCGTGAGATTCGTGCACCCTCTTCTTACCATAAATATTTTATTGGTACTTAATGATTATTTATATCGAGGGTCTTTTAATGCTACTTTTCTCTGCCATTTTGTTTCACTGATGTTTAATCACATGCACAATTCGGCAGAAATTGTGTTTTTAAATTTACTTTGAGTGATGCCGCTTCGCGCCGAACCGCAACAAATTTGCTTCGGCAACGGTGGGCCTGTTTTAAAAGGCAAAGCTCTAGTCGCGCCGCACCACATTATTGACCATTAATGAAACAAAATGGTGGACAAGATAAGCATGACAAAGACACTTTTTTATGAATTAAATATTTGCTGCCTTGATCTAGAAGAGGAGGCACGAATCCGATCCGTTACTGGCAGTAGCCAGAGAGACCTTTGTTTGAACCGGAAGCGGATAAACAATTTGCCTTTCGTCCCTCTGTTGTACACGTAATGCTCGTCGCAATCCAAATCTACCGCTAAATTCCTTTTCAAAGAATATTAGAACCGTAGCAAAAGTTTTTGAGCAAAATTTATCGGCCTATTCTTACTTGCTCCGTGTACATGAAAAGTTTTTTTAAATATTGTCACGAAAAATAAAGTGATGGCGACAGGAAATAAGCAAAATTAGCAAAAGATGGATGAGAAAATTTGGTCGGGGAAAATGTAAGTTACTTTCGGAGCTAGAAAAATGCTAAATTATTTGGGTCTTGAATCAGAAATAGCCATGAATTTTCCAGATCAGTATCCGTCTGCAAACTTAAACATGATGTCAGATGTATTGGCTGAAAGCGGTATTTACCGGTGATACCAGGAGCAGCATCTTGTCATACGTTGGGCCTTTTTTGGGGGGGGGGGCAAAATTCAGAATTCAAAGTCACGCCCTTTGTAATGTCAGGAAACGCCCTTTTAACAACAGGGAACGCTAATTTACCAATTGCGAGCGCAAATGACTAACGTTTGTTTACATAAAGACAGTTTTAAAATCAAAGAGAAATGTCGGAAAAAATTCTTGGCCAAAATATTACCCCTCCCCAAACATTTTTTCATCGAAATTTGCCAAAATACAAAATCTTTCCTTCCGAGTAGTGGACATGCCCCCCCTCTTGGCGCCGCTATTGTCAACTGAGGCAATATTTTGGTGTTGGTCGGACGAGTGGAGATTCTGTTTAGAAATTACTAGAGACTAGGGACGAGGAACTGCTCCGTGGCTGGAAACCGAGGTTCACCTTTATATCGATTCGAACGTTTCTAGACTTTACAAAGCTCTATTTCACTCTCATAGCAGTATAATGGTGAGGGGTAATTGCTCTGGTTGCATGGTGCTGCAAAAACTTTTAGCGGTGTTGCAGCTTCAATACCGCCAATAAGGAGCTGAACAAAAAGTGTCTGTTCTTTTTCAGGGGGATTTAATTGGTGTCATTGGAAAAGTTGGTTCAGGTAAAAGCTCACTTTTAGCAGCAATCACTGCTGAAATGGAACGTTTAGATGGAAAGGTGTGTATTTTATCGTGTTTTCAAATTGCAGTTTCAGTATAGGGTAGAGGCGCAGTACTATGAAATATTCAAAAAGAGGGGGGGGGGGGCATTACAGAAACAATGCAGAAAAAGATAGTTATTGGCATGAACAAAGGGGTTGAGTCACCCTTTTACCCCTTAGCTCAACCCGATATAAAGTTTACTGCAGGATGATTATTTATATAGACATGATAACACTCTAAAGCAAATTTATCTCCCAAATTTATTTACATTCATCTCCCTAACCACCACACGCAGGCCTTTCTAATAGCATAGAAACATTTGAAGACCTAGTCAGCAATTTCTTTCTAGAAACGGAAGTTTGATATGATTTATGTTGTTAAAAGCGATTTGATATTTTCCTGTAAATATTCTATCTATTGATGTTATTTTGCGTCTGTATACTGATAAATTGACAGCCTTGTAAGCCCATGGTCGCAAAAGAGCAGATGAGAGTCAGTGGCTGTTTTGATATTTAGAACTTCAGTCTTTAAAATATGAGCATATCCTCATTTAGGTCTACACTTCGGATGAAATCGATGGTTTTGGTTTTGTCAATCAAGATCCTTGGATTCAACACATGACTATTCGTGAAAACATTCTGTTTGGAAAACCTTTTTACCAGAGGTTTTACCAAGATGTGATTGAGGCTTGTGCACTGAGGGAGGTGCGTGTCTCTTCTTCCTTTTGGTTCTTCTCTCTCTAAGGTGGCAAAGATTTCCTTGAACGAGCATTGCAGATATCGTAATTATTAACTGAGGTAATCTTTTTATCGTCGATTACTGAATGGCTGCCAGTCCTTGCTAATAGTCCTTGCCAAAAATTTCAGAAAATAAACGAAATGATAAGTGTTGTTTTCACGTTTTCCTTGTTTTGCAAAACTTGAATATCGACATTCGAATTTTCTTTTTTGCTCTAAGAAAGAAGATAATTAGAAAATAGAAATTGGCAATAAATTTTCTTTAAGTTGCAAAATTTTTAAACGTTCCCTCAAATTTTCTGTAAGTTTTCAAATCTGATCTTGAGTTTTCTTGCAAATTGAAAGTTGCAAAATTTCAAACTTAAAATTTGCTTAGACAGCGAAATTTTCAAATCTACGCTTAAATTTGTAAGGGAAGAATTTCATTATCGGCACACGAATTTCGTTTACGGAGAAAAAATTAGGATTCTCACCAGAATTTTCTAATTCTGTTTTGTGGTAAGTTCGAAAACTTTTCCCTCCAATTTCCCTCCAATTTCCCTCGAATTCTACTTGTTTTGCTGAAAATCTGCACTTGTATAATCGTTAAATTTGAAGTTTCAAAACCTGCAGAAAACTTTTGTGTACCATGCAAACTTGTAAACCTGTGATCAAATTTTCTTATTGAAAACCTGTGATCAAATTTAACTGTGGGAAAATTATAAAATCTGCACTTTAATGACACGTACGAGATACCTCCAAATTAAGTTTTTTGTTTGAACTGGCAATCTCTTTCACTGTTGATTTTTTTTTACTTATTCGAAGGATCTCGATGCACTGCCTGATGGGGACCTAACAGAGGTTGGTGAACATGGTCATACTTTAAGTGGAGGCCAAAAAGCAAGAATTTCTCTCGCCAGGGCTGTATACCAAGTGGGTTATCATGATGATTTCGATTGCATTTTGCACACTGTAATCGCTTTACTTAACATATATCTTCAAACGATTGTTGTCAAATTTCTTATCCCTCTATCTAAGCTTAGCTAGGCCACAGAATAGAAACAACTAGCTACGCTAAGTTTAATTCCGGTCCCTTTCTTGAACAGCCTTTGAACAGCATCTGCGACTTTCACTTGTACTGTAGATTTTATGACGATGTAAAGTTTAAAAATGTATGAGAATTTGTTCACGGAAATTGTTTCAGGTGAAATTTTTCAGTTGCAGTCGCTAGCCACGGTCAAGTCCCTTACAAAATTTCTCTTCATTAAATCAACATTACGAACTACGGCATCATGTAAACGTATAGGGAGGCTAAAATTCTGGTCCTAATCTCGATCATTTAGTTCAAAAACGTTTGAAATATTTTGCAAACTTGATTGATAGTTTGGCTACATGATATCCGATACTTATCGACAAGTTTAAAAAATGCATGCATGTAAACTACAGAAAATGCATGTAGAATTTAAACTGTGTTAAACTTTGCTATGCTAGTTAGCAGTGTTCACATTGAGTTGCATATGGTAGCTAGCAGTGTAGCAGTGTTCACATTGAGTTGCATATGGTAGCTAGCAGTGTCGGCTGAGAGTGTACACTAGCATATCTCAAAAAGCTTCAGTTACACGTTAGCAGATTTTATCTTGTTTTTCATTTTATCTTCTCTGTCTGTTACAGAATAAGTGTATCTATCTAATGGACGATCCATTCGCAGCTGTCGACGCCCACGTTTCTCAACATATTCTGTCAAAGTGCATGTTAGGAATGCTAAAGAAAAAAACAAGGTCTGTTTTTGCAAGACTTTTAAATCTTTTTGTTATCACTTGAAGGTTAGATAGTAGATTATTTTAAGCTATGATTAACTTAAATGACACATTTCACAAAAAAATAACTCTTTTGCAAGCATCTCTCTCGCTAGCCTTATGGGTCCTCAGTTGTTTTCTTATCGCTAAAACGACAATTTACTTCTGCAAGTCTTAAAAGCAATGATTCGTCCTGTTTTCTTTACGAGTATATGGATACGACTTTCTTTGATGGGAATAAGAATATCCATTTTGATATTGGACCTAATCTTGTGTCTTCTAATAATATCTTATCTTGATGAGAGAAGCTATATCATATACGCAGGGGAACTCATCTTGCACAATCAGTCTACAAGAAAATTAAAAACACATTTGAAAAACATACTGAAGCTATCTTTAAGAACTTGTAGGAATGTCATTAGTTTAAATTTCAGTTTCTAAATGCCATTGATTAATGAAATATTTTACTTTTTTGTATTTTGATTTTTGAACTGTGGTGAGATTTCTTCTTTAAAATTTTTGACAGTAACTGTTTACTGGTCTTTACTAAAGTTCTCGATGGCGTTTAGGCAGAGCTTGCAAGTTTCATGACGCTCGCATTAATCATGAAACTCAGAGTTTCTTTCTAGAGCCTTTTTGTTCTATAAATCAAAGCGTAAATCGATTTTTGACAATTAAAGTTTTCCCTTACAGAATAATCTGCACTCATCACACAAAGTATTTATACGACGCTGACTTGATTATTGTTGTTGATAAGGGATCTATAGTCATGTCAGGAACTCCTGATGAGATTCTAAATAGCAGTGAGATCAGGCAGTTATCTCTTGAAACAGAAGATGAAACCCATCACAAAGATACTGACAAGGTGCGGAGCATGATACATATATATATATATATATATATATATATGAATACAATATCCGAAGCGATACAACTGGGCAGAAAATCTTCCCACAAGGGTGCTGCCCAATTGTATCGAATTCCAGTTTGCTGCTTCAAAAACCCACGCTCATTCCACTGAGCCAAACGGCCCAATGAAATGAGTGAGGAATCTCCGAAGCCAACATTGGAGATTTCACCGTAGCCAAGATAGTTTTTGTTTATTCTGTTTCGGCTTTAAGCCTTCGTCAGAGCCATATTATATATATTTATTTATATATTTAACATACAATTTAGCAAAGCTTTGTTAAAACTATCATTTTTTGTATAAAATTATCTATCTACTTATCTGAAACTGTACATAAACCTATAATGGTTATTAAGTATTTGTTATAGTTAACATAATCTTCAGCTTTTTGATTTACTTTTTCATATGTTAATGTCTTCAACAGGACCTCTATCAAAGAGAAAGTAGCCCCCCAAAAAAGTCAAAAGAAAGTTTTAAATCTGGTGAGTTGATGCAAATAATATGGTGTACAATGTCTTTCAGATCCTAAAATCCTAAGGTAAAGCTAATTCTTGCCTTGATTGCATAAGCTGTGTCTAGATTCGTTAGATAAATATTTTTAGGTGCATTGTACTTTTTCCTACCAAAAACAACTGGAATATGCAATGCTTCTCAAGCTAAGTACAGGTACAGTGAGACACCGATGCATCTCGATGAATCGCGAGGACAGCCTGAAAAACAGTTCGGTATAACAAGTTCTCTTCAAATTGGGACCCAGAACAATCTGCCACATGCGTTTGGATGAGCAGTCCCTTTTAAAATGAGTCACTGCAGATAAAACTAATTTTTACAAATGCTAACAGTTCATCAAAAAAATAATTAAAAGACAAATTTGTTATTAAATTTTCATATGAATATTTTACCTGCGTCTTTTTTTGATAGTATGCAGGCATGATCTTCTAAGAGGTATCTTTTGCTCATCTCTAATAGGTAAGCTTGTCGATGAAGAGGAACGAGAGACTGGAAGTGTAGCTTTCAATGTGTACAAATCATACTGGAGGGCTGTTGGGCACATTCTCTCCGTTGCTGTTATCATTTTTCTACTTCTAATGCAAGGTTTGTCCTTCTTTTTATTTAGCTCTCTTGCGGCTACACTTTCGCCTACAGTAATTATTTTGATGAAACTGCCCATCAGTTTATATTTCTGTCGTTTTTAACGACTTTTATCCCTTATCTAGCTATCAACCTCTGATCTTTATTTGCCATCCTGTGTTTTGTATTCTTGGCAAAAAACTTTTAACACGAGTGAAGAATCTTTCCATGTGACATTGTAACTGAAAAGCCAAATTTGAGGAGAAGTACATCTGAATGTAGGTTTGCTGGGCTGGTATTAAAGCTATTTAATCGTAAGCTATACAACATCAGCTCTTGGAAAATATCAAGATACGACCTAAGAAGAAGATAGATAATCCTGATTAAAGCGTATTTCGATTTCAGTAATTGTGTATGGTATCTGTAAAGCCCTTAGATTAAGCTGTCTGTCCATGAATCAGGTAGTATTGGATTAATTTTGAATTGATCGATCTTCTGTTAGCATCTCGAAATATCAGTGATTGGTGGCTGGCGTACTGGATATCAGAGGAAAAAGAGAAGCTTAATACGTCTTCTAGTCAGGTTCACGTCGAAGATGACACGCGGTTTTATATTATAGTTTATGGAGCCTTAGCCGGTGCAAATACAGTTAGTATATCTCTTTACCCAAAATTTTATTTTAGTCTTCACAGCCTTACAGTAATGATGTAATTTTTAAATGATTTTCGGCAGCAATTTATATTTTTCATTTTATCCCTTGGCCCCCGCCTAGAACCCATGAGTATATTTTAAAAGATTCTTTTTTTGCGGCAGATAAGTTCTTTCATATAAACTTTCTAGCGCAATCCGGATTATAAGACAGGGCTAGATTACCTTTGTGTTAGATGCCAGCCTATCTCAGAATACTGAACGGTGATAGAGCCTGGGGATACAGTTAACTGTAACATGAAAGTAAACTTACGTTTATGTGATAAAATGTGATATGTGATAGAAACTATATAGATATCGAAATTCAATGTTTATTACATATAATGAAGCTGAATAGTATTATTGGATAAATAACAAATCAATCAGTAAATAAGAATGAAAACCTTTCTTCGTAGTACTTTTCGTTGAATACATACATACATCCTACATTATACGTACATAATATATTTAGTAAAGCAGGTTAGCTAAAAGTGGCAACAAAAATGTTGATATGGACCAGCTATGCTACATATAATAATATGGGACCTCCTGGTTATGAATAGATAGGAGCTCCTGGTTATGAAACATAACGGAACGGGTCAACTTGAGTTTTAGCCCCCATTCACATTTCTTGCTGAATTCGTTTATAATTTTTGTATCTTGAAGGTGTTCACGCTGTTCAGGGCATTTCTGTTTGCATACGGTGGTGTCAAAGCGGCAAAAGTGGTTCATAAAAAGCTCCTGACATCAATTCTGAAAGCACCGATAGTGTTTTTTGATACGACACCGGTAAGTTATACTTTAATTTTAGTTTATCTACTCGCGCTTTTGCTGTGCATTTGTTTTTACAGTAGTACACACCCGAAATTAACGGACACCTCCAGATAACAGAAGGCTCCATTCAACGATTTATATTCCAAAAGTTTTTCCATCGGTCAAAGTCTTGTAGAAGTAACTTCCAAAAAGCGGGCAGCTACCTACAACGGACGCTTTCCTACCGCAGAGACTCATACAAGGTCACCTTTCTATAATGAACATCCTTCTACAGTGGATACCTTCCTACGCCGGCCACAATCCGACAACGGACACCTTTCTACGAAGGATACCTCTCTATTACGGACACTTTCCAACGACGGACGCCTTCCTATTGTTGAAACTTTCCTAGGATGGACATCTTCCTATAAAGAAAGTCTTCCTATGAAGGAGACCTTCCTATGTCGGCAGCAACTTTGGCCTCATAGTTTCACCTGTATTTCAGTTTCATTATTGTAGCAAGGACACATCATGAGAGACTGAAACGGGTTTTGTGTTTGCTTACTTAAATTACCTTTCTTTGATAGGTGCTACCACTTCTGTTAAACAAGTGTTATTTCTTTTTTATATTTGACCTTAGATTGGAAGGATTGTCAATCGATTTTCAACAGACGTGGTATGCAAATTAAAGCTGTTTTAATTATTGTTTCTCTATATATTATTTGACGACGAATGAATGGGACATTTTATCAGGTTTTGTGATAATCAATAATTTCGAGCCAGCTCAAATGCCTAGAGGACATGTTTTTCTAGCTCTCTTGTGTTGTTTGGCATTCATGCAAGGTTGGGTTCCTTTTCCTTTAAACGTCACAATCAAACTGCATTTGCGTTGATTGTGCTTGAAAGAGCTAAAAATACACTTCTTGCTTCTTTCTTTACTGTTTAGCAGCTGCCAGGAGAATTCCTTTTCTTTCAGTACTCTGTAGACGACAGCTTGCCGTTTATGCTAAACATATTTTTGGCACAAGCATTTGGTGTTTTTGGGACAATAGCTATAACCTGCTATGGAATTCCTTGGTTCGCGGCTGTCCTGGTGCCACTTGGTGCGGTATATGTTTACACACAGAATTATTACAGAAAGACCTCAAGGTAAGCCTTGGTGAAACCAAGTAGACTCCTTTTTAATTCAGGATTGAAAATTTAATCTTTGTCTCTAATCTATTTAAAATAAACTGTCCCTTTCTTTACTTTTCTACGTTCAAAAATACATTTTTATTATTAGGTAACACCCCATCTGATGACCATGCTCTTCCAAGTGAAAATGTCTTCCTACTGTTTAAGAAACTGTACTTATGTCGTTAATTGCTGTATAATCATAGTTATAATAAGGATATCTGCTAACCAATATGTTGAAACGTGCCTTGAAATTAAAATTGGACGGTTCTAAGTTTATTCTCAACTTTAATGCAATCCCCGGACAGCTTATTTTTTCATTTACAACTTTTTGCGATGCCAGGAATAAATTGCAATGAAATAATTGCTTATTCGATGAAATTTGTACTTTATCGCTGTAGAGAGCTAAAGCGAATTGTCTCCATCTCGTTGTCGCCTATTTATGAGCATTTTGCGGAGACGTTATCGGGATTGTCAACAATTAGAGCATTGAGGGATGTTGCTCGTTTCACTGAAGACAATGAGACAAAATTAGATGCAAGTCAAAGGGCAACTTTTTCAGGTATGTTTGAGTAATTTTCAGTTTTTATCCTTTCTTCCTTGACTTCGACTAGCTAGTACAATATTGAAGCTATCCTTTTCAGAATGTTTCATTAAGGATTTTTTTTAAACTTTGCTGTCCAACCATTAATGCTTGTTGTAGTTTTCAGTGGTACTTACTTGCTCTTCTTCTCTGTTTGCTTGCATCCATTGCCATTGCCAATAAATGTAAGCAGAGTGGTAATGTTTTATCAGGACGATGCTGTGCATTTCTTCCTAAAAAAAGCCTTTAAGTGGGTGAGATTTAGTTTGGATTAGAATTTTGTCTCTAAGGATTGAAAAGTCTTCCTTAAAAAAACTAAGAAAAGGAGGGGCTGGAGTAAGGTACTGAAGTCTTACCATCTTCAACCGTATAGTGACAGTGCTCCTGCGTTCTGTATGTAGCAGTTTTGAATCGATCCGGGATCTTCACCGGTTCTTCTTTGCGTTACACCAAGTATTGCATAATCCTCGTGTTACTGGTACAAGCGTTCTTGCAAACAGATATATGTATTGTTACAGGATTTGTTGCATCACAGTGGCTCATGCTCAGGCTCCAGCTGATTGGCGTCGTTATGGTGACAATGGTTTCCTTCTTGGCTGTTATTGAGCATCATATAAGCAGTGTTGACCCAGGTGAGTTTATCACGACTTTAAGGCCATCAAATACTTGAATCTTATTCGATACAATATTATTCAATGCGATACTATTTACGTTATTTGCTACAAAAACTAAACAGTTGCCTTGCAAATGCATAAATGAAGCGAAAACCGACTTTAATTACGTTAACACTTGTTGTTTATAAAAAATTATGCAGGAGGCCAACAAATAGAAGATAGTATGTACCGATAAAATATCATATCTAAAAAATTTAGTATATATTATATTATTGCCATCTATTGTGACAATAATATAATATAAGCTTCTAGGAGATATACAGATAGCCGGTCACCGAATGATCACCGAAAGAATTTCTTCTGAAAAACATTAGAGAATATTTTGAATAAAGTTTTGCAAATTGTACTGAGGTGGGAGGCCAATCAAAAGTGTCGATATTTTGGATAAAGAATGAAGTGTATTTCGCATAATATGCTGAAAGTAAATTTGTTTTGTCATTGCCACGTGAATCTAAAAATGCGGTTTAGAAAAATACAAACTTCTTGTCATCTTGTCGAAAGATGTCTTTGAACAAAACATCTTGACTGTCTTGGTTAAGTTGTATATCTTGATTGAAATATCAAACAAGTATTTAGAAAACCTATCTATCTTTATTCAGGTTTGGTTGGTTTAGCCATAGCTTACGCATTGTCAATAACAGACCGATTGTCAGGCTTGGTGACGTCATTTACTGAAACTGAAATGCAAATGGTTAGCGTGGAAAGAGCACACCAGTATATCGATGGGGCCCCGAAGGAAGAAGAGTTTCCGCAGACGAAACATCTCATGACGGTATGGCTTTTGAATTTATTGGTAGTCAATTTGTTTGTTGTGCAGTACTTTCTTTGCCCTTTTGAAGTTTATTAGTATAGAAGTATGTCTACCATAAGTTCCATTAGTTGGGCCTTTTCTAGTCTCACCAGCTAGTTATCTTTTCTTGTGACTTTTGTAAATATACCCATCCTTCTACAATGATTGAATAGATTTAATCAAGCGATTTCTGGCATTTACCGTTGGCAAACAAAGGTATCAGCCAGCCATTGAGCGCAGAATCACTGGTACATAGATTTTCACATTTATCCATCTACCTTCAATTTGCATTTTATTTGGGGATGACCGATTTCATTATACGAAGATGCTCAATATTTTTTCAAGATCATTACTATAAGGGAATATTCGTAGTGATGGCCAGCTGATGTCAGCTCTGTCTATGTATTCGCCATTCCGTTTTATATTTTTTCACTTGTATGAAAAACAAATAAAATCATGATCGTGTACATTTGAATGGCGTCGACGATGAAGTTGTAGAGTTATTTGTAGAGTACAAAAATAAGTTATTGAAATTTTTTTCATACGTCTTTTGTCAGTAGCCTGAAAGACAGAGGTTCCAGTCTTACTTGTAATAAGTTCCATTTGGTCTAATTATCGAGATAAAATAAAGGGATTTCTGCATTATCTGTCTTTTTCCCTAAGGTTGATGACAGTTGGCCTCAGTCAGGAGCGATTTTGTTCAAGGATGTGACATTAGTGTACAGGTTGGTAAGATAGCATTTATTTCTGATAAGTAATTAACCCTTCTTCAGATGGATTCAAATCTAACTACGTCGAAATAGAAATTAGTCGCCCTTGCAAGACAGTTGCTAATACTTGCATAATATGCATCTCCGGGTATTTTGTCAATGGCAGTAACAATGTAATTGTATGATTCATAGATAATTATGTTTGCTAGCAAAAGAAAACGAGGCCTTTGTCATATTTTGCTGTAATTTATCACATTTTATTTCCTCAGGCCTGACTTGCCTCCCGCTTTGAAGAACCTTAATCTACAAATAAGAAGTGGCGAAAAGGTTTGGTGACTTGACAGTTCTTACACAAGCTAAGAGATATTTTTTTTCAGTTGTAAAAACCATTACTATGATCAGCATTATTTACCTACATTGAGTTTGAAGTTCCATTTTGTCACTTGAAGTATTATGAATTTTAAACTGGGTAATTGAAGACCTTCCTTTTTTGAATTCAGGATTTTTGAGGGAAATAATTCGAATGTTAATCCGAATACGTTTGGATGTTTTTATAAAAAATTGCCATGCTAAATTGACACAAAATATATCTAAAGATTATCAGGAAATTTAAGGAAGCCGGGGTTTGTCCTGAGTTTCTCAATTGAGTAGCAATTTAGGCTTATTTTTAAATTCACTGAAAATTGTTTCTTGATTAACCTATCAACAGTAAAAACTTTTTGTGTAGCTTTTGAAAACTTGTGTTTTTCTAATCAAAACATGCGTTACACGTTAAATTTTCGTCATCTTTATACAAAAACATTTACGACACCAAAGTAGCAGCCATATTTTGATATTCGTGATTTATTTTTTCAAGATTGGAATCTGTGGAAGAACCGGCTCTGGAAAAAGCAGTCTTTTTTCTGTCCTCTTCCGGATGGTTCCATTAGAATCTGGTGCCATTCGAATAGATGGTGTCAATGCAATAAACATTCCGTTGAAAGTGTTGAGGTCTGTTTTTAATACACTATTGGTACCTCTATAAAAAATGTAACAATCGTGTCGTGTTTCTAGAGTTTCTTCCTTTTAATGATTTATGAGTTATTTAGTCGAGCAAGTGGCTAGAGTCAATGTTTCACACTATTTTGCAAAATTAAGATTTTATTTATCGTCGAAACTGTGTTGTATTTCCTATGAAGAGTAGCTCAGATGAGCTTCTTGTATGTTTTATATCTGTGCAATTTTAGCAGAAATTTGTTTGAATTCGACAGGTCCAAAATAGCAATTATCCCACAAGATCCTTTCTTATTTGATGGCTCTATCCGGGATAACATCGACCCTCTAGAGAAAGTAAGTCTTTTTCATTTCACATTAAATGATTTATATCTATGTCAGGGATTTTCGACCAAGGTTGGATTGATAAAGTTTAATTTTACAGTTTTTGGGTAACGTCTATGCAAGACAACCACGAAAGAAACAGTTTCTCTTTTGCATTTTCGTGGCAAAGAAAACTTCAGTATAAAAATATATATAAACATTTGATAAGAAGAGCATCTTGTGTATATGACAAATTATGAATATAAACATGATGGGCGCGGTCTCAAAGCTCCTTGGGTTGGTGTTCTTAAACACTCCCTCATTCATTGATGTGTTTATGTCGCTACTTCGTACTTCCCTTTATGTCACTTGGCAATTTTTGCATGTTTCCCTCTAAAAGAAATATGATTTTTTAAAAAATCAGACCGAGGAACATTGCTTTTATCAAAGAATCAGTTTGTTTAGGTCGTCCGTTTTACTTAAATTGAATTGTGTCGTTACTTGTAAATAAGAATATCTTTTACACCCAGTTTTCTTCGAATTTTCCAAGTGCGTTAAAAATCTATCTTCCCAGTTGCCCACTAATTATTTTGCTCGGTATGAAATAACGTGCGATAATGTGATGCAATTTTCAGTTTTTTTATCGCTTGATATTGATATATACCTTGTCCTGCAGCACACTGACTCAGAGATAACCTATATGTTAGAAAAGTGTCACGTGCTAGATTTGGTCACTAATATGGGTAGGTGTTATTTAATCCTGTAAAATTTCGTTCTGTATGTAAGTGCTTTAGGAGTTGTAAAGCTTCACGAAAAAGCCTGTTTATTATTTTCAGGTAGACAGTAGTATTTTTTTCCTGATTTTAAAAGTTTTTTCAAATATTTGAAAATTTTTCATAAATATCGTATTTTCGTATTTTACATATGATTCTAACTTAGCATCTGGTGCTATTTTTTGTACGATATTGCGCTTTTAGTTGCTCTCAGCACTATCTCTTGATTCAACCATTCTTTTACCTTGAAACGTTTCAGTTTGTTTCTCTATATCCTGGCACGCCCCTGAAATCTAGTGCTTACGAACTTCTTTTGCAATTTCAGGCGGGTTGGACGGAAGTGTAGGAGAAAGAGGCCAGAATCTTTCTGTTGGACAAAAGCAGCTATTTACATTGGCAAGGGCGTTACTTAGAAATTCAAAGGTTTGCTTTAGGAATTTTATTGACTAGACGTCCCCAGTACCCACTATTTTCCACAATGTGCCTCTTTTAACTCATGATATTGCTATTCACAAAGGTAAATAATTCGTTAAGCAGATTGATTCATTCCATTTCACCTGTACGGAAAGCGTTGCGTTGATCGTTCTTTAATTGTTGACTTTTTGTGAAAAAATGTTAAAGTTCCTGAGACGGTTGTCCCATTGTTTTTGTGAAGGACGAGTTCAGGGGTGCAAGCTTGCAGAGATACTGTTCTCAATTTTGTTCAGCCAAAAATAGAGACACAACTATGGAAAGTTAAGTCAACCAAGGTACATTAAAGGGATTAATTCTTGAAGGCTTTGGTAAAAGTTCTGAAGATGAACAGTCTAGGAAACGTTAACACGCAAAATCAAGCCTTCACAATTCGTACACGGATTTGTTTTAAGAATGTTTTATCTTTTGAGTCGGATCTGCCCGGTCTTGCTTTGCTGTTTCCTTCCAGAAACGAACAACAAAAAACTTCAGGTATACTTCATGTCAACTTCGCAGGGTGGGCTGATACTTTTAAATAGAATTAAGCATTTTCCACCATTTTGTTGTCATATACATACCGTATTTCTTTTAATAAATCCAGCACTTTATTATTAATTTCAGCACTTGGTGAGTGGGTGCTCATTTGAAGGGGCGCTTATTCGAGGGTATGTGTTTTTGGCGCCTTTTCGATTGAGGTGCCCATTCGGGGGAGGCGCTAATTCGAGAAAATACGGTTTTAAATTCGCGACCTCGTTTTGAAAAGTACTTTCAGATTCGCATTTATTATCAAATTTTTGTCTCCTATAGTTAGGCCGTAAGTTGAGTTGGTATGTAGCATTCGTTTTGCAATTTGATGCGTGTATAAAGGACCAATGCCGCCTTGATGCCTAGAATTGTTTTACTTGCATTCACCATACTTACTCTTTGCAGAACATTACGAAAGAAAATATTATTGTTAAACCAGTTGCTGTGCTTTTCAAATCTTTTTCGAGATCATTTCTTCCAAGATCAGTCTATAAACCCTAATGCATAATATGCAACTGCTAGTTATTTGAAATTAATGCTCTTGTAGATAATATGCATTGATGAAGCTACGGCCAACGTTGATTTGGAGACAGATAAGTTGATACAACAGACAATTAAAACTGAATTGAAAAACAGCACCGTTCTGACTATTTCTCACAGGTAAGTGTCCATTAGTTATTAATAACCACCATATTCTAATTGCAACTAAGTGCATTCCAAACAGGATTCTTGTAAAAAAGCTTTTGCATAAGCTTTTCAGATAGATGTTTAATAGCTAATTTTTTTAAAAATTTGTTACATATTCTATTTATATATTTTATGTATCATTTTATCTGCTACATAAGTTATATCTAACCTCTAAATGTTAAAAGTCTGGAATATTGATCTTCTACAACTATTTTACGATGTTTTATTACTCCTTGTGATTTTACTGATAAGGGCCTGTTCGTGAGACGCGGGCTAGCCCGGAAGTGTGTGCCAGCGTAATATAGCACACATTGCTTTTCTCCTAGCACCAGAGACCCCCTTTCCCCTCCTCAAATGAAATGTCTTTCCAATAGCCCTGTAGTTATCCAATTGAATCGAAGGCTCTTTTTGCTCATCACTCTGTATTGCTCAATCCCTATGAACTGCTTTATTGGATACCTGGGAATGTTACTTATTATTCTATCGCTATCTTGTTATTCAGTTTACAAACGAAGTATTGCTGCCATTCGACACCGTTATAAAGGGCTCTGCAACGCGCCTTAGTCTGCAGTCGAGTGTTCTAATGTTTTTATTTTGTTTTAGAATGGATACAATTTTGGAGAGTGACAGGGTGATAGTGATGAGCAAGGGAATTGTGGTCGAGTTTGATGATCCAGCTGTTCTAATGTTGAACACCAAGTCCATGTTCTACTCACTTGTCAATGGAATTTCTAAGTGAAAGGAAAAGCAGACAGACATTAGTAAAAAAAGGGGGAAATGTGTTCAAATTTTCCATTTTTTTCAAAGAAACCATAATTTTTTTTTGAAATCCCAAAGCCTCACTACCATTGTCCATGACAGGATAAAACCCGCCATTTTGAACTAAAATCGAAATTATTTAAAAGTGGTTGTGTCTCGGCATTCTGGCCTTGAGATTTGCTCTTCAAGTACTTGTTCCTAAATGAATCTTTTCCATTACCTATTTTTCATGAATGGGCAAAAAGTCTTTGATTTTGTGATTTCTACAAGCACTGTTCCCCTGAAATATGTAAACTAACTCCGTGGACATAGAGCTTTGGGGCCTTAAATATATAATTATGGCCTGATAGTTTCTATCAATGCTTCTCAAAGTCCGCTTGAGGTTACCACTTAAACCTGAAAAATATTTGTCAACCTAGGGTTCTACTATTATGTACCCTGTACACAGTGCTCTGAACGTGAACCTTTGAGCTATTGAAAAGGAATTTTCCTTGCTCGTTGTGTTTTATATTACTCTGGTTTCTCCTTAAATTTGATAAAACGTTTTGCCCATAACGTGGATTTCCTCATGATGAAATAATAGGTTTAACTACATTTTTTAGATTCACTTTGTGCCATATATGATGTCACAGGGGTCTTTTTTAAACATACCAGCTTGATTGTGATGTCAAATTTTCCATTTGAGAAATATGGGCTGCGTTTTATTTCTTGAAAAGAAGTACTTGCCATTAAAATTTATAATGTGAAAAATAATTATTTATGATGAGTTTCAATCTTCTTGTCTTTTTGTTGTAGTTTCTCTGTAAAAATGAAAACAAAACATTTCAAACTCTTAGAACCTCTCTGCGATTGTGTCATCTGTGTTTTTAACCAGCTTGAAAGTTATGTAATCTGTGTTTTTAACCAGCTTGAAAGTTAGGTAGTGAATTTGGACTATTGTTGTTCTTTATTTAACCAACATGAAGGCATTTTTATGTTTACCGAGACTACCGAGACCCAATTACAAGCAAAACAATGCAGTTCGCGGGGCATTCTAAAACTTTTGCAGGGAATAAACAGAAAAGCCTGCAAGTATTTTCTAAACTTTAATTGCATGCAATTTTCGGAAGGCTTTCCTCTTGGGGAAATACGTTTATCTTATCTGTATTAGCATAGTAATACTCTTTAAGACCAATTATACTATTAATGTAGGTTGACAAAAACGACAAAAGACCCTTTTTATAGTTGGAGTACCACGAAAGTCCCTTCTTAAAGTTTTGATAGTCAATTGCATGCAGTGGCGGATTTAAGAGAGGGGGCAACTAGGGGCAGTTGCCCCTCCCTCGTCGAGTTGAAGCAAGTCTGGCGCCTCTTTTTTGGAAATTCTGCGCCCCTTTTGAAGAATGAGAATCAGGTGAAAAAGATTCTGAGACCGATAGATTAATTTGCTTCAAGGATTACCTCAAAGTTTTGTTGCTTATTCGGAAAATGGATCTAAAATTGTTGTATACAGCGTGCTCTGGTCATCAGCTCTTGAAAATTTTTCAGCGCCCCCTCCCCCCCTACCAACTGCCCCTTCTTCAAGTTTGCTCTGGATCCGCCCCTGATGGCATGCTAAAATGAATTTCCGATTACAAAGGATGAGTTGGTTTTACCCATTTTTAATAAGATATCCATATAAGGACATGGGGGTATTTAGACGTCACGTGACAAATTAAAGCTCATTTTGCTACTTTAAATATATTTCTACCAAAAAAGATAAACTATCCTTCATATCCGACTGCTTAGACGGGATTTATTTTGTTAAAAAGGTCATTCCAGCCACGTTTCTCCGTCGCAGAGGAGAGGCAGGAGCTTCTCCTGATTTAACCCCCATTTTACCCCCAAAAACAGCGGCAAATCCCCGTTTACCATCACAATTCAATATCCCCCGTTGATAAAGAACTCGAAACTGGGATTCAAAATTTCCCCGGCCCAAAGTGGTACTCCCCGCCACTTCCGTCTGGTCTATTAGGGCTACAGCTTGTTGGCACTCACTCTGTCGCCCATTGTAACCCCTGTACTGATCCAGAAAACCTCTACAACAGCATCAACAACAAGTTGTGTGTACCAGGGGTAGGAAGCAGCTTTCTTCGGTCGAATAATGCCGATGATATGATCAAGAGTTACAGTTGTTGTTATGGAGAGAATATTGAAAATATCTTCGTGAAAGCTTCAAGAACTTGTTACGTCTGATTTAAGTCAGTCCAAATATCATTTCCAGCATTACCACTATGACCTTAACGGCCTTTATAGTGGCACTGTTAACTCAGGCCCTTCATTATAAAGCGTAAAAGGAAGTTAGTAGTTTTGAATTATTTTCATTTTGATAACCAGCATGTTCGCCGATTGGATTTCGTTGCGTTCTAATGTCGAAGACGACTTTGGTGTTAAAAGCGTCTTGCAGAATTATCCTCCAAATGTTGGGAAAGATGTTGCAACAAACATCGTGCATAGTTTACAGTACAGTGATAAAGTAAAGGCCCTGCAAACGAAAGAGCAGCTTGAATGGACGATGGAAGTTATTTGTTTTGGACTTACAATGCCAATGACAGAAATTGAACTCATAAGGAACTGTGCTTATTTGTATTTGGATTGGGCTGCTGTGATATCAAATTCAAGTAAAAATAATATCCCAAAGCCTATAATTGAGGAGAAAGAGTTTTATTTTAAAAAGATTCTTAAGCATTTAACCAACCTTTTCATGCCAAGAGAAAGCTCTTCATCACCAGAGCAAGCAAAACTCTGCAGCCAAGTCATTTTTCATATCCGTGCACTTGTCACTAATGAAAATCATTTGAAGGAAGAAATTTGGGAAGATTTACTCATCTTTTTTCTTGGTATCACTGGCCACTTACTGTCACCACCACCTTTTCCACATGGACTTGCTGAACATCTTTGTGATCAGCTTGTTAATTCACTGTTTTTTGTATGGCTTCTGGCAGCTGGAAACAAGTTTCCTTCACCACCTTTATGGGTCACATTGCAAGATTTTTGTCTGTCATGGCGACATCATCAAACACTGATTGCCCAATGGAACAAACTCATGTGTTCATTAACAAACAAGGTCCTTCACATTCTCTATGGCCCACATTGTCTTCCTGAAGATAAATTAAAGGAAGAGGATAGGTTTACGATTCCACATGGCCTTGATGCAGAAATTGTTGTTCAATGCTGGTTCAGGTTCCTCCATATTCTTGGTAGCCCTGTTGTATTGTCATCCCCAGAGAAAATATCAAGCACACAACATTTTATGCAGTATGCATTAGAGCAAGGTACATCTCCAAGTGAGCATACCTCTTTAAGATCACTACCTGGGAGTTTTCTTAAAGCCATGAAAGGAGTTTCAATTCTTACTGATATGTTCCTTGATGTGAGATATATAAAACATGGAGTTCGTTTGGAAACTCAAGGTACAAGATTAGAGAACTTTGATAGCTCTAAAAGCCAAGATGCTAGGGGCGCAACACTTTCACCTAGTCCATCTTTGGATATGTTGGCTTCCATATTGACTGTTCCAGGTCCACTTTCACCTGCAGATGCAGAGGGGAAATCTTTCTCAGATTTAGAGCAAGAAAAGGCACAGACAAAGCAAGGCTATGTAGGTCCTGGAGTCAATAGCATATTGCACATTTTTGGTGCATGGCTTTTTGATGCAACTCTATCTGGAGTGGATTTGAATAAAGTATTGATTTCATTTGCTTTCCATTCAAGAGAGCTTGTGTCACCAACCTCCTCATTATCAAAAAGGTAGGTTATATTCAATTTGAAGTTTTTGATTGCAACATCAATCAATTCCATGGCCTATAAGCTACCTTTCTTTTTGCATCATCCTGATATCAGGTCTTTGAAAATTGTGCGTAATCTATATCAAGCATATAGCTCTACTCTGGCCTTTTCTCTCGCTTTGACTAAACCTGTGATCAATTTGGTCAAAGTAATTATTTGAGCTCTTTGTCGATGGAAGTTGCCAGTGACAATTGCTTTCAATGATTTTGAAATTGAAATTTTTGGAGAAAAGATTGAATACTGATTTGTATTTATGCTACCTATTCAAATTTCCAGCATTTTCAAAACATCTTTGTTGGCAAGCATTTAATCAAATTGTCTCAATTGCTGTTTGACAACCACTCTTATAAAATCTAATTCAGTCTTAGATGGTAAGATTTGAAACACATTTTGTAAAAATCAATCATTGTTGTTTGGTTGATGTCCAGGTTCACACCAAAGAAGGATGAATTCCAACATGGACGAGCTGAGGCATTTGCAATCCTATGTCATATATTTTCATCCCAGAGAGCTGGGGAGAATATTTTACCAGTTTATCTTGGTAGATTTTACTTGAGTTTGGCTGTTGGACTGTGCTATAAAGTGGTATGTTTATTTTGATACTAGCTTGTTTAGCATCCAGTCTTATATGTTAAGAATTTCTAAAAAATTTGCTCAGCAGAAAAGATTCAACCTTGTTCAATTCTGAAAGAAATTTTTCAAAGTCAATTAATTCGAGTTAATTTTGCAAAAATCTTTTGTTATTTTTTACTTTTTTACTTGAATAAGCCAAAAGTTATGATGGAATTTTGCTTGCGTAGACTCTTTGTGCCACCATAATTTGTGTAAGCTGTCCAGTTTTTGATTTGTCTAGTCCAGATGACAAAGAAAGCTGAAGCTATGAAGATATCTATGAAAATTACTGTTTACTGGTCTGTCATGAAATGATCAGTCCCTTATAGGCACAGCTGTATATGCTCCTAGCATGCTATCAAGATATTATATGATTAAAAATGCAACATTTGAAAAGTTAAATCCCAGGACAGTAAATTTTCTTATAAGTAGCTAAGTGCTTTGCATGCAGAAGTTGTCTTTAGCAAAATGTTATTTCAAATAATGAGATATATTTGGAATTCTTTGTAAGTAATATTGAAATTCTTCATTTCTTACAAATCATGTTTCTGATAGGTACATCAATCCATAAGTTACCTCTGCTGCTTAAATTTTAGACTCTTGCTGGTCATGTTTTGAGCAGCATCTTAATGAGTGCTGAAAACATTCTGAGGATTGACTTGCAAGGTGTGCAAGTGCTCATACCACACATCATCACAGCACTAGACATCACATTGCCTGTTCAAGAAAAGGAGCTAAATCTTGGGTATTTGGAAACATTATCACAATTTTTGACATTGCTTAGCAATTGAAAGTTACCTCATGGTGGAGTAATAACACAAGGAATTGCACTTTTTCTTTTTCCATTCACAAAACACTGTAAACAAAAGCTAGAGACTCCCAGAATACTCCTGCCATCATTTTGTGTTATGACTCTGTGAAAAAGATATTATCCCTTGCATTAGTTTGGTTGGTGCATCATATAACAAATTATACCAGAGACAAGTGACTCTTGTGCTTCAAGCAAAGGTCATTTAAAATCTGAAATGATATGATTTTACTCAAAACTGTGACTTACCCAGTTAGCAAATAGTGTTTATTCCTTTCCATATTGTGTTTTTCAAATATGAGTGCCATTCTTCGAAGCCTATTTTACTCAAAACTGTGACTTACTCAGTTAGCAAATAGTGTTTATTCCTTTCCATATTGTGGCACATATTTCAGGGCACATACATAGTTTTATATTTAACCTTAAAGGTTTTACATACAGTAATATTATTTTGTGTCCTTTTTCTCAGCAATCACTATCCTTCAGTTTTGCTGAAAAGATCAAGCATACAACTGTTACTCTCAATGGTTTGCTTGCCGCTGCACTTTCTTTCCCTTACAATCGAATGTAAGTGTCCTTTCTTGTCATAAAACGTTTTCTAGTTTTTGGGTTAAGTATTATTTTGCAATCATTAGAAAGTGTTTTGTAGGACAAGGGTAATAAGAATTATTCAAGTAATTATTTAATGTGTCAGTTGAAGGGCTTCTGGTTAATGGACTGATCCTTTTACATATCTCAGTTATATCAGATAGGGCAATTCATATTGTGGTGTGGTGGATTTTGTTTTTTCTCAAAGCATTATTTTGTTTGTTGTTTTCTTTATTTTTCTTAGTTTGCTACCAACAGAACCCTGATTGAGACTGACTGATTTATGAAATCAGAGTTATTTATTGTTTTGCAAGTATATTCATCAAAATCAAATCTTCTAGCTAGCTAGAAAAGGAAATAAACTGGCCATGGCCCCAATACTTGGCTCCAATGCCAAGTAGACTTACCTGTATGTGTCCTTAGCTGATCCATTGATGTATACAATTATTTTAAATACGTAATTTTGGCTTGGATTTTCAATAACAAAAACTGCAACTTATATGATGCTATCTTCTGTATATAATGTTTCTGTTTGTAGCAATTTGGGAAAATTCGTCAAATCCTGAGCCAACAGAACGTCTAACATTCTTATCATTGAAACCACGTTTGACTGCACTGCTGATTCTTGCTTTGGACGTTGAAACAGACCCTCTCAACATCCAGATGCTTCTTGGAGGTATGTCTGCTTGCAAATCATTCAATATTATCAGTTTATCACACCAATCACTTTTCAATCTTTTTTATGCAAGCAACGTAATGTAAGGGGTATTTTGTTGCAGTATTATTACTATAAGCTTGCAAAATTATTCTTTCAACAGTGTAGATTGCAGAATTTTAGCATATCTCTTCTATTAGGCTGTCTCTCTAAGACTTTCATGCATAAAGGGAAACTTTACTTTAAGACATTTCCGCACCCTACTATGAAAATTCCCCTAAATGTTTACATAGTCAAAATAATGAAAAATCAACAAGCCTGCATTTTGTTATCATTGGTGTCTGGTAATAAATTTTCAGGTATCGAAAAACAAAACAATCATTTATTTTGTTTGATAGGCGCGATGTTGCTGGTACAAGACACAGTGGCTATCGAGACTAAGTCTATCACAAACCAGTCAGTGAGCACAGGACCCAGCATAACAATAGAACCAGGTAAAGAATCTTGGCTGCAACGTTCTCAAACTACCATCAGCTTATCAAGAGCTCTAAACAACAGCGAAAAGAACTCTGAAGAAATGCAGACTAGCGAAGTCAAAGAGGCTAAGGGTGATAAGGAAAAGCTAGAGATGGGATCTATAGGTGACTCAAAAGGTTAGTCATGGATTCAAATACTCTAATCAGTTATTTTTCAACTGTGTTTTCCTAGCAGACCTTGTGCTATTGTTTAAGAAAATTGCCTATGACTACCTGGCTAGTGCCAGAAGATGAATTTCCACCACATTCTCATATCGCACCACAGGCATCCTTTACCGTCATTCTCATTTCACGCATTCGCTAATCCCTATTGTTTACTTTATTTTTGCCACGCTATTCAATTTACTCATCACCATTTTTCGCCCTTCCGATCATTTGTGTTTATTTTAGTAATGCATTTCTGTATATAGGTATGTTAATTTTTACCTATGTAGTTTTAGTTCAGTTAGAATCAAGAGACATGTCGTCTCCTCTCTGGTTCCGTTCTCTCCACACGGTAAATATTACTCGCTGGGTATGGAAATGACACGTTAGTCATGGATGGATTTATTTAGTACCTACATCGATCGTATATCTTCTCGGAAGCTAGTAAAGTATCGTCAAAGTTAAGCGAAATTTCCTGCCAGTAAGATTTCTTTCGTTTGTTTTTGCCTCATTCCTCTAGTAGGATCTCTTTCGTTTGTTTTTGCCCCATTCCTCTAGTAAGATTTCTTTCGTTTGTTTTTGCCCCATACCTCTAGTACGATTTCCTTCGTTTGTTTTTCGCCCTATTCCAGCAGTAAGATTTCCTTCATCCTTTAGTTTTTCCTAGAATCAAGGTAATGAACTCAACTGTATATGAAGCTGCTATTTTTAGGGGCTAGTACAGTACTTCTAGCCAAGCAGCTTTTCGAAACGCTTTAAGTTAGAAATTTTATGTGAAACGATCTCTGCCTTCCAAAAACCTGTATGATAATGACTTGTATAAGAGGAATTGCACTGTTCTCAGTTATTTTGATTTAGATTTTAGATAAAGTTTTTTTTCACGAGAACGTTTAGAATCAGATATTATTAAAGATGTATCATCTAATTATGCTGACAACAAACACTTTTTAGATAACTCTCGACTGTGACCCCGGCTTTATTAATATTTGGTGCAAGAAATTTTCTGAGTGTTTTCAAATTCAAGTATTAATGCTTCTTAACATTTTATAACATTGTTAAGACTTTTTCATATTTAAATGAGATCGCTCATATTCACATAAAGTAAAGAAAAAACTGCTGCCAACAATTTTGGTACGAAATTTCTAGTAATTTCTTTTGATTAACGCTAAGAAATTGTTTCAAGAGATCTATGATGTTAAGATCCATAGGGAATTGTTCTACTATTCGCAAACATGCAACTTCACCACAAACTCTTTCTATATTATCTTCAAATCATTCATTTGCAGATTTATCTACAACTAAAGGCTTGTTTTTCTACCTTGTCCCATTCCTACGCCAAAAGTTGATGTTTTCTACCGAATGGCGATCCGAAATGAATGTAACATTGACTGCACTAGAGTTACTTGCAGACCTTGCAAAGCTGGATGCAAGATTTATTGGTAGGTCAATCAAGACTTTTTGGCTTTCTTATGTGGCAGTCATAAAGACACAGTCAGCATCCTTTATACATTAATTATCATTAATTATCATTACTTACGTTTGACAATAATTATCAGGCTGCGCCACTGTATTCTGTTGAGACGCCCAAAGTTCAGATTGTTTTAATAAACAAAGAGCGACTTGCTTAAAAGCTGCTTTGGAAATACTGCTGGTTTGCTACTTATATTACACTTGGAATACTTAACATTAAAGTACCACTGTTAAGCAACAACAACTACACACGTTACTTCACAATCAACTGGAATGTCCCCCTACTCCAGCTTCTGAGATTCCAAGTAAAGTGTACCTAAGATGTGTAGACACGTCCATCTTAATCATGGTTTTTCTTCCTGGTACTACCAACCCAAGTTATAAACATTTCGAGATACTGATTCGAATTTTTCTTAATTTAATTGGTCAATTCAAACCCTTCACTCTTGCCCTGCCTTCTCTTTCTTTCTTTGTAACTTCTCTGTTTTCTCTATTAAACTTCTTCTCTTAATTCTATTTTCCTTTTCTTTCTCATTGCAATGTTCTGTGCTCTTTAATTTTTCCCTTTTCTCCTTCCATTAGATTTCCCCTTGTTCCACTAAATACGCTGTAGCTAAATTGTGAATGTTCTTTTTTGCTATTGCAGATGTCAACGAATCAAAGGAATGCTTGAAATGGATCTGCACTTTCATTGAATTTCAAGCTAACAAGCCGGCTCCTTTTCACGTTCGAGATTTGCATTCCATAATCGTAGCTGCTTTTAATTGCCTGTCTCAGTGGATTTTGAATCATCATTGGTTGCTTGAAGATGAGGTAAGGCTTTCTGAAACAACAAACATTGATGTTAAAGGCCAATTTAAGTGAATATCAGTAGACAACCGGGGTAGCAGTTAATATTTCTCTTGGGCGAAGGGGGCTGGTGCCCCCAAAAAATTATAAATTTTTGTTATTTGCAGTGTAAAATTCCTTTTGTTCCTTTTTTGACAAAACAATGTTCCCCCAATTATTCTATCAATCTTAAAATACTGAACAAGACATTGTTGCCATGTCTCATTGGTAGTAAAACATCTGACTATAGACCTTGTTTTTGGCTCTCTTGTACTTGTTTGTTCTTGGATACTGAAGGTACTTTTGTGTTGGAACTGTAAGGCTGCTGCAAATAATATTATTTGCTTACTTAATCCAATAATATCCTGGGTAATATGTTATATGCTAGTCAGTGAGGTTTCTAGAAGTCTAAAAGTCTGCATAATTTCACGAAGAATGGTGGTGTACGCCTTGACTGCATATCAGAGTAAAATTATTTCAATTCATTATTTTTTTCTTTTTAAGTTTCAGTTTTTCGTTGCAGCTGTGTCTTATGTCAGTGTTGGAAGTTGTAGAACTTGGCATATCGGGCACAAAGTCTAAGGTATGTTTTGAGCTTAGCTTTTCGTAAAATCATCTAATATTTATCAATGTACAAATAATGTTTCTGAGGTGGATAAACTTATGCACGCCTTGCAGATTGGATGCTTATAGAAAATTCTTTAAGAGCAATAACAAGGAGGAAAGGGTAGAGGTAGAAGGTGTGTGGGTGGCTCAGTAGTTAGGATTGCGGTCTACAGATCGAAGTTTCTGTGGTTCGATTCCCTAACAGTACCAAACTTTCACATGGAGTGAGGAGAGTCGCCAGCTCTCTGTATTTCCATGCATAGGAATCACGAGTTGTGGTCACATCGAGAGAATGGGCTAGAACACTGCTCGATAAGCATAGGTTCTCAGTTTCCTAAAGCTACCTCCAGTTGCTAGAAGGCAACAAATACAACAGATATAACTACCAACAGTATTGTTGTAATAAAACAGATAAACCTAAATTGACAATAATTTATCCATTGAAAGTGGTAAATTTTTCAAAGTTCCTCACGCTTTCATTTTTTCCCACCTACAGATATCATCAGCTGAAGGAAATTTCACTCTGAAAGGTAACTCAATATCAATTAGCTTTCGAGATATATCTTCTGATAATCTTGCAATGATTTGCTACATAGATGTACAACAGAATATATGCTTTGTGCTTTTTTGAACTCTAATACTCAAGTATCACTAATCAATGACCATACTTGTCTGAATATTAACTGTTAAACCTTACACGGATTACCAACATATAATGGTTTTTGGTTCGCATGGAATTGCTTTAATTTATATTGAAGTTCATAAGTTGTTATATTTGCTAGCCTTCTTCATTCTTTGTAAAAAAAGCTGCTTATGTCGAAAAATTGTAGGTCCGGACTTTTTTCTATACTGAAGTTCGTCCTATTGGAATTATGGGTGAATCGAAAAATGGCTTGTGTCGCACTTGAATTGCTAAACTGGTAAACTGGTTTTGATTTATGTTTGTTAGGTGCGAAAGAGTTGAAGCCGGTCTCACTGAGAGTAAGGGAAGCCGCGGAATGTGTCCTCTCGTTTATCATGGAGAAAACGGTAACTTATCGAATTTCATTACTTCATTTTACTTTCAGTGCCTTTCTTTTATAAAGTTATGTACTTCCTTGTGTAATCTTTCAGGGCATACATTTAAGTATTGATTGTTGAAGCCTTTGCTTTATAAGCTTCAACAAATTTAAACAACTCCCAATGAAAACTTTCTTCTGAATTCTGTAACGATCGTATCCCTAATCGTGTTTAGTAAGAGCAAAGTGATGATGGTTGAATATAGGGTACTGGCACAGTGCTGGCAAAATTAGATTACAATGAATCACTGAGTTTGGCTTGTCCTTCTTGTAGGGTGCTTTCCCTAATCCATCAGGATCTGCTTCTTTATCAACCCTTGTTGACGAAGAGGCGTTAGCAGCCAATGCATTGAAGCAAGATGGAAGAAAGGTAAGTTTGGTTTACAAATAAGTCATTTCATGTCAGTGATTCTGCTGTCTTTTCTTAGGCACATTTGAGAATAAGCTGGTTTTGGTAAATTTCTATGATAGTTCTGTATGGCCTACAGGGTGTCAAAATGTAGCTTACAAGGTGTTTTGAAAAGTATTTGGGTAATGTGTTTCCGACTTGGTCTATTAATTTACTGCCAATAAATATGCTCATCTCATTTAATAAACATAAATATTATGTCAACACCAATAGTATTATTTGCCGCTATATGATATTCCATCCGCAAGTAGATGCTACCTACTATTCACTGTCACTCGAACTCATACAAAACAAGAATCAATTGTTAAATTTAATTTTTTTATGTATATTTGTCCTTTGCTTTTTGGTATGATTGCAATATTCCACTATATTTTTTCTTTAGTTTGTCTACTACGCTATTGATGGCTCATGCATTGTTGGAATCCTTGAAGATACGGTGGACAGAGCTCTAGGTATTTTATTCTTCTCGCTATCCCATAAAGTCCTATTGCCACTTCCTAATTTTCATGAATTGTGGAAACAACTTTTGATTGGCTGAAGCGCTACCATTTTGAATTAACGCATGGCAGCTTTGTACCTTTGGAAGTCAACGTTGAAGCAGTGGTTAGAGGGATGCGGGGTTTTTGGCCTCCCCGGTCAGCACGAAGTACAGTTGATTTGTCGATTGAAAGTTTGAAGTCCCGTTAATCGGAGGCAAGACTATGAATAGAAATTTGTTTCAGCGCTTTTACTCAAGATGTTGAAAAATATGGAAATCCACTAATTTTGGTCTAGTCTACGTCATGTTTGGACTTTCTTAGACACACCCGTCAAGAGAACGAATTAAATCTACTTGATAGAGTTATTCGATTGCAACCTTGATTCTAGATGAGACTCATTTAGTTTATATTTGCATGCATACATGTAAAACTGAAATGTTATCTCCCGAATTTTAAAATTTCAATCAGAGAAATGTGATACACAAGCGATCTGCATTTCAAAGTTATACTCAAATTAATTCATAGTAAAAAATTAAACAGAAATGTGTAATATACAACCAATAGGCTGAGAGTCAAGTTAACCGTTGCAGGCAACCTGCCCTCTGTGTCGAGTATAATTCGCGGACCAACAGGAAAAACGGCCAGTGTCATGCAGCTACGATTCTTTGCAAGATCCAAACAGGTAAGGAGCGTATTTCCGATCATTTCCTGTAGCGCAAATCAATACCCATACATGGTTTGTACTGAAATGCTCTGGAATTGAAAAAATGTTAATTGAGCGTGTAAACGTGATCGAAGATAACTCCAGCTACAACTGAAGCAATAACATGATCGTGATATGGACTCACTTCTAAGTCTCGAGGAAATAGAAGTGGTTCGAATAATGAGGGCCAATTTAATATATCACATATCTTTGAAAGTAATGGCTCAAAATAGATTAGAACTGGTTTAAGTAGCTGGGAACTTCGAACAAGGGCCATTTTGAAACATTTGGTGCCAAATGTATTGCTTGATATTCGCAAAAAAGTGTTAAATCTTAAGAGTGTTTGTATATTCAAATCACCAGATAAAATTATTAAAAGTTGCTCAGTATGTTGTATGTTCTTTGTATGTGATATTGGTATCATCTCATTTAGTATCAGAGGAAACATACTTATGATATTTTATGGTAAAACGGAAGGGTTCAAAAATGCCTCGTAAGCTAAAGATTTATTCCAAGGAGCATTTAGTTGTTTGTTACATCAGAATTTAGTTGTTTGGTACATCAGATAATTATTTGGTAGACAAAATATGATTTGTTTGTTGCAAAATATGCAAAATAATCAGATTATCAAAGGTGCAAAATATGATTTGTTTGCTGGGTTTAGGCTGTTTGCTAATTATTCCAAAATCTCTATCTATTCCTATCTATAAAGACATTTGAAGGAGTAGATTTCAATTGTTTCGTGACTCTTCATTTCTGCTTCATGAATTTTTACTGCTTTGAACATTCGTTCTCGATCACGTGCTTTTTACTGAACAAGAAAAAAAGTTTACTGTATTTACCAATCAAATTGACGACACATGCTTGCCCTTTAAACGAAAGTTCCCCCTGACCAGCTTTAGTGGCATTAAGTTTGTCATGATTGCTGTGCTGGCAGATTCATCTCCATAGTTTATCTTGTTGACTTGCCACGTCTTATAATACACCATTTTCCATTTAGTCTGTAGCTTTTGCATATCGAAACGAACCTGCCCGCCCTGAAGCAATTGAGTCGCATGAGCAACCCCCGGTAGCCAATCAAAGATGTTATCCAGAAGCTGTAGATGGTGTGGGGAAAGTGAACGCGTACGTGCGAACTATCGATGTACTCCTTTGTTTTATGTATACAATAGTTAAGCACTCTATGTATATTTTTACCTCACAATCAGTTGGGGCTGCCAATTCTTTGCACATCAATGTTTATGCATGATCGTTCCCATGCCTCAAGCTTTCTTCAAATGCATACCTCGTATGCATGACGTTGCGTGCTTTAACAATGTTTTTACACCACGTTTATTCTTAACACTGTCTTTATGCATTCGGTTGACTTCAAGTCATTGTTTTTATTTTTAAAAGTCATTTATAGTGCAAATTTCAATAGCAAATTTTCATTGATACTGGACTGAAGGCGATGTGGCCATTAATGCAAGAAACCAAGAAGCAGGCTTTGTTAATTACAAACTTAAGTTCAGGCTTTTCTTGTCGATTTTGGAATGCTTTTAGTACTATCGTTTTGTCCATTTTTGCATGTTTTTCATTATGTTTTGTTAAGCAAGAGAAAGTCTGTAGAATGAAGTGCAATGTTTTATTCTAAAATTGCTTTTAGAGAGTATAGCATACCAAGTATAGATGATATCTTAGAGGAAAGCCTAAACGAATTGCAAGACCAGATGAAAGAGATAATGCATGTTCAGGTTTGTTCAATGCGCTATTTTATGTTTGCAATTTTTCCGCTTGATGTATTGGTGTAAAAATAATTGAAAAATATACCTATGACTTCTTGTATGAATACCGTTTGAATTGAATTGAATTGTAATACGTGACTTATAATTTTCGGACTTGATAATTAATTTTGTATCCGTACTATCACTTAGTAAGCATTTATATTTTGTCTGCAGTTCCTTTTTTTCGCCATTGCATTGTATAGGCACACCTTAATCTAAGGGAAGCTAGAAATTAACCCTAGTTTTTGTATTTACATTTTCTAGGAGCAGCTAGAAATGACAACCCTCAGTACAGCTTCTGACGATTTGGTCATGTGCAGAGAAGAGAAGCAGCCTACGTATGTTTATGTCATTGACACCAGTTGACAAGCCTCGTGTTCTTGTCTTTACGCTGACAGAATGTTGTTCTGTTTTTCATAAATATCATTAGAATTTCGGAATATTGTGCTAGGGAGTAATGGAAAAAAATACTAAAAAACATCTCAGTTCTTTTAACGAGGGTTTTGTTAAAAGTTTTTTTGTGTTTTTAAAAGGAGCATAAGAAAAGTTTGGGGAATGTTTCTAAAAGGAGCATAAAAAACCGAAACTTGAGGGTGGCTTTGAGCGTAACTTAAAGAGACATTAAGCTTTATAATACTATCATCTTCAGGTAAACTTTACTTTACATTTTTCTTATAATCATTAAAAATGTGGGCCTGTGATAACATAAAACCCCTTTTACAAAATGAGGGTCACAGCAGAAGAACATTCTGAGAGGAATAATTAGAACATGGAAATTTCAAGTGATCGATTATCGCTGATTAAAAGCATTGCCAAAACTAACAACAGCAAGGGCAAAAACATGCAACCTGTTAAGAAGACATGCACTGCCACTTTCTCTCATGGTCATTGATCATAGGAAATATATCAATGTCCATGATGATAATTGCTCAATAAGCCTTACTTTAGCAGATATATTTTGATATTATACCTGAAACTATGTTGCCTTTTTAGCCCGGAGATCGACTTCAGGGCGGCAAAGCTGTATCTGTCTCACTTGGGAATGCTGAATTTAAGCGGCATTGAGGTATGCTTACACCCAGTCGATTTTGAAATATGTCAAACCTAAACTCTATATTTTCTTCTTTTAACAACTTCGCGATCAATTTTTTTTAAAATCGTATCATGGGAAAGTTTTGAAAACACAAAATCGTACTCGTAGATACTATGTTGATTTCAAACATCGCCTTTACTGGTGTTTAAGTTAGTCGTTATATTTTCGTAGGCCCTTAGTTTAAATTAGTTTAGAATTCCAGTACCTCTTGCGTGTTCTGTAATACAAGCTGCTCTGAAAGAGCTCCTAAGAGAGATCGTATTTTCCCACATCGTAAATAGTTCCAGCTGACAAACAATTTCCCCATGAAATTGTCTTTATATTGACGTAAAATGTAGGAGCTCAAAAAGGTTCCTCTAATGCATACATAAGCAATTTTTTTCTTCCTCTATAGAGAAAGTCAAACCGTCCTTTTGCGAGACTTCAGCGTTTAAACTCCGAAGATGAGACTTTTGAAAAGTCATTGAGGGCTCTGGACAGAATGTCTTGTAGAACATATGACAAGATGTACGTATTCATGGTGAGAAAGGATCAAACAGATTGGGAAGATATTGTAAAGAACGAGGTGAATGCTTGCGAATATTCAACTTTTTTAAATTTGTTTTCTTTTATCTACACCTTCGTTTGCATCTCCATTTGCATCTTGGAATGCATAATCTTGTGCATCGTCGTGTCTATCTTCATGTACGTCATCGTGTACATCGTCGTGTGCATCTTCATGTCTATTTTCGTGTACAACTTCGTATAGATACTTGTGTGGATCTTCGTTTGCATTGTCGTTTGCATCTTGTTGTATCTATTTCTACCTAGCATCCGAAGGTAATTTTAAGGACACTGAAAGCTTATGCTTATCGAGCAGTGTCCTGGTCCTTCCTCTCGATGTGACCACACCTCGTGTGCATCGTCGTGTGCATCTTTGCGTGCGTTTTCGTGTGCACTTTGTATGCATTTTTCTGCGCACAAAAGAGAGTTGCATTTGCTGATCGGAATGACATAAGTCTTTATTTAATGTTTTCTTTAGAGTTGTGATCATCCTGAGGTTTTACTTGTTATAAACATTTGAATAGTTTTGCAACACTTTTGTTAAACGGTACAAGCCTCCGAAAAAATAATTGATGATGAATTTATGATGCTTAACGTCTTCTGTTGCATGTAAATTATCAATAAAGTAATTCTTCTTACTCTTATAAGTTGTCCAACGAGCGAAATTAGTTGTGAAAGTTTTCAAAGTAACCTAAGATTTAGGCAGTTCTGTCACCAAATAGTTTACATTTTCTTCGAGTGCCAAAGACACGTTATCTAGCTAAATGCAACGGTTTGTACGCGATATCATGTACCAATCTGGAATAAAGCCTCGAGTTGGTATGTAAACAAGAATCAATGCTTTTTAGATTGGCCCAGACGATGAACATTTCGTGGAATTCATCATGTCTTTAGGATGGCCAGTGACTGTTGGAAGTCATCCTGGCTGGACTGGTGATCTCTCAACTAGTTGGTTGTCAAAGCAGCAGCTAAGTGAACTTGACAATCAAGGTTTGTTTCTTTTCCATGAGCTAGCTTGATTTGATTTACTTGTTTTGGTTAAAGATTCCTCTTTACAAGCTGCCAGGGCCACTTTTAAATCATCAATGCTGCTGCTCTGGCGATGAATTTTTGAGTAAAGATTCAGCAGTATTATTAAAACAGGTTCAAAGCACTCTTAGCAAGATTTTGAGCTCTTTTTGCCAAGAATAAAGAAAGCACTTTGAGGAGATTGGTCAAAAGAAAAGTTTTAAGCTGAAAGCTGCCGTTAAGACGAGACGTTATTTCGTTACCTGTAAGTTTAGTTTGACTTCCAGTTTTTGTATTCTGTTAATTTTTTTCTTTATAGACATTGCCGGTGAACAAATCCTCTATTATGCTGATGTTACAACAGAGTTAGCGATTTTGGTTCCTGCTTTGAATGCTCGTCAGGTAGGACCCCATTGCCTCAATTAGTTTAGATTAAGATATAGTAATTGTGTCAATAAGCAAGGCTAAGATTCTTAAATTTTTGCGGATTAGTTGGCTTTCCTGCGAAAATTTGTTTTTCTCGTGCGGTTTTTCTTTGGAAATGAAGCCAGCCACTGTTTAGGTCATCAATAGTAAAATGTAGATCATTTTCGCCTACTGATATAGACATAGACATAGATAAAGAAAATTTAGGTGCTATTTCACCTACTGATTGATGATGTTACCGACAAACACAGGGTTTTGTGGACTAACTGAAGGCTTACCGACCAACACATAAAGTATTAGGGGGTGTCACACCCCTACACCCCCCGCTAGCTACGGCTCTTGCTACTTTAAAACGTTTTTGTTGTATAGAGATATCAAAATGTAGCAGGTTTCGTCAAGATGAGATTTGATTTGATTCCATTAAAACAAGCACCAAACTGATCAAAAGCACTATATCAAGTAGAACATTTGCTGCCTCGTACTTAACAGTGTCATACTCTTATGGGAGACAGAGATCCTCTTTTTAAGCGTATCACTGGCTTTGATCTATTTTTGTAATTCTATCGAATATAATTTTATATCTTATATGTTTTTCTATAATGTCTGCTAGGCTGAGTCTCCTGAATTCATGACACCGAGGTTGAACAGCGACGAGAAAGATTCTCCCTCTCCTACCCAAACGACCTTTCAGAGATCTGAAAGCGTGGAGGTGATAGACGTGTCAGTTCCAAATACGAGGCTGTTTAGGCAGCTCTCGGATCCTTCTGGAGGTATGAAATATGTCTTATTTATCTGTCGTGTTTATTGTACCTTCTATAAGATAATACTAGCAAATCCAAATTCATTTAAGCAGTTTGTTACTTAAGCTTGTCAAGAGGAGGGACATGTAGTCAGGTGTTAAAATTTCATTAGGCCTAGCATTTTGCTCCTTTTGATTTCAATCGAGTTCAAAGTGATGACGTCACAGAAGTCTCTTTTTAGAATTTTTGAATTTGGATCCAATAGCCTATAAGAGGATCATGAAATACCTCTAAATATGCAAAATCAGTCAAATGTGTTACGAATTAGCTGACATACGGCCACATGTCTATTGGCTTTCAACTTTTTGAACAGAGCGAAAATAACAATGATTCATAAGCAAACTTTAAATCTTTCATTGGCAACATCTCAACTAATTTTAGACATATTTCACTTTTGCATATTTGGAAGTATTTCATGATGATCTTTTATGTTGAAATTCAAGAATTCTAAAAATAGGTTTTTAGAGACGTCATACTTTAGAACTTAATGGCACTCCGCAGCAATTAGTGAAGAATGATCTTGGTAACAGGCTGTTGCTATTGTCTTATGTAACGTTTTCTTTATTTAAGTGGTTTTGAATCAGTAATTTTATAAAGATTTGTGCGCTACTGTCTATTTTAAGTGTCAGCTGTAAATAACGCTTAATAAGGTGATGCAGATAAAACCAAAAATGCAATAGGAACCACTTGATTTACCTTTTACTAAACCACACAGTTCCTAATTTTTATTTGTGTTTTAGCCAAGATCTTACGAAAGCAGAATACGCAAGACGTGAGTACGAGTTACTCAGACTCGAAAATACGTGGCCATTCTAGCTCATCGGAAACGCTAGTTGTGGTTGCTTGGCTGCAAGACTTCAGTGACCATACCCATTTCAGAGCTTTGGATCTGCTTGGGAATTTGGAGGGCGTGCAGTTTAACCAGATCTCAAACGCACCAAGCAGAGTTCCAGAGAAAGAAATCTGTACTATCTTTGTGCACCCATTGAAAACGGGACTTTATAGAATCAAATTGAAGACAGAATATGGGTGAGTTTCGTGGTGGATTTGTCTGTCAGAAATCCCGTGTCTTCGCATTAAAAGCAATAGCAATTCCAAATGAAAGTGGCTTTAGTCATCCTAGGATAATGCTATTAACCTTTCTAGATTTTTTTTGTTTAAGATATGTACTCAGAACAGTCTTGAGATGTCAGATTGAGTCTTATAGGCCTCAGGTGTCATCATCACAGATGTTTTTGATCTTGGTTTTAAATAATTTAGAGGGCATATTTTATTTGAGAATCAAACTCTGTTTGCTTTTTGGAATTTGTTAGACTCGCATTCTGCGGTGCGGAAAACCCTTTGAATTAGCCTATTGATAGTGGAAGGACTAGAATGCGGTCAAATTAGGATGAAGCCCGAAATGGATCACGCCTATGTTGATATTTGGGGAATGTTGGATAACGCACCTCTTCTCTGACTGCTTTGCAAACTTTTGAGCTTTTAACCAAAAGGGAATTCTTGGAATCATACGTGCCGACTACGTGAAAGCTTAGGGACTCCTTCCTCCCCCCAAATGGCTTTTTTAATAAACCAAAACAGCAGTTTATTTCCTGCTTTTAGAACGAAAACCAAGAATAGGCTTTTTCAAAGCGAAATTTTCAATTAAAAGGCATTTTTGATGCGTTTACTTAAAAAATTCTTAGATCAAATTTTACCATCAGCATTTTGGTAATAAAATGAGCTCCTTTCTTGAAAAAATATTTTCTCAGCCCCTATTGTGGGCTGAAACTTGGCCTTCAATCGTTTCTTTAAAAACTCACTTCATGAGAAACAGTTGTAGTCTCCCTCAGAATTGATGAATCTGTAAACGAGGTTAAGTCTACAACCCCTTTTTACCCTTTTGTCTTTTTCACTGTTTTTATTTGCATGTTTTATTTGAATTTTTAGAAAATATTTTTATATGTTTATATTTTTACATGTTATCACCTGATACGAATTTTAATTTTTGTAACAACTAAATTTGTATGAATTATTTAAGTCAAGTAAAGTTGAAAATCTTTAAAAAAGCTACTGCTATAATAGTTGGGATCGCAAAGTTTGCAAAAACGCTTTTTCATTGAAGTACACATTTGTTATTATTGCTCTACATATGGTACCTCAAGCATCGAAATTGTATTGAATTGTGCCATTTTCTACCTGAGATTTAAGCAATATTCTTTAGCGGTAATCTTCTAATTCAATGTTGATCAGTTGGAATTGCCTATTATGTAGGGCTTCAAAGAAGTTGTGAGTAGCAGTTGTTCAATGAAATTAGTTCGCTTCAGTTCATTAAAAAAACTTAACCATTCTTCAGTTTCTGATTTCAAAAATAATGTTGCTACATACACCTTCAGACTTGCACATTGTGAGGTTTTGTGACTTAAGATTTTCGTTTATCTAAGTGTTTAGTGTCCTGTAGTGTAAATCTTTTTTGTGCTATTCCAGGCTTCAAGCAAAGTCGACTGCTTGTCCCTAAAATAAGAATATTTTATGCTATATCTTTACCTTTATCCAATAAAAATTCTTTACAGAACATCCATTGGTGGCCCTTTAGTCGATGGTATGGTAGTAAGCCGAAGAGTCCTTGGAAACTTGATACGAAGCACTGCATTAAATTTCTGTCGAAGAAGACGTTTAGAAATCGATAAGTATGCACCTGTTTTCATCAATTTATTAAGCCCGTTTACGTTCATTTTTCAACCTCTCTGAATGCCGTACATTTGCCCTTGGGGCAGTTTTTCATATGTTGCCTATCGAAACAGTGTACTTGCCTTATATGAAGTACTGAAAACTTTTTCACTAGGACTTTTGTGCTGTTACTGAAAAGTTCACTTCTTACGAAGTCTTTGACTGATAAACTTCAGTGGGGTATCGAAGAGGTTGATAGAACTACTTTGTTACAGTTAACATGTTTTCCAGAATTAACAAAATAGGCAACTCATCCACCTTGACCATTTGTGTGTCTGAGGTCTTTTATGTCCTTGAAATGCCGATAGCAGGTTTATTCTATGTCCTTGAAATGCTTATAGCAGGTCTATCCTATGTCCTTGAAATGCTGATAGCAGGTCTATTCGATTGCGTTGTAGTCAAGTATTTTAAAGCCTGTTCATTCAGTCAATATAGCTGACCTTACTATACTATGATAACAGCTGGTCTTAAGTCTTATTTCTATAAGAAAGTTAAAGAGCTACCAACGTCAGCATGCACAAGTGTTAGGCATCATTTCTAGAGCTCACATGCCGTGTGCAAGACGCCTATCGAAGCTGATTCTGCAAAAAAATTCCCCTGTTAGCTTTTTCAAATCTGTATTCCTGTAGAGAGCTGTTTATTCTATATCACAATGTCATTCTGTTTTGCTTTGAAGCTACTCGCCTCCGCACACATGCAGAAAAATAAAAATCCAAGACATCATCAAAAACTTTACTCAGGAGTCAAACGCACCAGAATTCTTTGCGTCTGTCTTTCAACATGACGTAGCAAGCTGATGGGACATTCAACCAGCATCTCAATAACTGGATATTTGATAGCCTTTTATAGTTAGCTTTAGTACGCACAATTATTACACGAAGATGGTATTTTAATCTGAATTTTTCGTTATAATGAATTATGCTGCAGGCAAAGGGACCAGATAGATGAGCTGGAGCGTCCGAGCCGGCACAACCGACTATTTGCCAACGTTATGTTTATTCAGAAGAGGTGCGTTATCCAACGTTCCCCAGATATCAACATAGCCGTGATCCATCTCCGCGGGCTTCATCCTAATTTGACCGCATTCTAGACCTTCCACTATCAATAGGCTAACTGTACCATGGATTTAGCCATCGATTATTACTTGAAGTATTCAAATATTGTTTAATGGTAGAATGAGATATGAAGATCTGATTAGACACATTTAGCTTGATCTATGAAAGGTTCTCTTTGTGAAAGGCGAACTTTAATTGACTGTGTCAAGATCAAGGCATACGTGTAGAGAATTATGTTGTTTGGTGGAGAAAGGTTTGGTCAAAAAGAGACGCATCAAGTAGAATCTTTTATCATTTATGCCAAGAAGACAGAATTATGCGTTAAGAGATTTCCACCATAGGAATGTAGTTTCGTATCTATGTCAATTTTCTTTTCTAGACTGAATATATTAAAGCCATTCTTTCTATATTGGAACTATTTCTTTAAGTTTTCTCTCGAGATGATCTTCCTATAACTGTAGAGAGAAGATACAGGCAGGAAAATAAAAGGGTACATATTCGATGCATTCAATTGTAAATTCGCACCAAAGCATATTTCTCTATGTAATTAAATCCAATTATCGCACAGAACGATTAAACACGGTTGTTTTGCAAGAGATCGTAAACGCCATCATCGAAATTATTCCTTCTTATATATCTTCTCACAATCTGAAAAATATTTCTTTTTAGATGGTTCTGATATTTTCTTTTCATGTCAAAAATTTAGTGAAAACCTTTCATCCTATAATCAGTAGTGTGCAAAACATGACATTCTTTTAAAGGAGCTGGACTTGGAATTAGTACTCTGATTTTATTGTTTAATTTATGCTGACCAGGAGATAAATGCCGTATCGTCGGAAAGAATTATTTCCATCCTTTCTTTAAAAGATGGATTTTCGAACTGTTTCTGAAGGCTGGAGTAATCAGTACTATGGTTTTTTAGTTTTTTGATCATCTTAATGTTCGGTTTCTTATAGATAGTTTCCTATTGAATAAGGCATTTGGTTGTAATGAACGATCCAAATGGTTTTATCACTAACAAATTATGCTTATTTGGCAAATTTAGCTGTGGGTGTAAATAATGACACCTACAATCCTGGATAGACGATGGTGAGGTTTCATTTCATTTCATTTATTTAAAATTCAACAACATACAAAAATCCATTAGATAATCCATTAGTCCATTAGATCGATTCAATTAGATAATCCAATACTAAAATCAATTAGATAAACAACATTTAAGTACAACAGGTTACAGATACAACAAAATAGCTAACATAAAAACATTACAATAATACTGGAGATTTGTATGAAGAGGAATTTCTTAAGAAGGGGCTCTCTCAATAGTTAAACTAATCGAGGAGAGAGCACCCCCTATACTAAAATCTTATTTTACCGAAAATTTTAAACAATGTACGATGTATCGCACAGAACGATTAAACACGGTTGTTTTGCAAGAGATCGTAAACGCCATCATCGAAATTATTCCTTCTTATATATCTTCTCACAATCTGAAAAATATTTCTTTTTAGATGGTTCTGACATTTTCTTTTCATGTCAAAAATTTAGTGAAAACCTTTCATCCTATAATCAGTAGTGTGCAAAACATGACATTCTTTTAAAGGAGCTGGACTTGGAATTAGTACTCTGATTTTATTGTTTAATTTATGCTGACCAGGAGATAAATGCCGTATCGTCGGAAAGAATTATTTCCATCCCTTCTTTAAAAGATGGATTTTCGAACAGTTTCTGAAGGCTGGAGAAATCAGTACTATGGTTTCCTAGGATTTTGGTCATCTTAATGTTCGGTTTCTTATAGATAGTTTCCTATTGAATAAGGCATTTGGTTGTAATGAACGATCCAAATGGTTTTGTCACTAACAAATTATGCTTATTTGGCAAATTTAGCTGTGGGTGTAAATAATGACACCTACAATCCTGGATAGACGATGATGAGGTTTCATTTCATTTCACTTATTTAAAATTCAACAACATACAAAAATCCATTAGATAATCCATTAGTCCATTAGATCGATTCAATTAGATAATCCAATACTAAAATCAATTAGATAAACAACATTTAAGTACAACAGGTTACAGATACAACAAAATAGCTAACATAAAAACATTACAATAATACTGGAGATTTGTATGAAGAGGAATTTCTTAAGAAGGGGCTCTCTCAATAGTTAAACTAATCGAGGAGAGAGCACCCCCTATACTAAAATCTTATTTTACCGAAAATTTTAAACAATGTTTGGAGGTTGATATATCCAAAAAACAAATTTTGGAAAATACTTTTAACCCCATTTCGTTCAATGTTTATATATCTGCTACTAAATTACACACAATTTTTCCCGACAAAACTTTTCATCGGCCAAATATTTTGACCGACTTTTTTACCGATAGAGCATGTGGTCAAAAATAAAACATTCTGAACATAAAATGTTTATGTCATGAAGCAAGGCCATTCCCATGATGCATTTGTTATCAACATTTCAGTTGTTTCCCGCCGCCGATCTCGTCTCGATCACAACACAACACATATATACGTAGCTTGGCTTGAGAACGTAGCTAATTACTGTAAGGTAAAAAGTCAATAAAATAATCAATAAATTATGGACGAAGATTTTGCCCTGGCACTAAGTTTGCAGCAATTTGAAAATGATGATGATATCCAAGAAATTGGGATGATATCAGGAGTGAAGTTGCTGCCCACTGACCAAATAGGCCTAAAAGAAAATTTAGGCCATGGTTTAACAACAAGCAAAACGCTCGCTGGACGACCGTTATCCATCGTTGATGAGACTTGGGAGCTCATAGATCCTGTTCCAAATATCCACGAGCTGTTTATACAGTTCAACCAGGCATATTTTGAAGGAAAATTAGCGGGAGTTGAGGTTCGATGGAGCCCAAGGATGACGCTGTGAGTCCTCTTGCTTGCTTGTCACGCGAATAAATCGCATTTAACTTAGTTGTCGAATGAACGAATCAGGCCAAATTAGAACTTTATGTGACATTTATATTGCAGTTTGTGCTTTAAAAAAGGTTACAGTATGTGATATTCCCATGACATAATAACAACTGAGGTACCTTTTAAGAATCTAGAAATGAATAATAATAAATAACAGCTTTTTAACTTAATTCGAAAATCATACTAAGTTATTTTAAAATGATTATGTATAGTGATCGAAATTGGGCCAAGGGCTCCTTGGTTACACAGCAAAATTGTTTGGAAAGAGAACCAGTCCAGCCCTACAGTAATTCTTGAAACTTACTTGGTTCCACAAGAACTTCTAATGTAGTGCCAATACTTTTCCCAATGTAAAACCTTATTTAGCATTAGTGTGTGGAACGGTGTGGTTTGAGTTGCAACTCTGAATTTCATCTTAATATGATCAGGAAACTTTTTGGTACTTACACACAAAAGGTCTTGGTACTCAACTGACGAAGGTGCTTGATTTGTATATACCTCAAAGAAAGTAAAGCATGACTCTACTATTATAGATGATATACATCTCTCTATCTATCTAAGTATAGTGTCCTTTCAGAACACGGTAACCACGGATTTTCACAAATCTCTATCTTTGCAAGCTATTAGCACCTTCTTCACTGTAAAACTCTCCAACTGCTCATCAGACACTTGGGCCTGCATCCATTTACTAAGACTCGTCAGCAGGGACAGACACTTGGTCAAATATTGGGGGGGCAAGCCAATTGTTTTAACAAGATGACAGCATGTTTCCCATTGTTTTCGAACAAAAGACCATTGTCCTCTAAAGTATTGGGGGGCCGTGGCCCCCCAAGTGTCCGCCACTGCTCGTCAGGTAATTGAGACAGGGTCTCCCTCTTTAGTCTTAAATCTTGCCTGCCTGCTATTGTTATTATCTCTTCCAGTTGCTCCTTTCTCATAATATGCCCCAAGAATTCTGACAACCTTTTTTGGATAAGCTTAAAGGGCCTCTCCAGCCAAAAAAAATTTTGTTTTTATTGACTAAAAAGTTAGCATCTGGTGCGTGTATTATGGCAAAGTTGTCGTTTTTGCAAAATTTCAATTAGTTTAGAAGTTATAAGGCTTTAAAGTTGCACCTTTCCGAGAAAAAAACGACAAAAGCCAAATCAGTTTTGTGACATTCTGACATCACAGTGTGCGGCTCTGGTTCATCATGAATTTCTTATATCTTCCACCGAATCGTGAAGGAGTCATGGTCACGCGTTGATAACTGCATCTAAATCTACAGCAGGTGCTTTTTAGGATCGAAAAATATTAAATGTTTACAATTATTCTAAGTTTGCGGGTCAGAATGTGTCCATGCTGTGTGACGACTTTGTTTTGATCACCTGTGTAGGCCTACAAAGCTACGGCTTCCTGTTCCAGCTCTTCCCTCACATATAATTAATCGAAATTGACACTTCAAGTTGTTTTCCAGAAACTATGAACAACTAAAGGCTTCAGAATTTATATCTGAAATGCTCAAACTAAAAGCCGGTGGAACAGAACTGAGAGCACCAACAATTGCAGTGTTCAATTTGCGAATCGCCGACGTTCGATTCGGTTTAAGGCGAGACTAACGAAATACACTGTGACGTCAAAATTGCGTCACAGTGTCACCAAACCGAAAATATTTTGTCGGTTAATTCAATTCAATTATCGAAATGCAAGAGCTTATATCTCACAAACTGTACAAAATATCGAAAAACAAAGAACGAATTCGTGATCAGCAGGTTCACCTCCTTTAGATTAGCCAATAAAATGCAATTGCAAATTTTGGCTGGAGAGGCCCTTTAATAAGACTCCTATGTTCTCCAGCTCTTATTAAAACTTCTCCATTTGAAATATGGTCTACCCAGAAGATTCTCCTGAGGAACCAGCCACATCTTAGCGGCCTCTAGCGTTTTTCCGTCTTAGCAGAAACTGTCCAACATTCACTGCCATATGTTAAGATGAAATAAACATAATGTTATTCAGCAAATAGGCCTTCTCTATAGTGCTGTTCAGCAAAGTATCCTCTTTCTTGTTTCCATTGACATTTTTCTATCTTTCAATACAATTTCAAATTCCTGAAAAGCTTGCTTAGAGTCACATTTCCCATTTTCTGTTATAAAGCATCCTAGGTAATTAGAAGAATTGAAAGAATTTCATATATATGGCTTTGAAAAAAGCAAACATTTAGTAAACTAAAGCTTTTCGTCTGACACTCTTCAGAGTTTAAAACGTCAGAACATAGATCGAAAACTTACTAAATGTTTGCTTTTTTCAAAGCCATTTACAAGTTTTGTACCACCAAAAGATAATTTCATATATATGTAATATGTATTTATGTAAGATAAAATAATATAAATAGTTTTGGAGAGTGTTATTTTTTTCTTTGATGATATTAAGTTTTTCTGATAACAGGCTTTCGTCGGAAATGCGTGCGATCGCACGCGCATGCCCTGGTGCATGCCTACTGCTCTCGAGGAGTGCAAAATGACCCACACCTTCTTTTATTCTGAGAGTGAAATTTTCTATCAATGATTGGTTTTGTTGGTTTTTGAGATGGGTTTAGATGTAAATCTTTCCTTGGTACTATTACTTCATGCAACTTCAAAAAAGCTTAACACCTTGTCAGGATTGCGAATTAAATAGAAAATTTTGAAATAATCATAGGACTAATCTACAGTGGAATCCCGATAATATGAAACCCGGCTATAACTAATTCTCCGGTATAACAAACAAATGTCTGGCCCCTTGGATTCTGCCGAACCCCTTACAAATTCCCTCGGTATAACAAATCCCATATATAACAAAACTCTCATTATTATGAACCAAATTGTATATCTCTTCATCATGATTTTCCTCGATATGACAAACTTTTCTATAAATTTTCATCATTGTTTTGGTCTACTTTTTCCCCGGTGTATATTTATTACTTTTTCTCAAGGGAATAATTATTTTCATCGGCAAAATAGACATTGGCAAGCATGCATTTTTATGATGCAAAAAATGGAAAGAGATTTGTGCAAAAGTTTACACCTTTTCAAGGTTTAATGCCATTTCAGTGAACAAATCCAAACAAAGAAGACTATAACAACATTTTTGTCTCCAAATTTTATAAGGAACATTAAGTATTGTGAACAATTTTTTCATTTTCGATTGCTAATTTAGCAAAAGTAGCAGATTTGCGGATTTTGCTACCCATATATAGCCCCCTCTTCAGACTTCACTTTGCTTTAAATCTAGACTTTGGTGACATTTAGATTAATGAAAAATGGCCCATTATTATCTTTTATATATTATCTTTATGAATTATCGACATCTGGCCAGTGAGGTACATAAAATAGCTGTGATGCTTGATAACCAAGGGCCCTGGGGCACAGATTTACATGCAAAAACGGTCATTACAACCAGATGAACGCCAAGCCTCAACTGACTCTGCTAAGGATATATTATCGAAGCTGATGAAAGCTATGTAGAAATTTGCTCAAGTCTTCAGAAATAACACTTTTTTTGTTAAAATGTAAGTAGTGATGCTAAGAGTTCAGCGAAATAAATTTCATCGAAATTATTGATGTCATCATTGTCATGTTGCCAATTTCTGCGTAGATCTATTGTAATAACCATAGATTTTTTCAAAAAAAATGTCACACACCACCACATGCCTGGATGTTTTCAGGTGTGCTAACCACCGCACGCCTGCTATATTTTTCTCATGAAGGGCTGTGTTAAGGATTAGTCACACCTTTTTGAAATGTTATTGTATGGTTGGGCTAAGGTGATGACAATCAATTGTATGTTGTTTTTGTCTTTGAGTTCCCAGATGTATTTTGATAGTGCTGTTGCTGTATTTTTGGTTGCAAAATAAGAGTGGCTGTTGGGTGAATCATGGTTTGAAGGTTGCACTGTTAAGTCAGAATAGACAACACAATCTGGAATATATAATATAAAATATATTTTTAAGAATCCATCTGATTAAGCATGCATTGATTAAGCGTCACCTTCTTGGTTATGTGTCTGAAAGGTGAACAAAGCAAAGTTTCACAAATGGTAAGCCCCTCAAGTGGAAATGGAAATGATTCCTGAAGCAAGATTCCACAAGACAATAATCTTCTTATTGACATGTAGTTATTAAGATTTAGACTAATAATTATCAAACCTTAAACTGTTGACTCAAATGCAACCCTTTTCATTTGAAGGTGTGCTGGTTTGTGTTGCTATGAGGGCAGAGGTGGACTGTGCTCCATCAGGCTCAGTGAGCCCCTTTTGAAGTTAAGGCCAAGAAAAGACCTTGTGCAAACATTACTTGTAAGTATATGTCAGTTGCATACTTATACTGCTAATTAAAAATGTCTTAGCAACATATGAGGGGAAGATAAATAGTAATGAAACGAATACAATTTACAAACAAAGTCAGAGATAAAGGCAACATTAGCCTTACCAATTACCATTTGCAATGTTGATGGCCAACTAAATTTTTGATCACCAGCTAGTGACAAATTCATGGTCTTTACACCTCTCTACATCACTTGTCAGATGCACCCCTGGTATGAATCTTTATTTCGTGTCTTTTTTGCAAAAATCTATGCTAATAGTAATTAGATAGGATTTTGTTACTTCAGCCTCAAAATTGCTTTTTGAGCAGCTGTACAGGTTTAACTTTATATATTTAAACATCCCTTTTTGTTAATATTTTGAATTTTTAGATTCAGTCACTTGATATCATCCTCAGTTTCTTCCTTCCATTAATTTGTTTGACATATACTTAATGATTGCCTATATACACAAAGAAATAGATTTGTTAAAACATTTTCAGTATAGATCTACATCAGATAAAAAGAATAGGGAGAGCAACAGTATAAAATAGAGAAGAAGAGTAAAATAATGTATGATATGATATCTTTCTGCTCTTATGTGCAATCTTCAAATTTTTCGCTACCAAATGCTTATTTAGAATCATAATTTTGGATATATAGAACAGGAAATGAACAAGATGAAATGGATTTCTTCTTTAAAAGCTGTAATAGGCCAAAATAACACTGTTTGTTTCTACATATACAACATTGCTTTTCAAGTCAGTTAGATGAGGTTTAATCTCATTTGAAATTGAACACACTGAGCAACATTGTTTATTTTTGCAGCACGAGATGATCCATGCCGTGCTGTTTGTTACCCACAACAACAAGGTGAGTATCGAAAAGTAAATATTTTTCAGAGTATAACTTCAATTTGCTGCTTCAGGGCATTGCTTTCACTTGAAATGCTCAGTATTAATCCTTTAGATGTCAATTGAAATTTTGATGATACTTTCAATTAAAACAATGAAGCAATGATAAAGTCTTTTATAGGGAATCAATTTTCTAGGTTATGAGTATAAGTTCATTTTTTCACATAATTATGTGTTTTTGAAAATTTTAAAATCTAGTGGAATAACAACAAATGATGAAATGTGTTAATTTATTGATAAGTCTGGGAATTAGTCATTAAGTTGCTTAAGAATCACTTTATATTTCTGAGTGCATTAGGTCATGATAATCTACTTTGTTAAACTTTTGTTTAATGTCTTAATGCAATTTGCTAAAATATTTTGTAGGTTGTGATTTTATAAACTGAAATAAAGGAGCAAGTTTTTGAGAAAATTGGCTTGAATTCATGTAAAATTGAAATGAATTTAAAGTTCATTAAAAGATATTTCAAGTTTATTCATTATTCTATGCAAAACTTAATCACTAATTATATATAATGAATGATTTTAGCTTTATTTCTTTTATTCTACCAATTTAATTGGATTAGCCAAGGGTGGAAGCAGATTTTAGGGGGCTAAGTAGATTAAAAACAGACAGAGGAAGCCTTCAAGACAAAACATGGATTATTAGTAGGTTAATGGCACCATACTGTGATTTGGAAAAAACTAGCCTAACAGGTATTTTATGAAATGCGCTGTATCTTTAGATAACAAAAAACAGCAAGATGAGAATTCTCGTGTCTGAAGGAAACTCTAGACTCTAGTGCAATTTTCTTCCATATAGGTCACTCTTTGTTTCCCTGCAGTTTTGAATAATCCGCATTCTGTGAATAATCTCTGAAAAACTAGCCCAACAGGAATAATCCAAAAACTGAACCCGTTAACCGTCTGTCTACAGTCTAGTCTAGATAAATTGCTCAATTTCCTCACGTTTCTTTTAATCATCAATATTCTTATCGATTCTAGGTATCTATCTCGCGATCTCACAAACAGCAATAACTTCATCACCCTCATTTCCTTATAATTGCTTTTAATTTGACATTTATTGTGGGAAAGTTCTCGTGGAAATATTATTTATCAACTAAGGGTCATTAGGTAGTTGTCTGTCTGTGTTTGACTAATCGTTTTTTGTTCGTCTCCGTAGGACCACGATTCCCACGGTCCAGAATTTCACAAACACATGTACAGAATAAACAAACAAACTGGATCTAATATAACCGTAAGTGAAGATTTAACAATTTGAAGTTATTTGCAATTGCCACAACTGATTCGAGAGTTTATTTCTAGCAGAAGTTGTTTCCATTGTTTTAATTTATATATAACCAAAATGTTAAAAAAAATGTATTTAAAGTTTGTATAACTGGTTCTGTTGTTCTTTTGTATTTGTCTAAAACTGCAATTTTCAACTTATTGTTGATCAAGATGTGAAACTGAGAGGTTCATAAAGAAGCCTAGCCTTATCATATCATGAGATTCGTATTACAAAGATAGAGGTTTTTGGTTTGCAACGATTTCTTGGTTGTTTTTATTCATGTCAGCAGAAAAAACGAACTTTATGTTTTCTTTCAGGTGTATCACAATTTTCATGACGAGGTTGGTAATTCTTGTATGGTTTCAACATTATTTGGCTTGTTTTCAAAAATATCTCTCCATTACAGCCCTAAAAATATCGTTAATATCACTAAACTAAACCAAAATTAATACCATTTCATGCTTTCCTAGTGATGCATTGCTTTTCGAGCTTGGGTCACCGAGAAAACGTTATTACGTTAAAAAAAATAACAGGCAGTAAAATACCATTAAAAATGCAGTTTTAATTTTCAACTACGCTTTGATGTTTAGAACAGCATGATGCCAAGTTGCTATTAAACTTTGTGGCATCAACATGCAGAACTAGCAATAAATTTCAAATTTGAAACCAACTAAATTTCAAGCTATAAATTTTCTTCTAGCATCTTTTAAATTAGTCCCTGATATAGCGTGGTCGACAAAAAGTAAATCACAGGATATTTCCAATCGTCAATCCAGGAGAAATATCACAATTTAACCTATTGTAACAGAATGTAATATTTTTGGACCCCAACACGAATAATGTTACATCAAGACCCAAGACATAGTGCCTTACGTTCGTCTCTCCGACCTTTTTCGTATCAACCATTGCCGACGTAGTTACAAACCTATGTATGTATAATGTATTAAGCTATTTTTTGTTCCGCCTATGATTATACTCGTTTTCATCTCGGAAACAATGCAGTCTCTCTTTTAAGAAACTTTTTTGCAGGTGAAGAATTATAGACAGCATTGGTGGAAATGTGATGGGCCTTGTCAAAAAAGAGCACCGTTTTTTGGAATTGTTCGCAGAGCAATGAACAGGGCACCTTCTAAGAACGACACTTGGTGGGCAGAACATTCACGTACATGTGGTGGCCAGTTTAAGAAAATTAAAGAGCCCGAAGATTATGGAAAAAAGGGGAATAAGCGCAAAATAAGTGAAAAGAACACGAACAACAGTAAAGTGGACCCGGAAAGAAATTCTTCGGACACTGCTGTGAACAAAAGTCCCAGTTTATCTAAGTGGTTCAAACCAATAAAAGAGTTAGATGCATCAAATCCTGATAACATTCGAGAACGCAAAAATGATAACTTAGATAGTCTCAAAAAGCCACTTTCTATGTTCTCTGGTAACGGACGTCGTTTAGATAGTGGACAAAGTGTAAGATCTGTTAGTAAAGAGCAGTGGATTGAAAATCTGATGAAAAAGCAAGTGGGAGTATCTGGGAAACGGCAAATGGCCAGTGGATTTATAAGTGCAGCAGGACCGCAGCAAAAGCCACTCAAAGCAATCGTGGATGGAGCGGCAAATCAGAAAACTCGCGTTAACGTTGTCAGTAGTTCTACTGTTTCAAAACCGGGTTCAACTCATAAAGATAATAATATAACAGGTTTCAAGCAGAATTTTACTCAAGAAGTATCTGTGATGAAATCTAGGGCAGTTAACAAGAAATGCCATGCATTACCAGGGCAAAATAGTGCACCATCATCCTCGAGTAGTTTTTGTAACACAAGCCAGTCAAATAATCAATTTAATGGTTTGCGAGAGACAATACCAAGGCAAACGGTTAAGGAATCTGCTAATTCTACGATAGAAAAATTTCCCTCACTCACGGTAGAAGATGCTTGTATGCCTGTAGATTCAAGACCAGTAACATTGGAGAACATTCCAAAAACGGTACAAAGTATAAAAACGTCTGGACCAAGTATTGGTGATTCTGAAAGTGGGCCTAAGCTGTTTTGGAATCGAAAAGATGTCAAACAACAGGATATCCAGACGATCCCTATCGTTATTAATGATAGCCCACCTTGCAATCAGAGAAGCACTAAATTTGTGGAGTGTCCTGCCTGCCCCAAATTGATTCCAGAAAACATGATCAATGCACATTTAGACAAATGCTTAGCGCAGGCCTTTTCATAATCTATTTGATACCCGTTCAATAATTTTTTTAATTTATTCTTTTGCAAATATTGCATTTGAACGAAAATTTTAATACACTGAGACTGAATTGCTAAATATCAATCAAATTGTAATTTGTAGACAATATTAGCCCTTTTAATGGATTGAATCATTTTTTTTATATTAAGTATATTTATTAACGTTTCATGACAGATTATATTTTTTATGATAACCAATTAAAGGTTGTTTGTATTGTATTTAAAGTAATGCAATTTTTACGAATAAAAGTATATGGAGAAAGGTGCATCGCGAAGATTGAATCATTGCTGCCATGCCCCAACCCTCTTATCGTTTAACCCGCCCCTGGATTTAAATTCGCCGTGAACCCCTAATTGTTCGTTAGACATTCGAAGCATTTCGTATGCAAATATATCTTTCCCCCACATCCCCCTCCCCCTCGGAAATGTAGAACATTTTTGTTAAGCTTATAAAACTCTACATTTATTTTGACGTTATTTTTGAAACTCAAATTTGAAATGTTTTTTAGGTCTAATTGGTCGAGCGTTGCACTAATTTGCTATGCTGACGCTCAATGGCCTTTTTTATAAATACATTGTATTTTTGCTTTGTTCATTATTGAATTTTTAATAATTTCTTTAACAATTTCTTGTTTTAGACCTTAGAACATCCACTTAATAAATGTTATGTTATTTAATAAGATATATTTGTTCCTGTTACCTATCCTTGTATCATTTTAACATAAATATGTTGACATTGACAAAGCAGCTTGCAGTTGGCTCCCAAATAGCCATGCTTTGGGTGAACCACGTCGAAATAGAATTTGTTGTCGTCCCAAACCCGTTTCATTCTTCACAATTATTATCAATATTATTATTTGAGTTACCTTACATCATTATTATTATTTTTATTATTGCTACCTTTCGATATCAAAGTGAATTACCTCAGCTAACAGTCCGTTGCTAAAAGTAACTTAAAAGCCAATCTCAATTCAAACATGCGCTCGTACGCTATGGCGATCTCAAGTATGTTTCTTAGCTTTCTTAAAAGGAGTAACCTTCCTTTTTATTTATTTGTTTATTCATATAGTTATTTGTTTCTACTTATTTATTAATCGTGATGTTTCATCATGTTTATCTAGTTTGTCCATGCAATAAAATGTTTCACTGGTAGACGTTCATTATTTGTGTACTTTTTCATAAGACATTAGGTATTGATCTAGTCCTCTTATTTTCAATCAACAATGACATGAAATCATAGAGATAGGAATATGACTTCACTATGCATGAAATATACACGGCCTATGAACGAGTAAACTTTATCAATGACCTGTTTCACTGCACGTAGCTTTTTGGCATTCAGTACAACATAAAGCGTCTTAGTAAAATTTCCTACAAAAAACTGAAGTGGAGACTTAGTTCAAATAACTTGATGCAAGGAACTCTGAATTCGATTGATTCTTGAAAACGTGTTAAAAAGGTGGCCGGTGTTTATGTAAACTCGTGTGTATTTTTTCACGACAACGTATCAGCTTCACAACAACAAAAAAGCTAAGAAAATAAAAATTATCTATGTTGATTTGAATGGAGTTATCCATCAATTGTCAAACTCCTCCCCTTAGCCCGCAGAATGCGACAGATTTTATGGTTTAACCTCATAGTTATTTAACCGAAGGACTGAAGGCAAATAAAGAGGGAAAAGTGAACAACTGTTCAGCATAAAATATACTTTTGAGCTCTATCAGAGAAGGTCATAGAATATCAATGGAGCCCCAGCCAAATGAATGACTGTGGTATCCTCTTTGACACACCACAACTGTTCGAAACCAGTGACTTCAGTAAAATTATATCTTGGTTAGCCGCTAAATTTTTTACTGATATAAATCGATTTTGCATTCCTTGAAAACAGACACTTTCATTAGATAAAATACTGTTCCACACCTCGCCGACATCATTTAAATTACTCTCTACCAGATCTTTATAAGCGTCGGCACCGTCATATATCCTTCCGGGAGATCCTTTCTTTTAGCATTTCGGTAACACCCTTTCACTAAAGTATCCCCTTTCATTTTCCTTATCACAATGGTCACATATTCGCTCAAACAAAATATCGAGAACGTGACTTAAGCTTTCTGTACCATTATAGTAGTTTTAAGTTTTTACTTTAATCAACCAGCATCCATTTTGTTCCCTTTATGCCCATCTAGATGTCTGCAGAGTAAATTTTGTAATAGGGAATGTGTTGGGGGAGGGATAGAACTCTTTTGAAGCAATTCGTGATTAATTCTATAATTTTTAAGTCGCCATTACATAATCAGACAATAATCATGGATTTAAAAGTTGTTTTTGATAGTAAAATTGGCGTGACCTAAATATTACTATTTTATCCCCTCGCACTTTGTCGTCGCTACTGTTTTCTACCGCTTTTAAGAAACTTTGAAATTCAAATTCTTAAAGTAAGAACTCTCAGAAGTTATTTTACAATTAATTAATAATAATCTCCTAAGTTGAAGTGTTTTTGAGTATCGCTTGTTTTAGCCTCTTATTACCCGTTGAAGGCTCAATGCCTGTGAAAATCGAGTGAGAATTTTCAAAGCCTCCATTTCAAAAGTTCTCAGATGGCATGCATAGAGGATTCTTTATTAACCTTCGCATTCTATACCACATTCATATCATCGACTGTGTTCATATTCAAGGTATTTGGGTGTGTGGTTTCAAACCCTTCCTAGAAATTTCTCTTTTTAGTTAATTGTGGTTCATGAACAGACTATATTGTTTTTGACTGTTAAAGTGTTCAATTTGGATTGATGTTTCTCTAAAAATGCAACGATACCCAACCGTCGCTCTGTTGATATTCTGGGCACAGTTAAGACAAATCATTTCCTCTTCCTATCCTGTTTTGCAAGCAGGCTTTCTTCCAGTAGGCCCTTTCATAATTCTGCGTGGCATCTTTCGTAAGCCGTACCTTTATGTTTTAGCTTCCTTACACCGGATGTGTTTTGTACCTCCTAGGTTCTAACTTTCAACCGTTTGAAGCCAGTTCTTACTTAGTTGTCCTCTACTATTACAACAGACAAGGGCATCTAGAAGGCCCTATTTAGTTTTATAAAAATTGCAAAGCTGTATCTCAAATCATAGGAGTTTTTAGATGGGGTAAAACTCCACTTACCAATCGCGTTCTCTTGTTAAACGAGAATTGGATACGCCCGGCAAGACACTAATTCTAATTATATTAAACAAAACTGCCGATTATATTTGAAAAAAAATTGAACAGGAAGGATTACGAAACTCCAGCTATATAATTATACCATGCTTGATTTATCACCAGCCATTAGCCCGCTAATTGAGCATTGAGCACAAGAAGTTACTTTACCGCTTTTTAATTGTACCTTAAAAATACTTTTTTTGGTGGAGAATGTGTCACTTCGAGAAATGTGGTTTAGAAGAGAACTTCAGTTCTTGACAACTTACGCGAGGCGGAAATTTGACATGAAATGATCAAAATTAGAAGACTTAGTTATCATCCGGTAATTGTCTTGCCAATGACAATGCTCGGCATTCTTAATAATATTGCTTTTGAATCCCTTTTAGTTGATAATGGATTTCTATGTGAGTTGTCTCGTGTATTGTCCTTGACTTGAGCGCCAGGTCAGTTGAAGTACAGCACGCTGTTATCGGTCTCAAATCTCTGAAGCAGGTCCCGTTATCGGTAAGTAAAGTTTTTTTGTGTACTCTTTAGGAAACAAGTCAAAATATTTTGCTCTTCGTTTCATTTTGGCAATGTATGTGGCATTGTAACGGAATGCACTGGGTTTTCATGTTCACAGAAAAAAATATGCTCAAGTCAAGTCAAGAAACTTTCATTTTTCCACAATAGATAGCTTTTGTCTAAGTCATTTTATCACAAGTTATCCATGATTTGTTTTATTTTCTTTTAGTCTAATGTGTTTTAAAATGTGTTTAATATAAGTTACAACACCTTGAAGTTATCGAGGTTGAAAATTTCCCGTTTGGAGAATGAAATTTCAAACATTGGTTAAATTTTTGCTGCCAGCCCCGCTCGTCAATCTTACCCCCCCCCCCCTCCCGTTCATTAATGGAAGATATGTTACATACATAATTTACTCCGGATAAAGTACGCTGTGCCACAATACTCCTTTCAAGTACAAAGTTACTGTGAAATCCATTGTCAAGTGATTGACACATTTCAAGGTCAATCTGAATGTGATCTATTGAGCAGTAAACTTCAGTTTAAAAGTTTCAATGTAAAGGCCCGGAGCTATCCTTAAAATAAAAGCAATTTATGAATCAAAGGACATGCACAAAGTATACGAAAAATGAGCACGCGATATTTGTGACTTGATAAGGAAAGGCCTAATTGTACCAGTGTTTTTGGTAAGTAAATCATTCCATAATTTCTGGCTTGTCTACCCATAGCATTTATAAGAATTGTTTTGAATCTAAAGATGTACACTAATTTGACTAATGCATAAAATTAACAAGAGTAATTTGGATTTTCTTTAATGTTTGTTGATATTTTTTCGATAAGATTAACAACATTCAACATTGTTGTAACGGGGGTTTCACCACGGGTGAATTTTCACACAACGTTGCGTTTATAATTCAAATGATGACAATTTCAAATCTGTGATTTCAAATCTGTTTTTGGTGACTATGCCTTAATATCAGCAAAATACGATTAAAACAATCTTCAAGGTTTTTCTTGAAAACAGTTACAGTGTGTGCTGGGATGTCCCACTTTCAAGTGGACTAAAAGGCGTGCCTCGTTTGGGCGTGGTAGCTTAAGATTATATACACGACAATGATTATTTCATAAGTGTTGCTGTCTTTCTTCACCTAACATACAAAAGCTGGTAGTGTGACAAGCGTTCATTGGAAAACACAGGAATCGAATGTGTTCTGTGATCAAATGTAACATGAAAGAAATTAATGATTTACTTCGCCCCCTCCCCCTTTTTCACAGTAAAGCTCGATACCGATCGATGGATGCTAGGATAGTGCTGTTTGCGTTTAGAACCCTCGTTTGAAGGTGGGCTGCTAGCGTGATAACCAATCCATTAATCTAAAGGAATAAGAATAAAGAGCTGGTTATCAGGCTAGTGGGCAGCTCTCTGCGCAGTTTGTCAAGGGGCCATATTTAACAAGCCTCCTTTATTTTTCCATACATCCACCGCTAACTTTGAATGGCAATTTTTAGTTGAAGAGGTTGATTTATTGTGACGAAGAGGGCCGGGGGACCATGACCCCCTAATTTTTTGCAAAACAATCGAGCTTTTTTCGAAACCTTTTGTAAAGATTGTTGAATTTCTTTTGCCCCCCCCCCCTCAGACTTTCAAAACTGAATCGGAGCCCTTGATTGTGATAATAGAAACCTGGCTCTCTTGATTGAAAATTAGTGGTCGAAAGACTTTATCTGTTGAAATATACGAGAGATTCGTAGAAACGATAGGTTGGAAATTTTTTCAGAATCAAATACCAGGTTTCGGAAAACTTACAAATTGTATAAACATTTATAAAGTATAAGCGTTTATAAAGTTATGGGAAGTACTGAAATAAGAGTCTTTTTTTAATTAGGAGTGTATGGTCATAAAATGTGAACCTGATATCTCTTGATCCCTTGAATGAGATTGAAATTTTTGGAATTTAAGGGAAGAGTTCGTTGTCTATACAAATTGTTGATTGTCACTTGATGTCGGAGAAAATTACCGTTGCTTGTGTTGTTGAATCAAAGTAAGAAAAGTAAAACGGGTAAAGGAAATTATGTAGAAATTTTTTGCTAGATGTATAATGCCCTTTCCTGAAAATTCCAACTAAAAGTCCCCACAGGACCCGCGTTATCCTGCGGGATTATCTTTTCCATCCGTGTTTTGGAAAGGATCAGTCTTTCGATTCATTTTCCGCTATATTGCAAAAACATTTTTTTAATAAGGGGATCAGTGTATTTGAGGAAGGTAACACTCTTATATAAATATTCAGTCTGTCAATATATCTTATGTTTTTTTAAATTGAAGTTTACATGAGACAGATTTGACAGCTATCCGCACATTTTTGGAGTATTCAAGTGGAAATGAGTCAGTTGGTTGTAGGTCGTATGATGAGGTTCCGTAATGCACATATGAATGCACATATGTGATCAGTATGGTTCATGAAAATTTTAATGGTCATTTAAGCACGAGCTACTGTAACACATTTATTATACTATTTTCAGGCTTTGCTTAGAAAACGGGGGTTTTTGTGATTTAGTTCTATGATTTTGAAACTGTCTTACCCATGACCAATCATGGGTTTTCCTTATTGGCGAAATTGGCGTTCCTTGTTGGTAGACATGCCTTTACTGACAGTGAAAAAGGCGTGGCCTAAAATTTGTTATTTTGCACCAGAGCCTAGAAAAGACCCCCAAAGAAGACCAACGAAAACAGAAGAAATTCAAGTACGACAATAGACCCCCAAACTCCCCCATTATGGAGTACATTCTCGGGCGAACCCTGGAATGAACAAAACTTGTCTTTGATCTGCAATATGAGCTTTTTGTGCCTTTCGCTTTAAGCTTTCAATGTTGACATGAAACTCAAGTTTACTTCGAACCAGAAAAAATACTCAGTTTCCTGTCCTCTCTTCCCGCCTTAAAAAATGAGCGAAAGCTGAAATACATTTCTTACCTACGCATTTACAGGGTATTTTTTATGGCTAATTTTTCAAACCTTTCTACAACACAGTTTAATTATATGATATGGCTTATTCTTTTGAATATTTTTTCGACTTTTTTCTTAAAACAAAATAAGCAACAATTTTTAGAATTAAAACTGCTGCTGGGCTTCATCCTTGGGATTAATATAATTCCTTAAAATTTCAAAAATGGGTGCGATGCCCTTTCCTTTGATCGTTTCCGTAAATCTCAATAATCAGCAATGTTGTGTATAGATTTTGGTTATGTTTGCGGAGAGCGTGATCTCATATGTGTTCCAGCTTTATTCTCAGGAATTTGACTTTAGGTGAAATTCTTATCTTTGTGGCTTTCATTTGAATTTGCATTTTTTGTTATTTATTGTTACCAACACTCTGAATAACCGGTCTGTGATCTTCTTTTTTCGCAGTTAAATAAAACAAATTCCGTGGTTGGTGGCTTGGTCATTTGCAAATCAACGGTCGGTGGCTTGTCACTGGAAAGTGGACACTGCATCTAAGACGCTAGTAAGTAGTTATCTATAAAGTTACGGGCTTTCCCCTTAGTATGGAATTTGTATACAATTTTTCAACAATTTTGCTGAGGTAACTCATTACTCTGCCTGTGTTCGATTCTGTTATACCATTTTGCGTTTAGTGGAGCAATTATGACTAGGGTGACATTATCGCTTGTTTAATTAGCGCTCAAGTACAATCATCACTTTATCGTGAGTAGGTAAAATTAACAAATGTGAATATTTGGTCTTTTTGTACAATTCGCGATAATGTGAGAAGAAAGTGACTGTTTAAATCATTGGCCTTTATCCTTCATTAAAAGTTACCGTCATTCTTCAAATTAATTTTATGTTCAATCCTTTCATGAGTTGATTTCCGCTTTCCACCATTTCTCATTATTCGGGCATTGCCTTCGGCTAAGCGTTTCCGCCATTTCAAACGCCATTTTAGGGCGTATAAAGAATATCGATGACGCTGTTTCCTGGTTATTTTGTGCCTAGAGTCATAATGTACTTTAAGGCTTGTGGAACCAGTATAGACAACCCGTGATAACAACACATAAACATATTCATGTTATAAAACTTGCCACTGTGAATTCTCCTTTCCGTCTGTACGTGACGTATATGATATATACAGCCCGCGCCACTGGGGGGGGGGGGATGGCCATCACCCCCACTTTTTTGCAAAGAAAGTAGTTTTAATCTGCAGTAAAAGGGGAAAGAAGCCCTGGCCCCTTTTTTGCTGAGCATGGCCCCTCCCTCACTTTCAAATTCCTGACGCGGGCCCTGAATTTAACAATCTGCCTTGTGATTTTGTTCATTGGCAATGCCTATGATACTTGTGACAATGATGCTACCGATGATACTAGGAACGAGTTGGGTTCCGGACTGAAAAAATTTATAGGATTTACTTCCATGGTTAAAACACAATTGCACTAAACCAACTGAATTGGCATGGGTTGCATTACAAGGATAGATATAGAGTAATCAAACAAGTGTGCACGAGCGATTCGTTATGTGACGCTCGTACTCTTGTGTGCTATTGTAAATTTTCAAATTCAAATGCAGCAAACGCCATTACCTGGTTTGAAATAATTATATCAGCTGCTTATTTGCCTCAATCTCGTTTAATAGATTCGTCTGCCTGATGATAAGATATCAAACTCGTACTCTGGGTGCCAGAGTCCAGTGGCGCAGAGAGGGGGGGCAGGGGGGGCAATTTGCCCCAGGGCCTCGGCCTGAAAGGGGCCCCCAAATAATTCTGAAAATCTTTTTAAAATGTCTTCTTTTGAGACAGTGAAATGGCAGTAATTTTATTGGGTCCGTACACTGAGTCTTGTTTGAATTTAAGGCCTATCGGCTTTATTTATTGAGTCTGGGGCCCCGAGAAAAGCTGAATAAACCTTAGATCACAAATTTTACGGATTCATCTTTTAAGCTGAGTTTCCCTGAGTTTCGCAAAATCGTACTTATTGGGGGAAGGGAGCCCTGATAAAAAATTAGGTAACCCATATAATCTGTTTTAATCTATGGCCCGTTCAAGTGAGTTATGTTTGCATTTAGACTCGTTGCATAAAGCTATATTATATTTTTGGGGCCCCTTTCAGGAAACTAGCATTAATAAAGAACCGCTTACGTTCAACAATGACTCAAGACAGACTATCAAGCCTCGTGACTCTTTCGATCGAGCACGAACTAGCAATACCAATTGATTACGACAATGTCATTGATCAATTTGCAACTGAAAAAGCAACCGTGCGCAAACGTTTGGAAATAATGGGCGTTTCCCATTTTATAAAGGGCGTGGTCCCGGAATTTTTTTGTATCCGGCTCTAGGGCCCCAACCGGGACTTTGCCCCAGGGCCCAGGCCGCCTCTCGGCGGCCCTGCCAGAGTCTCCACAGTTTAGTCTAATATTAATCGGTTTTTCAGTTAATCGAAAATGTTAATCAGTTTTGTGAATATCTTACCCATGAAATTGTATCTTTACTGGTTTCGAAACCAGTTCTGTTCTGTCACTCTGTATCTCTGATCTGTCATTCGTTCTTGATTTTTTCTTCTTTGAAAAAGATATTTCAGCAGAAACGGGCCGCTTTCGTAGAAGGAATCTGTTGCTGAAAAATCACATTTTATTGGAAAATGAAAAAATGGTACTTTTGACAACTGTTTAAAAAATGTAATAGTTATTCTAGGGTCACGTTTTCTGACCAAAAGAAGCACTTTTCAAGCGTTTGGAAAACAAGGAGGGGGCAGGTCCTACTTGCATGCCAGCAATTAGCAAACTGCAACGGAGCCTCTACCAACATCTAAGGAGATGGTTGAAACCCCCTTTGATTTCTGATGTTGTCGCTGCGTTATCATTGTCTTGAATATATTTGAATATCCTCGTGTGTTATTAAATACTGGCATGGATTTGTTTGGCAGTCCTTTGCCAGCAACAAATTGAATTCCAAATATTTACTGTAATCGACTGTATCCCTTTCTTAGTCTTTCTTATGTTTAATCCAATATTAGAAAGGCGATAGATTTAATGCGATTTATTTTTTTGCAACTTTTGAAAATATAAGGATTGTTATTTCTAAAATACTTGAGAATCTTTCAAATACCAAAATTACTGTTTTAAGTTTTAAATATAAGTATAAGTATCTTAAAACCTTCATGTTGAAAATTATGTTGCAATAGCCTGCTTGACAACTTTAAGCCATAGCGTGAGGCTAAGTGAGGCGAATTGCAGCCCCTTTCCCCGCCCACCCCGTGTCCTGGCGGTACTCGTGTTACATCCAGTGGTCGTTGTCCTGGGCCATAGCATTTTCTTGACAGAATTTCAATTCTCGTTTAGTTTCAGCCTTCCTAAGACACCACCACATTTTTATTTGGTTGTGGTTTTCAGGTAGCCTTAAGGTTAATGGAAATCCTGTGTAGTTGGAATCTATTAATGTCTGTTTTGTGCAAATCCTTTGACCATCTTACTCTATCTTAGACATGTTCTCCATGGGTCACCGCTGCGCCCTGCTTTACCTGATGCTACTTGCACTGGTCGTTGCTGCAAAGGTATGTTTTAGTCATTTTGCATTGTAGGCTGTGCAAGCTGCTGGCTGTTCTAGCTGCAACGTCTATGACCACGCCTTTGTATTTGCTTCCGTGATAGAAGCTCTCCATCCAAGAATAAACTGAATCTTCTCAATCTTCTTAATCCACGAAAACATTTTATTAATGATATTGGGCTGGCACACCTTTGGACTTGCTATGTACGGAATTTTCTCGGCCCAATATAGTTTGATGTACAGGTGGCTGAACCCTGCAAGCCTCCGTGCCCCTTCTACATGGCATCACTTTACAAAGATTGGAATATTCAGGTTTATCCTAGAAAGGTTTTCAAAATGCCAAGTGCTAAAAAAATACTTTTTAGAAACACAAAATGTAACACAAGGTAAAGTGAAATGCAGACCTAATCAGACATAATAACTTCTTATTTTGCATTAACTGTATCAATTGAACAGGAAATAGGTGCCTGCATCTGGTGGTTCCCTCATCGTGACGTCAGAAGAAGAGAAGGGGTTTCAAGAGCATTTGAAGGGACATTTTGTTATGATGTTAGCTTTTCGTCCATGGGAACTTAATTTTCAACACTCAGGTCATAGCTCAACCCCGTAATGATGCCATTGAATATGTATGTTGCGGGATAACCCACATTGACAACCATCCTCTGTTGTTCTTGTTAAGAGCGTGGGAAAATGTCACATATATTTGCCTTTTCTTATTTATTTTGGTGGTATCTTCGGGTTTTGATTTAGCTTCATGCCTATTTCCCTTTTTGCATGGCTCTTAATTCTTGCTGAATGAATAAGGTTCTTTCAAGTCGGGTACGCTGCTAATAAAAGTCTAGCTAAACGAAGCAAGAACACAATGATTTTTAAGCTTAAAAATTGGCCAATATTCATTGCGCCGAACGTATATCCCTCTGTTTAAACGCGTGAAGTTTGCAGAAAGCCGATGGGTTTGCTTTATCACGCGGATAGGAAAGCTTAACTTTAATATTACCCTTTCTGCATCTATACTGCTTCTAATGAAACATTCAATCTTCCCCTTTCGCCCATGTAAATCGTGAGGGCAACCGGTCTTCCCTTCATTTTCCTGGGAGCAAGTCTCGTTTGGATTCCGTGTTGTAGACTTATAGGACTATAGGAGAGGACTATAGGACTATAGGAGAATCTAGAAAAGGTCCACAAAAAATCCCTTTATATTTGATTCTGTGCAGCTCAAACCAATGCAAGACCACACAGGACGGTTTCGTTCTTGGCAAATAAGAAAAAATGCAATCTCAGTTGGACATAGACTGGCATTTGTTGATACGTAATCGACTAAAAATAAATGGCGTTTCTACGAGGGGGAGGGGGTTCCACCCCCCCCCCCTCCCCAGAAATTTTCTTTGCCCCTTGATTGCCCCCCAGTTTTTAAAAGTTTCTATTAATAATCCAATGTTTTCTTCCAAAGCTGTTCAATTGTTTTTTGACTTTGTTAGGGTTGCTCTCCTTTTTCTGCTCAATGCGATCTTTATTGCATTTATTTAACAAGCTAAGGGCCATGATGTGTTTTGGTTAGTAACTGAGGTGAAAATTAGTGAAATTTTGGCTCCTTTCTGTAGTTACCAAGAAAAATTCATTCTTGACAATCATTTGAATTCTATATTTGGTATATGTTATCACGAAGATACACCTTAGGGTGAGGTGCGCAGGGTAAGCCCAAACCAAGATTCTCCGCATCCTATTGAAACCCTTTTCGCTCTGTAACCCAGCGCAGGAAAATACCAATGCCATCACGGTATACCTTGGCAATCTTCTATTGCTTATCGAAATTCTATGATTTGAAATTCTGTGTAACAGGATGATTTGCTCGATCTCAAGGAGGTTGGATATGAGACGCAACTACTATGGAAAAATGTTACCAATCAACTTTAGAAAGCTATTAGCCATTTATCTTTAGAAGTATAGTTCTTCTGTTGAAATTCTAATGTTCATGCTACATTATTGTTAAGCAGATAAAACTCAGTGGATTAATTGTCCAATGTTACCTTTAGTTAAATACCAAAGGGTCCCGCACCTTTAGGGTCCCGGCAACAATATTTCATTGCTATATTTTCTAAGGAACGCAGCTGCTCGTTACGCCACTAATAAAACTATTTGGCATAGTGATAACAGTCCTGATAGAGCTGTACCAAGGACATTCTTACCTAGGGGGCGCTAAGAATCGGTGACTGTAGCTAATTTTGAGCCATCAAGTCACGGCTTTACATTTTACTAGTTCGCAAAATAATGGCTAGCGTTGCCCCTCCATCCCCCGAGATTTTGAAGGCTAGACTCACCACTGCTAAAAATCTGGCTAAAGATCTGTAGGTTTTGCCCTAAGTGCCCTTATTTCTGTGTTGCGTAGATTGGCTTTCGAATGCATATATTTTCTTTGCATTTACCGTAAATGCTCTATGAAGAGCCCCCTGAAATACATGTTTGAAAAGACAGTCAAGCAGTGAATTAGCAACACGCACCCCTTCGAATCAGCGCGTAGTCCATTAATCCGAAAATGAAGCACACAGAAATCATTTCTACATTTTCATAATTTTACCTAGAGCCTGGCGGTTATACGTGTGATAGCCCTTGGGAAAGCCAATAAAAACCACGTCCAAACCATTCCCTTTTTTCTTTGCTTTCTACGCAATGTTTCCAAAGCTTTAGGAAATTCCCCGAAGGAAGCACTAAAACTTTACTGAACTTTGATTTAACCCTAGGACGGAAAATGGACGAGTTGGAGTGACTGGAGCCGATGTTCTCGCTCTTGTGGTGTTGGTGTCTCATTCCAAACAAGGAGCTGTTTGAACAGGTCAGGGTTGTTTTCAAGTTTTTCTTTCATCTTATTCTCTGTCATTCATCATCTTGCATTTTGAATTAATTTTTCAATTGTGTTGTTTGCATTAATCGTTTTGAGGAGCCTTTATTACTTTGAAGCGTTATGTTTACTATGCCTTTTTCACTTGGGTATTATCATATTTTTTGTTTATTATTCACGGTTTGCAATGTTATGTTAATCTCATTTATGTTGACTTCAGTATTGTTGTGTTTTCTTGAAGCAAATGACAGAATATTTTAAAGAGAATCGTTCTTTCATTTTCTGATTGTTGAGTTATGGTTTCCTTTTTCTACTAACTTACATTCAAAGCGCTATCTCTTTGTCTTGACGGACCATTTTCCCATGGATTCCATTTGCTCCTTGATGTTTTGACGTGAAGCTTTGTTGATTTTCACAGAACTGGTTCATTAACCCTCGGATGTGATGGGCTATTGAGACAAAATCGACTTTGCAATATACAGGCAAGCTCTTTCTTGCTATTTTAGCTGTTGTTGTTGCTGTTGTTGTTTTTGTTGTTGCTGCTGATCCAAGTAATTTCCAACAAGAAGAAAAAGTAATAAACTGGAAAACATTATTCGCGTGCCTTTTTAAAATAATCTTCTTCAACGCTTTGAAAATATGATTTCATTGCAACTATATAAAACCTAGTCAAGCAGCTTATCATTTGTATGCACAAGTTATTCTTTATTGTAAATGTTTCCGTCATGAAAATAGTTGAAATGGTTTATCAGTTTTCTCCACGAAGCTCAACTAGCAGCAAGACATTATTGAAGTTGAAACCCAGATACTCTTATAAGAGTCGTTGCATTGCCTTGTGGACAATTGTGAGAAACATGAGGTCATTTACCCGTTGCCTCTCAACGTCTCTGTTGAAAGAGAACAGTGCTTTTTGAGATTTTGACAGTGTACCTTGTTATTTTTAAGGATTGTCCTGCGGAGGATGTGGACTTCCGATCAGTCCAATGTGCAGCCTATAACAGTAAACCATACTACAATGGGAAAAAGTTCGAATGGGTTCCTGTGAAACGAGGTTTCCGAATGATGTTTTGTCTTAGATTTAGAGCGTTACAGCTTTTGTCATGAAACTAGAACATTAGCTACATGCCACCTTACTCGAATTTTTTGTACAATCCACATTGTTAGATAAACAAACTCAAAACCATGATCTTATTTTGAATCAAACAATTAGATTATGCCAACGGGCAACAGCAATTCTCAAGATTATCTTTGGTTATGTTTTTGTTGACTAAATTTCTTTCTAGATGCCTTTCCTTGTGAGCTGACTTGCATGCCAAAAAGGCAGAGATTCTTTGTGAAATTCTCGGACAAAGTTACAGACGGAACACCATGTAGAGAAGGGTCTCTTGATGTTTGCATTGAAGGGAAATGTGAGGTACTAGACGACTTTCTTATCATAAAATCCTATATTGTGTCTATAGGCCATTAATCCTAGGCTTAAGTAATTTAACTGTTCGGTTTTATTAAATCTACAGTCAGTTGATGTTTATGATAAAATGCTGGCCTGTAGGATTGGGGTAGAGTTTATTACTTCCATTGTGGATAACGTTGCTTTGTGTCGTTAAAACTAACAAGATGCTCTAAAATTGTTCTGTGGTCAACTATAATCTCATCTTTCGATTTTGAAACAATGCTACTTAGATAAAAAGATTGTCAGTCGACATATTATTTTTAATTCCGTCTTCAATTGGGGCTGCAGCTTGCGAAATTCTTCTGTTTTCTGGTTTGATTATCTCAATTCTCTAACATGCCATGAATTTGTGGATGATTTTGAATAATTTTCATTTTAGAGAGTTGGCTGTGACTTGGTATTAAATTCCACCGCAACATTTGACAAATGTAGAGAATGCAATGGGAGGAATACAAAATGTAGACTTGTTAAAGGAGTTTTTGAACTAAAACAAATCGAAGGTATGCTCTTTATACCGAGAGAAAGTGCATTTGAATGCTCTTCGTCAAACCATGCCTTAGATTCTTCAAAGCTATCTGTCTTAAACTTACCTTCAGTAAATCATACTTCTGTAGGCCTTCTAAAACTTTTTACTTCCTTGTGACGAAAAGCTTTCTACTACTACTAGTTTCTTTGTATTTTAAATTAAATGATTTCCAACCATTAATCGACTTATCAAGACATCCTTTTGCATAAGCTGGTAACCCCTATCTTTCTGAAATTTTTGCTCTATATATCAGAAACCCATTGTCACTGAATTTGCTAAGAACCATACATATGTATTGATTGGGCAATCAGCCCAAATATTCTGAAAATGTCCCCCATCAAAGGAGAAAAGGTATTTCAAAAAGAATTGATTTGCTGTCTCTCTATCTCGTTCAGTCTATCTGATCATTGAGCATATCCTAGAAACCCATGCTCATTGAGCAAGGTAGAAACCCTGATAATTGTTAGTTTATTGTGGATTGAAAAAATCCTGTGTTCATATGTATTAGGATATAAAAGTACCAGGGGTAAAGTCAACATTCCATTATCATTGTAAATATAAATAATTAAATTCTTTAGCACAGGTTCTGAATTCTTTAGAAAGAATCTTTAATCACAAACTTGTACTTGCTGCATTATAGCCGACTACATTGAGATGTTGCGCATCCCTGCTCGAACAACCACCATTTTTATAAAAGAAGAAGGTGACCTGAACAATTATATTGGTGAGTATTCGATTTGGTTGATCGATGTAACATGTTGTTACTGACTGTTATCCTACAAGCTTTGCTAATTTTACTATTAGTCACATCTCACTTTTTTTTATTCTTTCTGTTTCATAGCTTTGAAAAACTACAAAGGTGAATACATTCTCAACGGAGATTGGACAATCAACAGACCAGGAAAATACAAACTGAATGGCCATTATGCTGTATACGAACGCTCAAACAAGGAGCATTCTTTGAAAATTGATGGCCCCATTGATGCTCCATTGACTATAGAGGTATATACCAAGCCATTTTATGCCAAAACTTCTTGAAGCTAGCATGTAGTTTAACTTTAAGCCTGTATTTGTAGTTTGTATTTCTATTTGTTTCTACCTAGCATCCGAAGGTAGTTTTTAGGACACTGTGAAGCTATGCTTAACGAGCTGTGTCCTGGTTCTTCCTCTCGATTTGTCCACGCCTGGAATTACAGAGAGCTGGCGACTCTCCTCACTCTGGGTGAGAGTTTGGTCATGCCAGGAATTCGAACCACGGACCCTTGGGTCTGTAGTCAGCGCCTCTAACAACTGAGCCATCCTCGCACAAGCCAAAAATATCAGTGAGACAAAATGAATATTTAGCTAGCTTATTAAAGGTCTAATGAATCCTAAAGCTTACCTTGGCGTACCCTGGGTACCAGACTCACTATATATATGAAAAAAATAGAGAGTCTGGTCTAGTGCGCCCCATTTTCGTTCTGGTGTGCTTATATTAACCAATCAGGAGCGAGTGTACAGATTTCTGTACGTTCAAAGGTCACAGCGAAACAATAAACTTAGCTCTGGTGTAAAACATTGAACAGAACACAACATAAATAAATGCTAGCGACTGTAACGATTTAGTTTGAAGATGCTGTTAAAACTGTACTCAAAGAATATTTTAAGAATATAAAGAATATATACAGATTCTAACCGCCGCGGTGTCCAAGCGCGCTGCCTTCACAGTGAGGAAGTAGACTGAAAGTACACTTAATTTATGGGGAAATTTACAAAAGTCTTATTTTAAGTTGTATGCGAAATTTAACAATGATTAACATTTAGTAACTGCATTGTGCTAACTTTAATTTCATGCTTCGCATATACTTTTTGCTGCCAAGGCGTTTTACACCTGATTTGATTGGAATCTTGAGGCAGAAAAGTCTGTTATCACTGTATTAATAATGTCAACTTTACAGAACTATATAAAATACATTGGCTTTAAGATTTCCCAAAACTCCTCCGACTACTGAGTATCTTTGTTATTTATCCGACAGTCTTGTTTCACAGGCCTAGTCTGTTAAATAGACTTCAGTTCTTTCAAGTAAGTTCACCCGAACGAGAATGGGGCGCACTAGACCAGACTCATTATTTTATATAGTGAGTCTGGTACCCAGGGTAACCTTGGCGATTCAAACCAGACAGTGATTCGATTTTTCGAGGTATAATCAGAAACGAAAAGTCCCTACTCACTGACAATTGTAGCCAATACGAGTTCATGGGAATCAAAACCATAATATCAATCGTACAACCAAGATCTTAATTACTTAAGTATATGGTTCGCTCTGTGGAAGGCTCGATAAGGCTAAGACAATTTTTTAAGAACCTAGGTAAGGAAAGAGTTAACATTTTACTTTTGAGGGTTTTTTATCCAAATTTAAACTGTTGTTTTTGAAGTCAGTCTCCCTTGTTTTGCCTCTGAAGAAAAGGGATGTTTTTCATCAGCTGATATCTGGTAGAGGGGTTTAGGGGGCTTTCCCGTCGACTTTGCTACTGTCTTCTATATATTCTCTGTATGCTGGCTGCCGCACTGAGTGCAGTTCATTATATAATAGGTGCTAGAATTAAAGCATTTGTATCATTCTGTCACCAGACGCTCGCCTTGAAAGCTCCTGTCCGATTCAGCTATGAATACTACGTACCAAACGAACTTGGCAATAATATCCCAACGACCACTTACAGATGGACGGTTGAGAAGCGCAGTGAATGCAGTGCGTCTTGCGCAGGAGGTTCGTACGTCTGCCAAACGTTTTGTCACAATATGAACTTTTATTTTCTTATTATTTCATTATAATCTCCTAATTACCTCAAACATTACAAATTTTCTATTTCACAAAAGCAATCATTTTGTGAATTGACCCATTCACTTCCAATTTTCAACATCAATTAAGGCTTTACCTATCTTCATTAGGATTTACCCTGTATCTTTCATTCCACAGGCGTGCGATATAAAAAAGTCGTGTGTGTAGCTTCGAATAATGGCCGAACCGTTTCTGAATTGTTGTGCAATAGCGACGAGCGACCAGCCAGCGAGGAAGAGTGTAATATGCAGCCCTGCCCTGCCCAGTAAGTCAAATTTTGTCTTCGATATCTTTTTTGCTGTTTCAGTATATTGCATTGAGGGGGGGGTACCAGGTACTTTGGCGTGATTACGTTATCGGCGCATTTTAGGTGCGTGAATTCGTGAAACAAATTTTTATTATGCGTGAATGCGTGAACAGACACTCGCGCGTGACCCGTGAATCAGCATTACTCGTAACGTGATTGCGTGAAAGTGACTGCTGCAGACGAATTTCAAAATTGAGGGCTTTCGTTTCTACAAGTAAAAAGTCTTGGTTTCCGGTACCAGGCCAAATAAATGTCGTGTAATTATTCAGAGATTCCAATGCCGAAGGCTCTGCCAACAAGAAATTACTCCTAATTGATAGTTATTGACAATTCAGAGAGCTTCTAGGGGGTTTGATCGTGAAATTTAGTTTCCAGTACCGTGAAAGCGTGATTTGCAATTATTTTACCCGTGATTGCATGATTCAGCATGAATACCTGATAACCCCTTGATGTGATCATGTCTTAAACCATGTTTTCTGGAATTCAAACTTTGAAAGCAAGTAGTAATGATATGACTAACTTCAGCCAACTTGTTCTTAAAAAATGATGAATTGTACCTCAATGTCATTCTGAGATGCAAATGTCACTCCGGGTAATAAGATGGTTCATTGGGGATGTAGCTTCTATGTCCATCTACGTTTTAATTCCTTGATTGTTTACCACTCAGCCTATTATTTCAGTTGGTTTGTGGGTGAATGGAGCTCCTGCTCAACGTCTTGTGGCATTGGTGAGAAAGTAAGACGTGTCCACTGCGTTCGCGAGGCTGTGAATGGGCAGACTGAGATGCTTCCATACTCCCGTTGTAAGGGCAATCGACCAGCTAAAACGGAAAAATGCTCCGTCAAGCAAGTCTGTCCACAATGGAAAGCTGACGCTTGGTCCGAGGTATGTCAGGATTGAGTCAATCTTATAGTGATCTTGGGAAGCTTTTGGCACTTCTAATGGATGTTAGATGTCACTCTTTAAATCTTAGTTTATTAGTACTTTGAGAAGAAAGTTGCTGGCAATAACTGCCTGAGAGATCTTTCCATACATTCTGATTTCCCCTCAGTACGAGCCTGACTTTTCTTGAAACTAGGCATATAAACGAATTAATCTTCAATCTTTCTGCCTTTCTTGATAAGTGAATTTGTGCATTGTTCTTTTTCAGTGCTCAAAAACATGTGGACCAGGTGTAAAGACTCGCAGAGTAAAATGTATTGGGATCGCAAATTATGCATCAAACACACTCGAGGAAGGGAGCTGTGACACGACGATCAAGCCCGTCAATCAAGAGGGTTGTGACCTTGGGTCCTGTAATCTTACATGGGTGGCTGAGTCCTGGAGCCAGGTGAAAATAAGAAATTGCATTTTGACAATGAATAACTTTCCCACTGTAAAAAATATGTAATTCAGTACTGTTATACGTTCTACATGAATAACCAACTTTTTGCAGAAGGTAAAATTAGAGGGGATGTAGGGGGCTGCTGTCGTGGTTGAAACCTCCAGTAATTCCCAAATTTAAACAATCGAATTAATTGTAGTGATAGTTGTTTTGCAAAAGGAAAATAAAGAGATAAGTCTTATATTCTAAATTCTATTTTAACCATTTCAATAAAAGAATCTTCTTGCTATTTTAGTGCTCAGCCCATTGTGGAAAAGGTATGCGAAATCGACACGTCACTTGTCAAAACTCAGAAAGACGGGTTTTTCCAGACGGGTTTTGTGACAGCACTTTCAAACCAACTGCAGTTGAGGACTGCCTTGTACCAGGACCATGCCAGCCAATGTGGTACGCCACCCAGTGGTCAAAAGTAAGTTCAAGGTCTCATTCTTGCAAATGTTATTTGTTTTGATGAATTTCGTGCTGATTTGCTAATACCTGGTCATCGATATCTGATTGAGAGTCTTATCTCTGGCAGTGTTCAAGGGATTGTGGTTATGGTATTCAAGTTAGAATGGTATACTGTGCTGAGAAGATCGCAGGGAATCTCAGGATTCTTGACAGCTCTAACTGTAAAAGTGCAGAGAAACCATCCAAAATGAAGAAGTGTCACCAGCTGAAACCATGCATTTCACAGTACTTTGCATCCTTGTGGAAACCAGTAAGCAATATTTATCAATTTTAATAGCAGCATTCAAGACATTTTCTCATAATTACACACAGAAAACCAGGGAGATTGAGGCCGAAATGGTACTGAACGTGCTCTCAGTTATAGAAGATATCTGAAAAGTAAATTTCATGTGAAAATATGTGCCTCTTTACTTTTTTGCTTTGTGGACATGATGATTTGAGTAGGATGTAATCAAGGATGTAATCAAGGAGCACGTTAATTTCAGTTTGTTTCAACGTTCTTGCGGTAGAAATGTCAATGGATACTCATTAGTGTTTGCTAAGCCATATACAGTGTCCATATCTTGTTGTGGCTTTTAGGTCAAAAAAACCATTGCTTAGTGGCAATGGGTTCCTTGATCTCTTTCGAAAATCATAGAAGGAAGGCGAGTAATCTAAAAATGTGTATCTTTACAGTCCTGGTCAAAAATTTAACCAACTTCTAATTAAAAATCATGTGTTTATTGTTACTGGTGTTTAGCCGGATAAGCAATAAATTGTTTGATCATTTGCTATAATGAAATATTTGGTTACGATAAATTACGATCTATGTTTCAGTGTAGCGCAAGTTGCGGCACAGGGTTGCGCCTCAGAAAGGTTCGTTGTTACGCCGATTCTCGTATTGACTATTCTGAAGAAACTTGCAAGCATCTGAAGAAGCCTGCCTCGGTTGGACTTTGTAATCGCCATTCATGTTCAGGTATGTTTATAACTTTATAACTTTTGGGTTAGTTGTAATTTCCGTCTGCCTGTTGGCCATTTTGAGCAAAACCTCCGAAATTCTTTATCGATTTTTTTAACAATTTTCTGTTTCAAAGAAAATGCCAAATGGAAGTATTTTAATATGCGTTATTTTTTATATTTTTTGATATTTTTTATTTTGAATAATTTTACTGGGAACTTTTGGATATAATGAATAATCTTGGACCTTGAAGGGCCTTATATACCATTAAAATATGAACCAAAAACTGTTTGCTTTTTGAAAAAGTGGGTTTTTCTTTCCGTGCTTTTCCTTCGTTGCAGAGAGGGCCATCCCTAAACTCTATTGTTGATGGGGCCTATTTGCCTTAAATTTTGCTCAAGCCAGAAAAAAGCAATTTTCACTGGCAGCAAGTCATGCAGGGCAATTAACCCAAGATGTCACGCGGAGGGCCGTTTATTGGGGCGTCAACCCCTACGCTCTCATTCTCTGGTAACCCTTATCCTCTCTCACTATCCATTGCAAATGACAAATAAAGCGATTTATTAATCGTTTCTAATACATTTTTGTTACCGGCGCCGTTAATTTTCGTTCAGGTAAGAATGTTGAGGACGTTAAAAGCGTTGTAGAAGTGGTTACAAAAGCTCCAAAAGTATTAACAACAAAAGTAGTCGTGAAAGCAACAACAGGAAGAAAATCAACTCAGAGAAAACCTACTGAGAAAGTAACACAAAGGCCAACAACCAAAAGAACAACTACTGAAAAAGAAACTCAACCGCCACCAACCAAAAGAACAACTACCGAGGAACTAATTCAACTGCCACCAACCAAAAGAACAACTACCGAGGAACTAATTCAACTGCCATCAACTAAAAGAACACCCACTGAAAAGGTAACACAAAGGCTAACTACCCAGGGCATTGAGCCCCCAACCACAGAAGTGAAGACAACACAACCACCGGCAAAACCCACGACAGTCAAGGTAAAAACTGAAAAACAGAACCCAAGGCACATAAAAGCAATCATCATCAGCTTCCAAGGACCAGGTAATTCTGCACTCAAACAATGAAATTACCGTATAATCGATGTAATTGGTTGTGAGTAGGTTGTGTTGCCATCTACAGAAAACAATTGTGGAATTGGTCACACTTAAATCATATAGGCAGTTATTTTTTCTCTAATTCTTCTTTCATTTTATGTGCCATCTAGCAATCAAACTGTTTTCTCAAACTTTTGTTTTCACTTCTCCTTGTAACTGAATAATTACAATTTGACAAATAAAAGTTTTGAGCATATACTGTTTTTGGGCATACTGGGAAAATTGCTTAGACTTCCAAGATTGACTTTCTAGCCCTCGCAAAACTCTTTTCAGTTTAATTCAAACGTTCTCCGTTTTTATTCAAATCCAGACGTTGTCCATTCCAGTTTATTCAAAGGTTAAAGTAGGAAAATCAGGCAGATATTATCAGATTTGATGATAATAAAGATCAGAGTCAATAAGATACAAACATTCAAACATACAATATAAACAAACCGTTACTTACAGATGCTATCAGAAGTTTTATTCTATTCGAATGGGCTACTTTTAGCATCTCTGGTTTTTTTAAAGTACCTGGGGACACACTACCCGTAGGAGGCTGCGATTTTTATGATTTTGTTATAAAAATGGGCTTTGCTTTCTGGAGAATTGATATGAGCAAAAAACCGATATGGTTGATCCTTTGGTATTTGGCAATATTTTTTCATGTATTTGAACATTAATGCATTTTATATACCTTGAGTGTGGGTCAATATTTCGTGACTTGGTTTGTACATCTCTCCTAACATTATCTGCAGTTCTTTTCTAACATCTTACATTTAAAAGTATTTTTACGATACCTTTTTAGAATCTATTGACGAGGGAAGCACAGTTGACTATTATTGTAATTCGATGGGTGAACCAATACCCCAGATTTCTTGGACGTTCAATGGAAAGCCTGTTGACAAGCTTGGCGATCGTTTTCTTCTCCTTAATGGAAACTCCCATCTTGTCATCACAAATGTTCTGAAAAGTGACATTGGCGAGCTTGTATGTTCGGCATCGAACGTTGCTGGGTTTGAAACGAGGTCCATGGATATAAAGGTTACGTGTAAGTATTTTCATACAAGTAGTCAAGTAAATGATTCATTCCCTTCTATACATGCAAATTCTGATATTACTGTTACCAACAGGTATTGATGTTACAGTAACACACAGGATTTAATACTACCGTTGTTTACAGGTTTTTTATTACTGCTGCATGCAAGTATTGAGATAAATGTAACATGCATTTGCTAAGTACAGTAATTTACACTATGAGTACATGCAAGTATTGATATCACTGCAACATAATAGTTTTGATGTTGCTGTTATATATTACCGTTATTTACAAGTATTTGCAGTTCACAGTAATATGTATTTATATGTAAGTATTTCAATACTGTCAAATATATTACAGTATTGACTTTACTGTTACTATATAATTTACTATATAACTATATAACTTTTCTATATAACATCAAAGTATTGACTTTACTGTTACACAGAATTTTCGATTTTTGAAACGTGCAAGTATTGATATTACTATATTACACAAATATTGATCTTATTATTATATATTTTTACTGGTCAAATAAAATTTTTGATTACTATGATCTGCAAGTATTGATATTGCAGTTTTATACAAGAATCAGTATCACATAGAAGTATCGATTAGAAGAATTATATACGAGAATTAGTTTTGTTGTTATATGTATGTATTGATATACTTATGTATATATACAAGTTACTGTGACCTGCAAATATTCTTTTTTATGCACATTCGTAACCGTTTTTCTTCCTACAGCTCCACCATCGGTTGCTGTTGCTCCAGCGATTGCTGATCTTAAAGAGGGCAACTCTTTCTTCACGACATGTGACGTAACAGCATACCCTGCAGCTAAAATAACTTGGCGAAAAGATGGTCGTAAATTCCTTGGCGATTCAAGTCGTGTTTTCGTCGCCGATACCATGATTCGATTCAAGAGCCTGGTTATTGCAGATTCTGGCAATTATGAATGCTATGCTGAGAATTCTGTTGGTTACGATAGGAAAACGATGTTTTTGAACGTGCAACCAAGTGAGTAGAGTTCTTTCGAAATATTTTCGTAAAAAATTCGTTGATTACTTATGACGATTCTATACTTGCTATATTCTCTGGTCCCATTTTGAACTATGTAATGTCCTCGTACAATCGTCCAGAACCCCATCACATTTTCCTATCTGCTAAGGAATACACAGTTCTTTAGTGCAACAGAACAACTTTTTAAGCCAAAAAAGGAGGATTATGATTCCTTTTTAGTCAAAAACTTATCAATGATTTTCAGCTTCTGTTGTCAGCATTTTGTCAGCCTTTTCTCTACCACATAAAGGGTAACCAAAGTCTTTTTCAAACGATTGGATTTTTCACTTAATCATTCACTGAGAAATATTATTATGTTCAGTCAAGTTAGTATGGGGTTGGCCAAGTGACTTCGAACGCGGTGGAGTTGGGGTCTGGGCTTGGCGATGTTTTGTTCTTGGCCTAAACCAAAGCGCTGTGTTTGCAGATGTCTTTGGATGGCGAGGACTTCGTAAGAACTCTGTTTGGTGCTGGGATTCGTCGTCTTCGCTATCCTAGCTTTATCTCGACACTTTTCATTGTGTTGCTTTATTTTAATGAAGCAAAGCAATCAGAATGGTCTTTTTTTATCTGCGAAATCCATCTTGAAAAATATTCGGCTTTTAGAGCCCTTAGGAGCTCATCGAAATGATTCGAAACGTAGACATGGAATTGGCAGCAATGTAAAAGCATGAAATATCCATTGTTTCCTTCTTGTGCGTACGCCTTTTGAACATTGTTCAGTGACCACCCGGAAGACTAAACATCACTCAAAAAGATCTTAGCACAGAAAAATGCAATTCTTTTCGCTTAAAACTCTTGAACAGTATCAAACATTGCTGAACAACTTTGAGCAACAAAGAACAAGATGGCAAAACGACTAACATTTTAATAAACACAACGTTTTGTTTCAGTTATTTGGCCGGGTCTTGAGACTGTTTTTATATATAAAATCATAATTGTAGCCAACTGTAAGTAGTTTTTAAAACATTTTTTCATTCAGATCAACAAGTAAGCTCTTGTGTGGACGACCCAGATCGGGCCAATTGCGTCATCATCAAGCAGTTCAACTTGTGCACACATCAGTTCTACTCTGCTGCATGCTGCAAGACCTGCTCCGGCAAATGAGCCAACGATCCTCTATATACTTCTTATTTAAACATGATTTGTTGAAATTCAAGAACACTATATCAGGATATCTTTTTTATCTTTTTGGTTCAAAAATAATGATGTTGTGAAAAGAGCATCGAATGTGCTCTGATAGGTTGCTAAAATCTCTACTAGGCCAATGAGATATTTACATGATAGTTTCACCGTTGAAGATTAATTTTGCTATGTTTATCACTATGAGGACTTTACCAAAGAATATAGGTATAAGTCACATATTAAAATTCGTTTTGGTAGCTTTTTGTAAATTAAGATTCCTGTAGTTATGGCTAAAAATTGTCAAAAGTTGAAACCAAAGTGCTAAAAATAGGCATATATATGTCATAAAAGTATTGTATTCTATGATTACTCGATATGGAATTGCGTTTCTATTGTAGAAATAATGTGAAAACAACCAATTCGTTGTACTTTTTTATTCTTTATTACTAGACCAAACTAATTGATTGAAAGTCCAAAAAGAAACACACCAGAGCATTGTTAAAGTAATCCATATTAAATAATTCATCATCTTAAGTACAAACGAGTAAGTACAAGTTGATAGAAAACAAGATGAATTATTTTAGGCACAAAATTGTATACTTTAAAAATTATATTTTCTCAAGTCAATGGGCTTAAAATCAAACGAATACATAAAGTTTTAAAAAATCTGAAGCGAATTTCAATGATTTCAAATCAGTAGAAATTAAGTGTATGTTTATTAGAATAAACGAGTAATTTTCTAAAGTGAGGTTTTCCCAAAGAAAAGTACACTTTGCCCAACCCTATAGGTTAATGGTTGGAGAAAAGCTCGTCATTCCTAAAAGGAAATCGAATGAGAAGGTTTTTGTAGCAAGAATACAACCCAAGTAATTGATATTTTCGAAAGTTCACAAGCGTAAACTTGCCTAGTCCATTTCTTAATGAGGTCCTTTTGTAGAATAATTACAACTTTCCTGAGCCTGTAAGCTTATATTTCGATTGAATCTAGTCATACATAACTTAAAGCCAAAAATACAAGGTTTCATTACAAAAATATGAGCCAGAAAACTGATATTTTCTTAAGTCTATGGGTTTAAAATATACTTTGGTTCTGAATAAGGTATACTTGTAATCCTAAAAATTGATGTTTTTCCAAGTCCACGGACTTGGAATTTAAAAAAGTTACTTCATGTTGAATGCACAAAATGCACAAAATGAATGCACAAACTTTTTCCAAGCACATTTGCTTTTATTAGGCTTGTATTTTGATAGAATCTAGTCACAAATTAAGCAAAGGCAAAATAAAAGATTTTAATACAAAATTATCAGCCTTGAAATTAATATTTCCAACGTCTATGGGCTTAGCAGCTAGTCAGGTTCTTTAAGTCGCTAGTTTTTTGTAAAATTTTTACACATTTGCCAAGACTGTAGGCTTACTTTTTGATAGAATCTCGTCATTCATATAAAAAAACAAGCGATACAAAAAAAAATTTGGGACAAATGGGTATTTAAATCCTTATGACACTCGATACAGTTTAAAACATCAAGGTTGACAGAACCCAACAATAAAAAATATATGCCTTCATTTACCTAAAAAACATTTTGCATAAAGTATTTTTTAGCATTCGAAACAACCTACCTGATATGCTTAAAGTTAATTTGTTCCAATTTACAGGCTAAGTTTAGAGACAAAATCATTTTATATATTCTAATTTTGTAATGATTTCTTCTAACAGGTTCTCCAAGCTTTTATAGAGTTATTTGCTTCTGATATTGAACTACATAGTTATTTGCATTCAATAAAGTCTGCTTCAGGCGCATTTTTTAGGCACAATAGAAATTTCAATCGTCCTCTAAAGCAACGTCCTCTAATTAAGCTTCGTATTGAGAGCGCATATCTAAAATAAAAGGAAATTTCAATTGCAAGACTACGAATAAATGTAATATTGGCGGTTCCAAAGGGATTTGCCAAAAAAGAAGGGATAAGTTCTGTTTAATTATTCAACATTGCAGGCGCTTTGATAATCAGTACACCTTTAAATATTTGTGAGTTATTAAATTAAAAATTCTGATTTGCAGCTGCAAACTTAAATTGCTTTGTTTCTTTTTAATATTTTTACTACTTTAACATGAATCGCGATCTCTTTAATTACAAAATATGAGTTGAAACGGATAAAAATAAAGACGCCATACCATGTATTATCACCAAGCTTCTGTAATAAATCATTATAACTTTTTCCTTAAAATAAATCACAATTAATCACTATCTCTTGATTTGTGAAGGTAAACTGTTGCCCCGGCTCCTGGGCAGTCTGATAAACGAGATTATAATTCCTGATGAAAAATAAACACCCCGTATCGTACATCTCTTCCTACATGCCCAGTTTAATCGAACAAAATTCAGAATGCCGAGGAGATTAAAACGCAATTGAAGATTAAAACGTAATGGAATGGTCAAATTATTTGGTTTCCAGAATGAACGGTCATTTGAAACTTTCATGCTCCCTTCTTTTTAATGTCCCCTTCAAATTAGCATCATCTCAAATTAACGACCCCACAAAGTAGCCACATTAATCCGAGAGTTCTCTACTCTATTCAAGTACTCGAAATTGTGTGGCCCTGGTACCTGGGGTAGACACAAAGGCACTTTGCATTGGAAATAATTCAGTTTCCATGTTGGGTTACTTATTGATTTATTGGAGAATTTGCCGCAAAGATCATGATTGCTGTAATAATTAAATCATGATTGCTGTGAAACATTGATTAATAAGATTTTGATGACTGAGAGAAAAATCTGGTAAAAAATTATTAGGCATGATTCTAGAAACAATACGAGAAAATAAATTTCATATGAAAGTTTGACGGAAAAAAAAAGAAAACATATTGGGAAAATTAATCATCCGAATGATTGTGGGCATCTGTTGCCAATATTATAAGCCGCTTTGTCAAACAATCACTTCATGGTTTCTTGCAGATAAAAAACGTAGTTGTGTCCAGGGGCGGACTGGCTAATTATTTTGGCCCGGGCAAATTTTGATCAAACCGGCCCACATTAATAGCAAATAAAAAAATCCTCGGAAAATACAAGTAAATGTTAGTCTGTAAGGAAAAAAAGTTTTTAAATTCAGTAATTTTGTGCATGGATGAATGCTGGTTAACAGAATATGGTTAACAGAACATGTTAAATATATCAATTGTTGACTAAACAGTAAATAAACAAAAATTTGAACTCATTGGTTTGACTCTGTTTTTAAATACAGTAACTTATATGTTGATAATGTGATCGTTCTGTTAACATGAAGGACTCCAGGTTTGGCTGCGAAAAATTACTACGTAACCTGTTCTTTATATATTTAAAGTGGAAAGCTTCTATCACACTCCACTTGTGACAAATAATTTTCTAATCCTCCGGAAAACCAAAATGATTTTCAGCAACCCAAAAATATCAATTTGTAAAAAGCTAAGTAAAAAGACATCAAGGCAGGTTAAAATCTTATGTATCGCCTTGAAACAGGGGTGTTACAGTATAGTCGTCAAAAACAGGGGTCGTCAAAAAGGAAAAACCATCAAGAGAAAATATAACAATAACATGTTTCCTGAAGAAGTGTGTCTGGGCTGCGGTCAAAATAATGAATTCGTAATTTTAATGGTTCTCGAGTACTCGCGTGTATATTTATTATTTCCCACAAAGTCTCTGAAAATTCAAGGCAAACAGATCAACGCGTGGGTATACTTTTTTGCCTCGCATTGATCTTTTAAGCTAGTTTATTTTTTTGCACTTTTTTCAGCCGGCCCTCAAACCGACCGGCCCTTCGGGCGATCGCCCGAATAGCCCGACCAGCCAGTCCGCCCCTGGTTGTGTCAAACATTTTAACTGATTTTGTAATGAAAGAAAGATAGCGAAAAAGAAAAACACAGTTTTTTTAAATACACTACATTTATACTCTATATTAGCACCAATTAAATGTCATTAAGGATTCATATCAGGTCATGAAAACAACAAATATTATGAAGAAAACAATAAGAACGAAAAAAATTTTAATCATTAGCCAACGGTTTGATGATATTGACTGAAAGTACTTCAGAATCTCAGTATGAGCAAGTTCGACGTTTGATTCAGTTTCTTCGACATTTGAATCGATTCTGCAACAGTTTGAAACAAGCATGAGTTGATGTTATCAAAAATTGACTTGGTTAGGAAATTTCAAAATGTCAGGCGCGTGTGTAATTATAACCCACTGTTAACTTATGAGGCTTCAGAATAAGAAACATCTTGTTGGGGTAAACGATAATATAAGCAACACCCTTTATAATAATCCACAACCTGCTTTCATTTGTTGATTAGATGGAAGCTGAGAAGCCGAATGAAATGTAACATGTTTTATAACTTTCATTATAAAATCATCTCAAGCATGGTTACGAAAAAGGGTCTATGACAAGAAACTCGAAAAGATCTGGCCATAGAAGAAAACTAAAAGTGTGATTGGAATTCATCCTTTACTAAGGATTCCAGAAAGCTAAATAAATTCAACGTTACTAAGGATTCCAGAAAGCTAAAGTTTTGATTACAACTAAAGTTTACAAATTCATTCTGAAACTATTTCAAACAAACACATGGATCTCTAAAGGTAACCTGCCTCAGTTTAAAAAAAAAGAAAAAGCCTAGAATATAAACAAATACCTTTTAATTTCTTCTTCCTGCTCTTTAACCATGTGTGCCAGTTGTGAAAATATTCCTCCAAGTTCTACAATAGTTTGCTCTATGTTTTCCATAGCATCGGCCCTCGTTTTTATATAATCCTCCTACAACAAAAATAAATGAGATAGGATATATGGAAAATCTAGGACAACTGGCATAGCCCAATGCAAGAAATTTTGCTTAATATCCGATGCATCATGCAGAAACAAGTAAAACGTTGGAGAATTTTTTTAAAGTTAATAGAGCAATGTTTTTCTTTTACTTCTTTCATTTTACAGAAAATTAAGAGACTCAATTCCAGATGATATATTCTTTATATATCTTTCATCGGTAAAGATTGGTCCGTGCAAAGTGCCTAATAGTAAAAATCTAATTCCGTCTTCTTAACTGTAGCTGATTGGAATTTGAATCGATTAAGCTTCTGATGCGCATGCGCATTTTTAGAATCATTCAAAACAAAAAACAAGACTAGGCTAGACTAGAAACGAAAAGAGTTTAGCAGCATCGATTTAATTTAGAGGGACTGCAAATCATAAGTTATTCCCACCTGTGCTGCAAAAGCTTGAGCTTGACTTCCATGGTTATCGAAGCCTGGCATTTCTATGGCAATAGAACTTGATGCCTCCTGCTGGTTTGGGTTCGAGCTATTTCTCTGGAGAGCCGATCCTGAAATATGTCCAGAGAGCGCCGCAGAAGGGAGGCTGTCTGCCATCGGACCTTGTGAAAATTGGTCTCGTCGCTGCTTCTGTTGTTTCATGTTCTTGAAAATTGGAAATGATATATTGCATTTAGAATATGTGTAGAAGATGGGCGACGGTATGATAAGAATCTACTACAAGATTGTTGTATCAGACACAAAGTAAGTTGATAAAAAGACTGCAGAAGGAGATATAATTACGTGAAAACAATTAAAAAATTCATAACAAGTATTTTCTGGTTATTCAGCTCATCTATAATTGTTAGTTTCAGTTGTATAATTTCTTAGTGGCATCCAAAGAGCTTGAAAAGAAAGTCGTTTTACCTCAGTTCGCACTTCTAGAACATCTTTGAAGTCTTTTGACATGTGAGCAAGCTTTGACTATTAATAAGAAACATATCAAAGTTAATTTATCAAAAGTAGGGAATAAAAAATCAAAAAAACTTTCATGAAGAGGTCAGTTTATGTTTTACCTAGCGTGGATGAAAGTGAATTTTTACAAACGTCGACAAAACTACTTGGAACATTTAGTGCTGCTTTGTTAAGAGCGTTGAAAACAAACAAGGGATGCTACTCAAAACAACTTTGTGCCACAGGACACGGTTAACTGCTCAATAAGAAATTTAATCGAATTAGACCCTACATAGTCCAATCACAGCAGATTGCAAACTAATGAAGAATGCCCCAACTTTGGAATTATTTCTTCCATTTCTCACTCCTTGACCACAAAGATTCTTTGATTGTATGCCTTTCAGTGGTGGACAATTCCGTCCCCATGCACCCGGGATGACTGGTTTTATCTGCAGGAGATGGCTAATCGTTGCACAGGGTATATGCTGGACGACCCAATTTTTCTGGAAATGTCCACACCTGTTGCCAAAGTTCCTTTACGGTAGGTAATATACGGAAGACTACAGAGATAGCTACTGGTCTCCGACTGGGAGACTACCTTTTTACTGCAATTGTCCGCCCCTGATGTCCCCCTACGTAAAGGTAGTCGAGCATCCCTTGCAAGACCAATACAACAACCTTAAGTGCAGGGTGCAAAATACATCAAGAGTTTCCACTCAATCAACATTAAAAGCAAATTGCAAGCATTAATTATGCAAATCTAAGTTGACATGCAAACCTGAAGGGAAATCACCACAGAATGCGAATGTGTTTGCACATGTTTGCTCTTGTCTGTATGATTGCTATTAACAATCTAAAAAAAATATTTTACATGATAAAGAACAGTAACTTTGATCAACAAATGTAGGCTGTAAAAAATCAATAATGAGAAAGGGGTATTGAGTAGCAAAGGGAATTAAATTTCTTTTAACTTGTTGCCTGTTAAACTTATATATTATAACATAAGTTTTAGCTTGAAAATTCATCATCAGGAAATATCTTAAGCCACTGAATTGACCCACTAAGATGGACAATGTTATAATATAATAAAAAATAGCAAACAAAATTAAATAACAGAATAGGAATCATAAGGCAAAGGTCATATCAGAAGGAGCTTGCAGCAATACGGGTGGTGCCAGTCTAGTACTATTAAAATACAGAAGCTTTAAAAAGAATTTTGCAATTTGATTTTGTCTTTTTTTATCAATTTTATCTTGTTGTCATTTGCAAGTCATCACAATGTAAAACTGTGAGTTTTTGAAAATCCAACAATGGCATTGTTGGATTCCTCTTTCTAGCAATATAATGTGTGGTTCAGCGATTTCAAATGAGGTAAAACAAACTGAGGCATTCAAAAGTACCTTAGGAAAGTCTTTGGTCTTCTATCATGACCATTTAAGCTAAAAAGCAAAATGCTTTGGAGAGGAAACACCCCTGCAGCTTAATTCCTCTTGGTGGTTTGCATCCCCCACAAATTTTTGCTTTCCTAATAACATCTTACTTTGAACATCACTGGACCATATGAAACAGTGCAGAATTTTTGAAGGTTCAATAATAACTGTCTTGTCACTTAAATTGTTATCGCAAAAGACATATTTAGTGGAACGATTAACATTTAAACATAAAAATTAAAAATAGTACTGATAAATTTACGCAGAATTAAAGGCAAATCTACAAAACTTTGAATTCACATATTTTGCAAATGTTTTAAGTTTAGCAAAATGAAAACATTCTCAAATGTCATCAAAGTAGACTAGAAAAAAGCAACCCCATTACACTTTCTTGTAGAACCAGTATCACATTTCATGTTTTGTTATGAAAATTAACAAATTTGCTATTGAGTAATTAACAACTTGCTTACAGCTTAGGCTGCTGTTTGTAAAGAAGTAAACAAACCCAAAAAACAAACCTGATGTAGCTGTGAAATTTGCTGATTCAAATGGGTTATGTCCTGCAACAAAAATTCAGCATTTTTTTTACTATTGAATGCATTCAAACAAAAATTTATTTACTCTGTAAAACCTCTGTAAAACTGTATAGCAAGTGGGGGATATATGATATGGAAATGCTAGATCAGAGAAAGGCTAATGAAAACATCTAACGAACAGTTGTAGACAAAATTAATAATTCAATCTGCTGCAGAGACAGAAAGTCAATGTGCAAAATCAGACAATAAAAAGATAAACTGTCATAATAATTTAAAGTAACATGATATACAAATTTGATGAGAATAAAATGTCAGATTATCTCACCTGCTTGATGATATAGGTAAGTTCTTGTATTTCAATTGCTTTATCATCAAACAAAGACTTGCGTTTTGCCACTAAAAAATAACATTTGTGCTATCAAATCAAGTATTGTAACTAGTTTAACACAACTCTAACCATTTCTATGACACTGCAAAGATATGTATAACATTTTACATAACATGGTGATTGACAGGAATGCTTGCACGAGAAAGGCATGGCATCGCAGGTGCACAGCAAGACACATGCCTGCAGCATTTCTGGTGTGTAAAATATTGAATGCATTTATCTGTTTTAGTCAAGGGATTTGTCGTGACTAGTTTTTGAGGGTTTCTGTTGTAAAGTTCAATCTTCTTCACTTACTTTTTGGTGATACTACAAAAAGGGGCAACCTTCACAGTTATTGATTGCATTTAAGTTTGGTGATGACAGAATGATCACACTGTAATGGGCTTATTGTATGTATAACCTCATAATAGTTCAACCTCAAAATCATATGTGTATAAATTGTACAATTCTTTTATGCTAGGATCAGTCAATCGCCAACTCACGCTCGAGTTTATGTTATTCTTTGAGTTACCTTTTGCTGTCAAGTTTCTGAATAACTCTAGAGTTATAGGACACAATATGTCATATAACAACAAAAGAAGCAATATATTTCTGCTTTTAATTTTAATTTGCTACTTACACAGTGTCAGCTTTTCGAGCTTCACAAATGTGTTGCTGATGTCCATTCCAATTTTCCTTGAGAGAATTTATATGGTCATGAGTATCAATTGATGTATAGCAGTAACAAAAAGTTGATCTTGCAGTGTACGTATCAAATTCAGCAAAATTTAATACTCACAAAACAAAGTTTGAAAGTACATTAGAGGTATACAGTGGCTAAAATCTGGCGCAAAATCATTAAATAATGATTAACTCGTAATGTATGGGCACATGCAGGATTTGCTCTAAGCAAAATGATGGTGCTCTATAAAAAGAGCCCCTTAGAAACTCTATTTTGCGCTCTATTGGCGCTCTATTTTGCACCTCTAAAAAATGTATGTATTCCCCTTCATATCAAGAGCTTTGGAAGAATGTTAAATAAGAAATTCAACAGCCATACCAAAAAGCACCATACTATGAAATAACAAAACAAGAAACAAAAACTATTTAATATAAATATAATAAAACAAAGTCTCAAAATTGTTCAGATGTTTCTAGATATGTATGTTGCCATCACTTGACAAGCTTTTGTCACTGTCAGTATCACTACTGTTATGTTCAGTTTCACATATTGCTTCATCAAAACACATGGCTTTAAGTCGAAGATTTAACTGTGTTTCCTTCTTTATGTTATCCCTTCTAAGACACGCTAGAACATCTACTACTCATGAAAGCAAATGAAAACTGAAAAGCAATGTGATAATTTGGACAGAAATGTGATCTCTGATTTGCAAAGGTGATTTTAAGTTATTAAGAAAAAACAGATAACAAAACTTCAACAGAAGATTAGCACTTGCTCGAAAATCAAATAAATCTGCTGGAGAATACAATTGATGGCCTGTGTCCTTGGTGGTTATTAGAGGGTTATTAGATTTGAAATGGTATCGAAAACCCAACGTTGAATTTGCTGAATTTTTTCTCAAGGGGTAATCTTATGCAAATCATAATATTGTGGTCTGTTGTGAAGATTGTTTATGCTTGATCAAGTTTATTCAAAAAATGTCAAAAATTTATTTTGCTCCATTGTAATATTGTTTTTACATTTTGAGGGGCTCTATAAATTGCTCTCCAAAGCTTTCCAAGGATCGAGGGCCTTTCCGGGCAAGGCCTCCATATGATGACAAAACATAATGAAAACGGGTTAGAAAGATTCAGCAGCTGGTCAAATACAAATATATGCTGTCAAAATTGTATATACCTAAATTTCAATAATTTCAGTGCACTGAAATAGCATGACAACCTGTTTTTTTGTATATTGAAAAATGTTTCTTCTACATCATAATTTTTGCTCCTTGGGTCCATACAAGTTTGCAAAATTAATGTTAAAATTTAAACTTACTCCAAAAATAAAATGTTACATAAAAACTTATATTGCTTCAAAACAAGATTTCTATTACATAAAAATCTTGATTGCTTTAAAACAAACTAAAATCCCAAACAGTACTATGCAAAAGACAAAGTGATGATCAGGAGAGTTTCTATATTGGATCCAAATAAGAATAAAAAAGTTTATCTGCATACACTCTTTATACAAGTAATTTGCTTACTATCCTTATTCTAGAAAGATTCTGAAAATTCAACAGAACAAAATATCATTTTTAAGGCATCTCAAGCCATTTTATGGAGAAAAGGAGAAAAAACAAAGACAGTTAAGCTTATTTTCTTACTTAACTGAAAAAAATCTGGATTTCAATACAATTGCTTCAAAAAAGAAGGATACATATAAATAGTACGAGAATAGCAGATAAATTACTTTGCAAGAATAGTGAATTGACTCCTTGGACGCAAGTAGCCATTTTCTTTGCCAGCCCCAGGAAGAATCTTTCCCTGAAAAATGGAAAATTCTTCTTACAGGAAATGAATAACTGGTGTTAAAATCAGATACATGAGACAAGATGTAGAAGATCTGGTACACTTTCACCCTCATTTTATGCCCTGGACTTTATGTACTGATCATGTTTTCTGAATTAATGAAAACAGCTAAGTAATTTTGTAAGATCAATTCTACTGAAAATTGCACATAATGCCTCTGTTTGATCGCTTTGTAAGTGATCGGCCCACATAGAGCTTTATGGCTGGCAAATTATACAATAATAAAATGCAATTTTCTTCTTACCTGCCTCGATTGCAGTGATTTGATTGTTGAGAGAAATTCAGAAGTTCTGTCCCGGCAAGACATTATTTCCAACTGATCTAGCGTATCCTCTTCGTTTACCTCATAAATATTGCTATCTTTTGGATTCAAAACAACTCCAACAGACTCTAACTGGTTTCCTACATCGGGAGCGTTTGTCCTTCTCCGTCGCAAAGGGCCTAGGCCAATCATGTATAACGAAGATGAAGAGCCAGCTTCGATCGAACCTCGTATGAAAATGAACAGAGATGACTTTGCAACACCCCAAGCAAAGTACTGTTTGTTAATGCAGTTATCCAGTAAAATGTTTCATCACTTCGTTTAAATCCTATTTTCTATTTCCCGTCTGTTTTCCATTACGCTCCAAAATCGACAACGTATCACGTCGCAGCAGCAACAACATTCAAACCACAGCAACATTAGATCATCTTGGCAGGGAACCATTCTTTTCCTTCGGTCTTCCCCGACAACAGTATTCTATCGATAAAACGCTCTTTCATTTTGTTGCTCTATACAAAAAACAGAACTGAATAAATTTGTAGAAGGACAAATGCAAAACATGCAAAATAAATTAAACTCTTGTCGCATATGCACAAAATGGAGCGTCTCGAATAAAACAATTAAAAGTCGAAAGCAGTTTTTGAATTCCCGTAATAATGTACTAGCGTACGTACTAGTAAAATTTTAATCGTACAGAGCCCTAACTGGCAAGTTTCTTACCAGATTCGTTGGGTTAGGCGAGCAGCCATCTTTCCTCAAAATAGTCAAATTAAGAGAGCATTTCAAGCCTGTCAATAGCTCTTTCAGCAGGGACCGCGCACCAGTCTAAAAGTGGAGGGGCTGAAAAGGGTGTGACTAAAATTTTTTGAGGCCACGCTCTCCAGATCGCCGGAGAACGCCCCTTTTAGAAAATACTTTTTCATTTCTACTCAATTTTTATAAACAGTCTGGTTCAGAGAAGTTATCGATAGCTATAAAAATAGATAAAATTAGCTTGAGAGTAACAAAATACCAAGCTTACCAAGCTAGAAAATACATAATATCATTAAACAAGATAAAACAACTAGAAAATGAACAAAAAAGGTTCCCATTCAAGAAGAGCTGCTACTACATAGGAGTAAACTATGCAAAGATGCGTTAGGGTAAACCTTCCAAAAAATTTATAGCCATTTAGTGCAAAAAAGTGGGGGGGGGGCTATACCCACTGCTAGCCCAATGGCTGCGCGGTGCCTGTCTTTCAGTGTAAAACAATTCTTTTTTACAAAGCTGCTTTAGATATAATTGTGCTTTATCCTATAACACTTAAATTTGAAATAAAATAGTATAAATCTATTCTTCTGCTTTTGAGCCTATGATTGTCAATCGTCATAAAACAACTGGTCGTCAAAGCAACATTTTCTTTCTTCAAAGGTGAAAATATAAGGGGCCAAAATCAAGAGAAAGAGTTATGCAGTCATAGAGACATCGTCGATCGATCGAGCGATATTGTGATCTTTGGAGCGTTGTTTGTATCTATATTACAATTGCACTTTTTGTAGAGTGTTTTATGATTCACATTATGCATCACATTATGCCGCAATGCATCATGTCATATGGAATGTAAAACGCCATATGAACACCATACGAAATTTGAAACGCCATAGAAAATTTGTAACACAATACAAAATGTAACACCACTCGGATGCCACGCAGAATGAATAAGCAGTGGGAATGTGATATGTTATAGAGAATTTATAAAGCTACACGAAATGTTAGACTGAGAATTTAAATGCCGTAGAATAACTAAATTTCATTAGAATTTAGTAAAAGACCATGCAAAATGGGGGTGAATGGCATGTGAAATAATTTAAGAAACTTTACAAAAAGTACAATTGTAATATAGACACAAACGACGCTCTATAGTGATGGCACACAAATTTATCAAGATCAACCTTTCTCTCTCTTCAAGTACCATGTCCGGCGAGGACGTTGGCGATCATGGTTCTCCACAGCTTCCTATCCCTTGTTCTTCTCACCAGTTCTTGTTCTGACACCTTTGCTCTCTCCCTCTCAGGCAGTTGGGCTGCCATCCATTTGCTTAGACTACCTATGTAGGTCAGCCGCTGTCTCCCTCTGCTCCTTTTACTCTCGATTCTTCCCGTTAGTGTCAAGTTCTGAAGACTTTTCCCATTATGTGCCCAAAAAACTCCAACTGTCTCTTCCTGATTGATCTCATCAAGCTTCTTTCCTTTTCTGCTCTGCGTAAAACTTCTTCATTCGTAATGTGATCTGTCCAGGATATTCGGAACATTCGCCTTAGGAACCACATCTCTACTGCCTCCAGTCTTCCTTCCATCTGACTTGAGATTGTCCAACACTCACTGCCATACGTAATGATAGAGTTTACATAGCAGTCTAACACTCTGAACTTGGTATCCATGGACATCTTTCTATCTTTGAGTATCTTCCCCAGTTTCTGAAATGCGTCTTTCGCCATTCCTATCCTTCTTTTGATTTCAGAGTCACATTTTCCATCATCTGTTATAGCACTTCCTAGGTAGTTAAACCGTCCAACTTGCTGAATTATGTTTTCTCCAATCTGCAATGTAAATGTGGCTTTTTTAGCTGTTTACTCACTACCATGCATTCTGTCTTCTTGCAATTGATCGTCAAACCTTTCTTTCTGCTCTCTTCTACTACCCTGTCAAGTAGTTCTTGTAACTTCTCTGCCGACTCAGAAATGAGAACTGTGTCATCCGCATAACGCAAGTTGTTCATGTTATGGCCGCCGATGATAAATCCCTGCATGCCGTCTAATTCTCTTAGAATTAGTTCGCTGTACAGGTTGAACAAATCGGGTGAGAACACGTATCCCTGTCGTACCCCTCTTCGGATCTGTGTAAATTCACTCATTTCATTCTCAACTCTCATACACGTCGTTTGTTCCCAGTACAAATTTCTGATTAGTCGGATATCTTTTCCATCAAGTTCTAAACTTTGCAGCATCTTTAACAGTTCTTCATGCTGTACCTTATCAAAAGCTTTTGTGTAGTCAATGAAACACATATACAAATCTCTTTGCATTTCAATTGCTCTCTCGGATAACATTCTTACCATCCAAATTGCATTTCTTGTCCCTGCATCTTCAAACCACATTGCTCCTTTCCTATTTCTGGTCTTATCTTGCTTCGCGATCTTGTCATGATAACCTTCAGAATAATTTTAATAATGTGACTCATCAAGCTGATTGTTCTGTGTAGCTCACATTCTATGGCACCCGGTTTCTTCGGTAGTGTGATGAAGATAGACTTGCTCAATTCCTGAGGTATTTCTCCGCTGTCATAGATTTTATTTATGACGTCCGTAAGTTTTTCAATTCCAAATTCTTCCATTGCTGTTATCATTTCTGTCACTATCTCGTTTGGTCCTGGTGCCTTGTTCCTTCTCATCATCACCTGGTGCCTTGTGCCTTGTTCCTTCTCCTTCTCAAGATCAATACAGAAGGGTAAAAGCACTGGGCAAGTTGCAGTAGCTTCAAGTTACGGTCAAAAGGGCATTAAGCTGCAGCACCATTGCCCAACATCATTGCAAACTTTGCAAGAAATACTGATGTTTTAAACCCTGTAACACGAACGTTTTGCAGTATCTTGCAAAGCTACAGACCATGTCTGAGCCAGATAGAAAAGCAAGCATATGGTTTTTGGATTTTTTGTTGTTTTTCAGCATTCCAATGGAGACAGGGCTATAATTGGCCTAATATTTATATATGCAAAATAATCTTTGTAACATGTTGTAAAAAAATCGTCGAGTTGTGTACACCTAAGTTTGGGCAAACGATACTGTAATTTTTGCAATTGCAGGCATGTGCTGTAATGTGGTCTGGACATTCAATTATAGCGCAAGAGTTTGATTTATCGAAAAAATTGACCAACCAGTGAATGTGACTCTACCCAGACGCATGTTGATTGACAGATGGTTTATGCCGCGTTAATATATGTCGGTTGCTTTTAAATCTTCTGCAAAAGCAACAAGAAGCATAATCGAAATGATTCAGTAAGCTTTCTTCCTCAAGAAAACGAAGAAAAAATTGTTGCGAGATCTGTAAGGCCTATTCAATTCTTCATTGAAAGAGTATCTTAGGTGAGTGTGATACTGTGTTTTAAAACAAATAAAGCAACAATAGGTAGCGAAGAGCTGTGATTGCAACGTACATCGTCAGTTGTCTTAGGGCCTGATTATGACCGATAAGCACATTATTGTGCTTCGTAATCCTCAATGTCAAACGGCTTAGAAAAATCGCAGGTCTGTGGCCAACGCCTTGATAAATATTAATGAAGAGATATAAGAGACAATGAAATCTATTATAACTGAAAACATATTTCAGTGAAAAACAGGTCCTGCTCGCCTTGGATTAAACTCAGTCTTTGTGCAAAAATGCTTTCATCAAAGAATGCCTACGAAGACCTGTTTGCAGGTACTATGTGCTTTAATATTTTTTCATTATATTTGGCAGTCTAGCTTGCTTTAGGACCTTACAAACTTGGTACCTAACCGTCTGACAGCAAAATATGATGGTCTTTTATTTCTACGTTCAATTGTTGGGAAAATTTCTGAATATACGCACAGTGCAACATTTTCAGACAGCGCTCCATTCATTGTGTTGACTAAACATTAAGTTTCGTGCTTCTATGTTTTTAGACAAAATACGGCATATTGCTTACAGAACCAGCTAGGGATTTCAATGAAGTTCCTTGTGGCCGTTTAGAGAAGAAACTATGTACTCATCAGATAGTGCCAATCGCATCTGCAGTTCAAACAAGCTCGTGTCGAACAATTCATTTTTTCGTTGTTGCAGTAAGCCATCAGTGCTTGTCGACCCAGTGACATTCATGAACGGGCGAAGACTCACATTAAACGTGAGTGGATGCAGATTTCGTATAAACGAATATTACCTTAAGCAGTATCCAGAAACGCTCTTGGGTTGCCCGGATCGTGAAAGATATTATGATCATACCCAAAAAGAATACTTCTTTGACCGTGATCCACATATCTTCAGGCACATCTTTAATTTCTACAAATCTGGAAAGCTGCATTACTCAACTCAAGACTGCCACGAGTCCTTCATTGATGAACTGAAGTTTTTTCGTATGAAAATTGCCGATGTCAGCGCTTGTTGTTGCGATTCCCTGATCGATCATTGCTCATTTGTCCCTGTCAAAAATGAATCCAAAAGCGTGGAGGAAACGACAGAAGACAATCCAAGAGCACCAGTGACAATCAGAGAAAAGGTTTGGTTGTTTGTCGAAGATCCCCAGTCATCATTAGCAGCGAAGGTGTGTTACTATTTTAGCTGTGCAGTGATCATAATCAGTGTTGCTGTAAACACATGGGAAACAGTTCCTGTGGGAAATGGCAAAACATATGGAGAAATGTACCCCAAAGTTTTCTTCGCTATCGATTCGGCATGTGTCACAGTTTTTACAACTGAATATATCATACGTCTGTACGCGGCACCCAGTCGTTGGAGGCATGCAAAACAAGTCATGACAATGATTGACCTTGCTGCAATCCTTCCATACTTCGTTGATTTGTCCATGAAGATATTCTCTCAAGGATCTAGTGGCAGCCTTCCAGTTGTCAATGCCTTAGTCATGCTACGTGTTTTGAGGATCTTCCGTATCTTCAAACTTGCTCGTCATTCAAAGAGACTTCGAGCGTTAAGCGATTCCATACGAAAGTCAGCCTCTGAGTTAGGCTTTATTTTGTTTACATACCTCATCGTTGTTGTCCTGTTTGCAAGCGTTCTGTATTATGCAGAGCGTGGTGACGAACATACCCGTTTCGATGATATTCCCCAATCAATGTGGTACACAGTTGTTACTACAACAACATTAGGGTAAGAGAACCAGCTTCATACTTCCTTTAAAGTTACAAGTTGATATCTCAGCCCGTTATTGCTTCCTGATAAGATTGTATCGTAAAAATATTTACAAACCTTGTAGATCCAACTACCGTAGCCAACTTTGTGAGGTACAGAAATTTTTTAACATTAACTATCATAAAAAAGAATATCTCATTATATTGAAAAGGGAGCTTTCAAAATGATGAAGATATAAAGGTAATTTACTCATTGTGCCTTGACATGGAGTAATCATGTAATGTTCCTTTTCATTTGCTCACTTTTTAACCAGTCATTAAAAAAACGAAAAAATTAAATTTCAGAATAATGAATTGCTTCATTTTAACAGTGGTTTTTCCCAACTTAAAGATTTCTACTGTCTGGTAGGGTTTCGTTGCTGGCCACAAAAAATAATCGTCAAGAAGAAAAACTGCTTAATTTAATCTCACATAGTTATCTCCAGCGATTTGACATGAAAATTAGGCCCAAAAGACAAGGTCGTATAACAGTTGCACCAATGCTGCAACAACAACACATCTAGCATTATATATGGATAAGTTTCAAATAACCATTGTCATATTGGCAGGAGGAGTTGTACTGAAAAAATGCTCTGAATAAAAACTCATTCTGTTATGGACAAAATTCTTCATAACTTTAACACTTCTTGATTCTTGATATAAAGCCTTATACCTAATGAAGGTCATAACTAATGGCCATAGTTCCACTAAGAGTTTATATGAACCAGCGTGTTACTAATAATGGATAGGTAGTCCACTAAACTGTTTCTTATCAATTTAGGGGATCAAGGAATTGCAAATACTAATGGTTCTTCGAGATAAATAGTTAATTTTATATAGCTTTATAACTTTACTTAATTCCTAAACATATAACATAAAAAGACGTTAGTGATATAAGTAAGAGCCTATGAAGCCATAAGGCTGGTCCAGTCCCAAGAACCCACGTTTATGCTAACGAAGGACCTTATCTAGGAATAGGTCATTTTCATAAGAAGCGTGCAAATGTTTTCAGAAGAAAAGTAGAATTTTGTGCCAGAACGTCTTAAATGTAACGTTGGTCTATGGATATAAACGTTGCAATAAGATATCACCGGTTGTGGACAAGCAAAAATTTATCTATTGGTCAAAAAACAAGTTATTGTTCCAAATTATCTCGTAGATTGCAGCTGAGCCTACAGTGGTTACATGCTCAAGAAATGCTTGCTTTATTTAAAAACTGCAGCCTATTCTACGTTGATATTCGAGTCATCAGCCATTGAATAGCTAGCTAATCAAAATTGCAATTTTTTATAGATATGGTGACATAGTACCATCAACAATTCAGGGAAAATTGGTTGGCAGTCTGTGCTGTTTAATGGGTGTCTTAGTTATAGCGTTGCCGGTCCCTATTATCCAAATGAAGGTAAGTTATGCTATATTTTATTTACGAAAAAAACCCAAAGTACAAACAAAAGAAGGCCAAAAAGCATTATTACCAGATGTCTTGTATGCAATATTGATGAGGCTTAATCAACGGATGCCGACCGAATAAACAGAATTATAAACGAACAGCCAAAAACGCACCAAATACGATTCCGTGTTTGATTTATTTCAAGGTTTATCTCCAACCACTTATTTATGCATTATAAAAATCAATTGCTTTACAAAAGTTAGTTTATTCCTGCGTAGGAGATTAAAATTGTTTAATTTCTAAACTTCATCAAATGCTAAAGCCGAGACTTAGGTTATAGACAGCGAAACCCTGTTTATTGGATCCATTTTTGTCGACTGAAAATTGCTTACCGTAAAATTGATGAATTGCTATCTTTTGCTAGTATTTATGTAAATACAAAGATAAGTTTGAAAATAGGAATGGTTAATCGAAGGATAACGGAACATCTTTGACATCTGTGCAAGCTCATGAAAATCTCTTGGCGAGAAGCTAGAACCATAATCACAAAAATGAATTATAAAGTTGCTTTTAGTTAAAATTTTTTTAGATATTCTTTGATTCATTTTAAAAAGAGTTGCTTCCCAAAAGTGCTGGAAGCAATACACTGTTTCAGAACGTTTTAAATGAAATTCTGCAGGATAGAGGGTTTGTTTTTCTGCCACTACAAGCTAAATTCACTTTGCCAAAATTTCTAACTACTTGGTGTTGCAAAGAACTTTTTTATGACGATGTCACTGATGATAACAATCGGAAGCATGTTTCAGGTGACCTCAGCTGAAATGGCAGTAATGAAGGTATCAGTGGATATATACAATTTGGATGAAATAATAAAATCGCCTTGAAGATCATTACAAAAAAATAAAGATTCGATGGTTATAAAATGTCGATTTAATAGTGGTAGGAAAATAAGCCATGGACATTTTATTTGGTGGCATATATAATAGGTAGACATAACTGTTGATGACATAAAGTAATTCAAGTACACACTTGATCTTTTCCGTAAGCGTTAAGACAATTAGAGGCTCGAGATTTGAGCAAGCTAACAGATTCATAACTTAGGTGGCTTTGGCAAATTTCTTTACTGAAGTTAGCAAGCGGAGTTCAATTGATTTTGCATAAAAGAAGAGGTTCAGAAGGCATTACTTGCGATTAATGAGTCTAGACAAGTTACTAACATCTGCCAACTGTCTTTAATTACTTGGCTTTTAAAGTGTTTTCGGATCTTTCATACTTTACTTGGTTCCATTTTTGGCAGTTCTGAGGCAGGTGGGAGCATTGTAATTAGGAAAGTTAACTATTGCATAGGTTGATGCACTTCACCATCCATCTGGCTATAAAGAACGATGCATAAATCTGCAAATTTTAAATCATTTTTTTAGAGGAACTAGATGCAAAAGGTCTTAAAATGTGAAAATCTATGGATGTTCTCCTGAATCCTCTCGTACAAAGATTAAGTCATATCCTCTAAAACAGACGGTAGCATATCAAGGGTGGTAATATTGGGGGAGGGGGCAAATGTGAGTTGAGCGAGGGGAAAAAGAGGTCCACACCCTTTGAATCACCAGAAAATGTCCTTTTCCAAAAATGTTTTTTAACCATTGGGGAGTGGGGAGCCTTCATCCCCTCTTGTCTCCCCCTTCTTGTCTCCCCCTCTTGTTATGCTACACAAGAGGGTGAATCAGCAAACTGTGTTTTCAAGGATACGTTTTTAAGGGGCAATTATAGTTTTAAGATATCAGAACTATCTTTGTTTTCAGTAATAGGTGTTTTGGTGCAGGATTACGAGATGCTAATCATTGCAATTATTGAACTTCGATTCGACAAATTTATTACGGTACATCATCTAATTCAATGATAGCTCATGACGAGCATGGAAACTAGAAAGAAAATTAATACTCAGGGAAGGGATACGTCATTAGATAATCGAGGGGGGTTCTACAAAAGTAAACAACACAAGAATGCATTTTAAAACTTTCAAGGCTGCAAATTCTACAGGTAGAATCATCTTGCCTGAAGCAAATTTTTTGAGACAGAGAACCAAAAAATTTTCCAATGATAATAATATTTGCCAAGACCGGTATCTAAAAATGCCAAATTTTCAACAAATATTGTTTTATTCCCTATCCGTTTTCTCTGATCAGCATAACTTTTTCAGACAAAATCTTTGGCAAAGGATTGAAAAATACTTGCTTTTGTAAGTCCACATTGCATTTTTGGGGATTCTTTGGTGCTTTTAACTATTACTCGTATAGCATGCTTTTCTCCTATTGTTCATTATCGTGCCTTGCCTTCCATATTTTCAAAGATCTAATCGAACAATATTGATTATCAAATTGCAATGATGTATCCAGCAACTTCTGGCAAATCGATGTTCTGCAGAAGGAGGAGCGATTTGCTTTGGATTGCTTCTATCAAAGGAATAGGTTTTCCAGAAGATTGGATCAGGTTATATTTTTCCAAGGCAACAGATTAAACCAACAAGTGGTTTTGCTAATCATGATGTTTGATTTGAAAATATGATTTCAGTGGATTTATTCATTAAAATGTCGAAATTAAATGTCATAGCATAGGGTAGTTCCAGCTAGCAAAATTTCTAGCAATTCAAATATTATATCTAAATTTGGAAAAGGCATGTGAGTCTAACTAGGTTAAGGAAATTCGATACAACTCGGCGCTGTTAAAATGATATATTATTGTATGGTAATGTGCTTCCGAGAGTAACGTAAACCTTTGGTTTCTAGGACAAGTTCAAAAAATAAACAAAGATGTGGAAAAACACAAGCAGGCTTCTTATGTCGAGAGGGTGTCTCTTCTGGGCAATGAAAAATTCATACCTTGGATTAACGGGAAATTTTGTGAGTAAGTTGTCACACGATTCTAAAATATCAAAACACTTCGGTGAAATGTAAATGCTATCCATTTATCTAAAAAGGCAATTCTATGTATAGAGTAAAGTAAACATAAGACAAAAAAATTATCAAAGAAAATATAAAAATATTTGCACATTAAAGAATTTGTTAATAGTTTTGCTTATTATCTGCTAATTATTTTAGCACCGTGTAATCGATGTTGCTATCTGAAGTGTCTTCACAAATTATTGTCTTTATCTCACGTTTGCGACTTATCAATTAAAATAAAAAATGCAGCATATCTTTTATTTTTAACTGAATGGTTAAATTTTCTCTTAAGCTTCTTGGTATCGGTAGAGTTGTCAAGGTGTGAATTTTGTAGAAAAGATAAATGCTGTGGAAGGGATAAATACTGTAGAAGTGATAAATGTTGTAGAAGGGATTACTGTTGTGGAAGGGATAAATGTTGTAGAAGGGATAAATGTTGTAGAAGGGATGAATGCTGTAGAAAGGATAAATGCTGTGGAAGAGATAAATATTGTTGAAGGGTAAAATGTCGTGAATAGGAAAAATGTTGTAGAAGGGATTACTGTCGTTGAAGGGATGAATGTTGTAGAAGGGATAAATGTCGTAGAAGGGATGAATGCTGTAGAAAGGATAAATGCTGTGGAAAAGATAAATATTGTTGAAGGGTAAAATGTCGTGAATAGGAAAAATGTTGTAGAAGGGATTACTGTCGTGGAAGGGATAAATGTTGTAGAAGGGATAAATGTTGTAGAAGGGATGAATGCTGTAGAAAGGATAAATGCTGTGGAATAGACAAATATTGTTGAAGGGTAAAATGTCGTGAATAGGAAAAATGTTGTAGCAGGGATTACTGTTGTGGAAGGGATAAATGTTGTAGAAGGGATAAATGTTGTAGAAGGGATGAATGCTGTAGAAAGGATAAATGCTGTGGAAGAGATAAATATTGTTGAAGGGTAAAATGTCGTGAATAGGAAACATGTTGTAAAAGGGATTACTGTCATGGAAGGGATAAATGTTGAAGAAGGGATAAATGTTGTAGAAGGGATGAATGCTGTAGAAAGGATAAATGCTGTGGAAGAGATAAATATTGTTGAAGGGTAAAATGTCGTGAATAGGAAAAATGTTGTAGAAGGGATTACTGTCGTGGAAGGGATAAATGTTGTAGAAGGGATAAATGTTGTAGAAGGGATAAATGTTGTAGAAGGGATGAATGCTGTAGAAAGGATAAATATTGTTGAAGGGTAAAATGTCGTGAATAGGAAACATGTTGTAAAAGGGATTACTGTCGTGGAAGGGATAAATGTTGTAGAAGGGATAAATGTTGTAGAAGGGATGAATGCTGTAGAAAGGATAAATGCTGTGGAAGAGATAAATATTGTTGAAGGGTAAAATGTCGTGAATAGGAAAAATGTTGTAGAAGGGATTACTGTTGTGGAAGGGATAAATGTTGTAGAAGGGATAAATGTTGTAGAAGGGATGAATTATGTAGAAGGGATCAATGCTGTGGAAGAGATAAATATTGTAGAAGTGATAAACGTTGTGGAAGAGATAAATATTGCTGAAGGGTAAAATGTCGTGAATAGGAAAAATGTTGTAGAAGGGATATATCTTGAAGAAGGGATAAATTTTGAAGAAGGGATTAATGTATCTTACTGATTCCTCGCAATACATGAAAAAACCTGAAGGGTCACCTAAGATACAGTATTTGTGTCTAATTGACATGTAGTGATACGAAGGTTGTAGGAAAAAGCTATTTAAAATAAATACTATGGTCTTACAAAAAACAACTTCTAAGACAACAACAAAAAGGGGCAAATTGTGCCTTCATATTATGCAGATTTTTCGGATTAAATCAATTTAAACAGAATCCTAGAGTTTTTAAGTACCAAATACAGATTTGCAGATGGCAGGTATACTTGCCGCCTTCTGAATTAATGACTCGACCCTTATTACAGATTATCAAAACTGCATGAAAATTCTGTCAGTATAGCTTTCGGTAAAGTCAACAAAATAATATATGATTTTTCTTGGATAGAATTTTAAGGCTTTTTCTAGGAGATACATTAATCTGACTGGAGCCCTTGCAAACAAAACCAAAATGCACTCTTTTTCTACTAACAATTACTTCTAATATTTTTTATTAACAAATTTTGATTAACATCTGTGGTCTTACATGAAATGATCAAGAAGATTCTACTTTGACTGGCTGGCATTTACAAAAAATCATTGTAAATCATAAAGACATTGACTTGACAAGTGTTCGTTTTCATCAGGGCACGTTTGCATTTTATTACGTAAATAAAAAAGACGAAACAGAAAGTAAAACATTTTGAAGAATATTTTTTGCAACAAATACAACTTTTGACATAGATTCAAATTTTTAAAGGTTCAATAAATGGCAGTCAAGCAGACAGAACAAAAAGTTTTTTCTCTGTGAGATCTTTTCAAATAGCAACAAAACACCTAACCAATTGACTTTTGAAATTTACAAAGAATTCCTGGAAAAACTACAAAATCTACTTAGGAAACAGCTGAAGCCAGCTGAACACAACAATAATTATCAATTAAATGAACTTTCAACCTTCAAAACAGATGCTGAATTAACCAGGTTAATAATTGATGGCATTTTGATTGCGAGACATGTAGATTAAAGTAAGAGATATTGCTTAGAGAACCGGTAGTCTTCCTAAGCAAAAACAGGAGGGTGAGAAGGGGCTTTTTCTTGACAAGGAATTGGCCTAACCTGCTTTCTCAAACCGTTATCTGTGATTGAGATAAAAAACCTTATCTCGCGAATCCTCCATAACAACAACAGCCCACATTTCGTCAGAAAGAAAAAGCTGATTTTTTTAATCAGAAAAGTGGAGTTTATTTTTTCCTTGCATTTTGGGTTTAAGCCCATCCTCTTTGCCACTCTCAGCACTTTCAGAGGGGGAGGGTAGGGATCAGTATGAACAATATGAATTTTCATAACGTCCGTCATGACTACAACTACCAAAAAGAATGAGCATTTCGGATATACATGAAGTTAAAAGGGTTCTCCATGAGCAACAGCTACAGAAAGAAGATAGCCATTTCTAAAGGATAGAGAACACTCCAACGTCAAACGTGAAAAAAAGCAAGATTGGGTAGGCAATTTGCATCTTGTTGCGAGTATCTTCACAAGCAAAAGGAGGTCTTTAAAGGCAACACAAACTAAAGACCAATCCAACAACTTAAGCAGATAAAATTCAGCGAACCAACAGATTATCACTACTGAAAGCTACAATGACAATTTTGAAAGTTGTATCTGTATCAAGACTGCCATGAATTTCTCAACAAAACTGATATATCAGTGAACGGTTAATGATAGTAGTTACATTACTTTAATTGCAGGCTTCCTCTTTTCAATTTCAACTCTAGTTTCCTATTCGCTTCTGCTTTCTTTCGTGCGATGTCTTCAGCAGAATACTTCTTTCTAGTTCCGTCATTATTCGCGTGGTTTATGTTCCCTGGATTCCTCTCTTTTTGCGTCGATGTATATGGCATGAATTCTGAAAAAATTAATCACGATAAAAATAAAAAATGAATGAATGCGAAAAATGTCATAATGCAACTGACAAGACAAACTCGAGATGCCTGAAGGATTCTGTTAGGTTTGTTCTAGTCTGCATAAAGATCTTGGCAATACATTTCTATGAACCATACACTCTTTTTCATAAGAACCAATTTCTGCCGATGCTGCGATTGTTTCTAAAAGCACTAAACAACAGTTTGCAATACGTTTTCATTTGAACGATCGATTTGCTGATAAAATCTGCTCTGTTTTGTTAACAGGAGAAAGAAAATTAAAAAAAATGTGATTTTGTTCTTCTAATTTTTCATCTGGGGCTAGATAGGTTCTTAAGATGCTCTTATTTCTGGGCAAAGTGAACCTCGGTGTTCTTGTAAATCTGTTCTAACAAAAAAAAGCGAAAAAGGCAATATGCACTAGAAATAACACTAATATTTACAGGGGCGATCAAAAACTGTTATCAGCTCTGTTTGCAATTGTAACTGTACTTGCATGATTTTTAAGCAAATTCAACTGAAGACAATACTTATCTTTGATATCGATGATATTTAGGGTTGCTACTGGCTGTATAAACCAATTCAATTTATGTTTGGAAAATTGTGGCTGTATATATCAATTTCATTTTGCGACCTTTTCAACTCAAATCAGGATTTACCATCATACATTTAGTGCGAATGCACATTTCATACTGCTTGTGCTTGCATTGTATACTTTTAAAAGACATAAGGTTCACAAACTAACAAAGGGATTGACGTGAGAATCTAAAGTAAAATATCTGTTATAAAGAGACTTGCTTCCATGAATGGCATTCAAGACAAAATTTGCCGACAGCTTTTGATAAATTGCCGAAGGAATACCAAAAAAGGTTAAAAATCGTTCTTTTTAAAGTCGCCGAGGGTTGGCACTTCCCATACCCTTACGACACAACTGGCGAACATATCACACTTATTTTGGGGAGATGGATAGCTTTTTTTTAAAGCAGTTGTTGACTTGTCCAATAACTGCCTAAAAATGCGCACTTGCACTGTCAGCTTTGTGGTTGAGATTTTTAATTGAGATTTTTAATTAGGTCTTTCCACTGAAGGCAGTAAAATTTTATGAAAACTAAAATTTCCGTTCACAGCAAAACAGATCAGTTGGTTTGGAAATGAGCAGTCTCATTTATTTTCAAACAGTTAATCTTTATGCTTAGTTGATCCAAAACCTAGGCTTTTCTTCAGAATTCACATAGAATAATGTACGGTGCTATCGCATTCAAAACTACCGTTCTCGCAATACTAGATAAATCTATGGCTTCAGTTTTCAAGATTTTGGTCAAAAATATTCTGATATTTTTACCAAACATCACAGCCAATGTTAGAAAGACAGAAGAAGGATGTAATTTTGGAACCGGTACAATAGCTGTGAAACCTGATTGAGGGTTTCAGATCGTCCACATGGCATGTACTTGCTAGAATGAGGGTTGGACGTATAAGAGTCATTTTACAATAACAGGATTGTTATCAGGTGTTAAAGGGGTGGCTTTGTTTCACATATAATCAGAATACTGAGTTTGTTAGCTTGCTAATGATGGCAAATGAATAGTTTTTCATACAGTTTATCCTGAGTCACAACTAATCATTACGATTAGCTGCCGCCAAAATGAAATGAGTGTTTTGAATTAATCAGAACAAATTGTGAGATACTGTTTACCTTTACTTGTGTTGGCGTCATTCCAAAAGTCATAATCATCAGGTGACTTGAAGAGTTGTCCTGCTTTGTTTTCAGCTCCCTCGATCAAAGAAATGTTTGGATGCATGGTTCTAACAGAATTCGATTTTATAAACACGGAGTCTTTGCTTTTTATACAAGCTCCCACTTCTTGTTGATTTTTAGACAAACTTGGTGCGTCTTTCAAGGCTTGACATTTATTAGAAGTAGCAGAGGCAGCAATCTTCAAACTATTCTTTAAATCGTGCATCTGTTTTGTGTTTTCTGTGCGTTTGAAATTAAACTTCCTTGTTTTCTGGCTACTTCGAGGTGTACTCGACATTGTCTTGGGCCTGTTCCTTGTGGAACTATTTTCATTTTCATTTCCAATTTTACTCTTTTGAGTATCTTTACAACACTTTAAATTATCATCATCTAAAACATCATCACAAAAATTATCATCCTCCCAGTCGCCAATTTCTATATCTAGGCCATTGTCTTTGTGGCGGCTAGTTGGGAGGGCAGATTCCTTTACTGTTGGCTTTCCAATATTTGCCACACTCTTAGATCCACTAAAAACAGGTACATCTACTGTCTCCTTGTTACCACAGTCGCCAAATGGAACATCCTCATACAGATTGTCAATCCAAGCATCTTTGAATAATTCATCATTATCGTCCATCTCAATATCCAATTTATCAGCTCTGTCCGCAGAAAGTTTGTCAAATTTTTGCTTCGAATACGTTTCACTACTCTTTGTGGATATAATTTTATTTTCATGTTTATTTACAGCTCCTTCTCCAAAAATTGACCCTCTCTTACAGTCAAAAGCTTTGGCATTTGAGTTTTTCCCATCCAGATTTTTTGCAGTAAGAGCATTTCCCCTATTTACTTTAAGTTTACTAGTTGCTGGTGATTTGTCACGATTTGTTTTGATGTCATTTTTATCATTTCCTAAAACAAGACCATCGTCGAATTCCCAATCCATATCTTCTAAATCGTTGTCTATATTAACAAGATTCTCATCCTTTTTGGCGTTCTCTTTTCCCTTGACACAACTTTTCACATTTTCTTCTTCGCTTCTTGAAGGAACCTGGGGATTTTTCCTGCTCTTTAAGTTCTCTTTCTCAGCATTTAAGTGCTCAAGATCTGCAAGATTGTCTTCGAAATTAGACCACTGAGAACTGTCGAACAAATCATCGTCTAATAAATCATTTTTCTTTTCAACCTCTGAACCTCCTGGGGTTCCTTCAAAAACATCATCTGCGTGAAGGTCATCATTGAACGACAAAACATTTAGTGGATCGACATTTTCATCCGCAACTGGTGGTCCAGCCATTTCGAGATTTGTAATCACAGGCAAATTTCGCTTCCCACATTTGGAAATTTGACCTTCATCTGCTTGGTTTTTCCTACCTTTATTTCCCACATCTTGAACCTCAAGGTCTTCATCAAGTGGAAAATCTTCCAGAAAGCCAATCGAGTCCTCTAAGTTACAGAAATCTTGGCATGGTTCTGCCGTTTCGACCTCTTCTATGGGTAGAGGAGATGGTTCTTGCACATTAGTTTTCAGCAATTTTTCAGAGCCAAAGGTCTTTTGTGTTGCATTTTCTGCATAAGCACCGCCCTTTTTCCCATGTTTTGACGAATAAGATTTGCCATGATTTTCAAAGGTTCTAACTCCACTAGGGTTTTTTGCTTGGCTCTCGCAACTTCTTTCGTTTCTAGTACGCGTAAGCTGATCTTGCATTTTTTCTGTTTTCTGCCCAGTCTCTTCTGTAAGAGCCAATACTTGTTTGAGGGATGCACTATTACATTTTGAAACCTTGATATCAACTTTGGGTTTAGACGTTGTATGTCCACTCCGGCAGCTGTTCGCTAATGGACCAGCACTTTCTAATTTTTGATTAGACGTTTTAATCGAAGCATTAGAATCTACTGATAAATCACCCGTGGCACTGCTGTGAGAGGGTTTTGGTCTCGTCGATAGCTCTGTCTCTCCGCATATGGGCATGAAACCCAAAAACGGTTCGTCATTACATTTTGTTGGCTTCTTTTCACACTGGTGACCCATTATATCTTGTTCCGATGTTTTATCACTCTCGTCTGTATTTTCTTGTAACACTAAGAAGAGAAATAGCAAAGTGGTCTAACAAGAAACTTACTGGCAATGAATGTTCAGTTGGTAAAGAACATTCAGGCTTTAAGCTGCTTTGAAAAGGCACTCGATCTACCTTTGCACAAACCTACCTGTAGCTTAATCTTCCTACTGTTGAGGAAACATTTAAAGTGAAACATCAACAACGGTTCACCTATAGCTTAACACATTGACTAAAGTATATTGATGCAGAACATTTAGTGACAAAGGCGTAGAAAAATGATGGTGCCATTGATTTGCCAATATGAATCAAGATGTGCCGTGAAATGAGTTCGGATTCATATTGAATAGAGGCATTAGAATATTTACTTGAAGGATATTTTTCTTGTTCCTCTAAAAGGCATAAGGTTGCATGACAACAGGAGATAAACATGAAAAATTAGAATTAGCAACCAACCTTTTTCATTGATATTCTTGATAAAATTTGAAAGCTCCTCTTGGAACTTCATCGCGTTACTCGCAAGCATCCGGCTTCGATTTCTCGTTACTCTAAAAATCAATAATTTTCGATCAAAAATGAAGCTGGACTTAATCTAAAACAATGCTACAAGGAAAATACCACAACATAAAATTAGAAATTTTAATGGTTCATAATTTATAGTTAGATCTGAACATAACTATGGTATTTTTTAAAAGAAAGTTAAAATATCTTCATAATCCGTTAACAGTGTCGCTTTTTTCGATTAGCTCGCATACTGACATGTTTTCTCCTATGTCTAATGGCTTGCAAGCGAATTTTTCAATCAATAAGATTCATTTCTAGAATTATAGAAACGAAATTGGAGCACTATTGTAAAAAACCAATATGATAGCACAATGACAAAACATTTACCCAATTTTGCGCTGATTTGTGTACAGAGGGAATATAAGATATAGAGCAACTACAATGAATCCCTACTTTTTTGCTATTTTACATTCCTTTTTTTGCGGCATATTTCATCTTACTGCCAAGTCTATCATTTGAATTCCATTTATCCTAAATTTCTATTCTTGGATTTCTTTATAGCTTTGTCGAACTAACGGCTATTATCTCTTCTTTTCTTTCGTCAGCCAGAAACATACCTCTGACCTTAATGAAAATTACTATTTACCTGTCTGTCATAAAGTGCAAGATGCCGTATTGGTAGAGCTGTACACGCTTTTTGGCTTATAGAATAGAACGGTTCTAAATTGCTACTCCGAGTTTCACGCTTTATGAGATTATAAAAATTTTACTTCAAAGTTTCAAATATCTGATCAACATCTGGCACCTTTGATTTGCATTACTTTCGTGGGATTTAGTTCGGTTCAAAATTGACCGTTTCTTGCGACAGCCTTTTCCAATAAGTCTGCTACTGTCATTGTCAGCCACAACGTCATCCTTTTTCATCCATGCTTCAAACATATTAGGGCTTGCATTGCTGGTTCTGCTAGAATTCTGCAAGAAACCACATGAAAAGTAAAACACAATGCAAAGGGAAATATCTAAAAACAATTTAGAGTAAAGGGATTTTTAACTTCCTAGAGACTAAACAGAGGGTTTATCATACCTTCAAAGAGGTTTTAAAAAAGTTCAATGAACAAAAAAAGATTGATTAAGACATCTGAAAATGAAATAAAGGGGTAAATACATTAGACTTTCATCAAAACAATTGTTTTCCTTGATTCTCTTTTTACTTTAAGTAAATTTTTTTATTCACCTGACATACTCCTAGAGAGAAAAAATTGCAATGTGATGTCAGTTAGAAAAATTGCATTAAAGAAAGAAAATAAACACTATGAATCAACCATATTTAATACCACACACAGAAGCTGGAAATATCATTTATGATATGATATTAATTCATTTCTAGGTCAAACAAAATTATACAAACAAGTAACAATATACATTGTTTGAACTTTGATGAAAGCAATTTTTAATGCAATGATAGCAATTATTAGTTTTCAGCTTAAAAGTACACCATACCTCACAGTACATACCAAGATATTAAATCTGCTAGACAATATAATTATGTATCCATAGGAATAACCACGATAACACAGCCTTAAATATAAGCTTTATTGTTGCTTAATCCAATTCAGGGAAATTTTGACAAAGGCTTGTCTTAAAGGAAAAAGACCAGTGCTGTAAACAAGGGCAAATGTGGGAAATGAAAATGAAATTAGGGACCAAAAAATTTTATAATTTTTGCCAATAACATATTAATTGACTTTTTTAGCTTAGATCTTTATTTTCAGGTTTTGATATGATAATATAAACTTGATGAATAGACCCTTGATGTCACTTTCAGTTGACAACAGCACATACAAATTGCATAGGCAGTGAAGAAATATTTTTACCTCATTGCTTAGCTTCTTAATAAAAGATGCCAGTTGTTCTTGTGATCTTTTTGAAATCAGCTTCTTACTCTTTCCTAAAAACATTGGATTAGAACAGTGTACCATGTAAAAGAAAATCACACAGAATAGTATTCTATGCTTATCTTTACAAGCCGGAAACATTAATTAATGTTTGGGTGAACAGGTATATTCAAAATAAAACATATATTAATGAGGCTTTTGCATTCTTTTCAATTTTGTAGCTTTTCCAGAATATCTTATTGCAGGCCTTTCCCCGAAGAAGCCAGTTATAGCCCGTGCCCATACAAACCCTGCGCAATAAAATTTAAGAGGGCTTTTTTCTGCCCACGCAGTTTTTCAAACCAACATTCTCATTTAAAACATACAGTTTAGCTACCCAATGTTTGTACTAATTACTGCTAAGTATCAAGATGCAAGTAAATAAAGTGAAAGAGGTCTTACACATTTATGTGTTTTAAAATGTTAACAAACTATTGTTTTATCTGCTAAAACTTGCAATGGAATAAAAACTGTAATCCAATGCAGCAAAACTGACAAGGACTTTTTATAGCCTGCATTGTTTTTTTACCAGAGAGGCCTGCTTATTGATGATTTTATAATCTCATGCTATAAAATACCTTGCATCAAAACTTTCGCATGTTAATTTTTCAGGGGTAAACACTTGGTCAAATATTGGGGGGAGGCAAGCCTATTGCTTTGATTAGATGACATCACACTTCCCTACTGTTTTATAACAAAAGACCATTGTCTTCCAATATTGGGGGAGGCAACTGCCCCCTCAGCCCCCCACCCTAGGTGTTTGCCATTGATATGAATAAAAAACGAACAAAAATGCAATATTGAAAAACTACCTCTATCCAAGGCAAAGGTTGGGCTGTGTGAATCATTGTCCCAGATTATTTCTGGACCTGAGTCATAGGGAGAAATGCTACCCCAAGCAGCAAGTCTTTGTGGAGTCTTTCTCAATCTCCCTAAAATGAGCAATTGCAAATAATTTATTCAACCAAATAATTCAACCGAAATAATTCAACCGAAAAAAAATTAAAACAGGTGCTACACAAAATATAAAAAGTACTAAACCGGGAATTGCGGTTCTTTGAAGAAAATATCAAAATATGCCACAACTGTAAGATCTATACAAAAACTGATCAAAAATATTATGATCATGAATATTTCTTTATTTTCTTTGAAAATTTAAGTAACAAACAATGAAAGCTACAGTAAATATGCTAATAATCTTTATGGTTAGATAGAATGGCTCTGTCGCATAGTCATTCATAACCTGACAAGCAAATAATTGAATAAATTTGAAAAGATTTTCCTTTGCATATTGATGGTACATTCATAATATTTGAATAACATTAAAACAGCTTTTGTTGACTAGACAGTGGCAATGGCAAGCAAAACTGTGAAATTTAGAGTTTTTTCCATTTTAAGTTGACTAGCTTGATCATATTGGTTTAACAGAATGGTCTGACCAAATTGATATAAATACGAGATTTTTTATAGTTCTTAGCCAACTGAATGGCTCCATTAAGCAAAAATAATCACAATGGTTAGAAACAGTTCAGAGAGCTTTGGTTGAATTCAAAAATAGAGAGAACCAGCAATAATATAACTGAAATAATTCTACAAGCCCTGCAATATCCCTAAATACGTACTTCATAAAGAATGAGATAAATGGAGCATTATTTAATGCTTTCCCTTTTCTATATAAAAATTTTCAGTGAAAGCTTTAAGACAGACTCATCTTGTCCACTGCTTGACATGCAAGAAAAAAGCATTTAATGCATTACACTCTTTTTTTTATTAGAACAATTTTATAAGAACACAAGCCTCAAAACTGGTCAAAAGTTTAGAACAAATTAAGAACAAGCTGAGGCTGAGCTTCTGCAAAATGCAATTTTGAACAACGTTTTTTCTCAAAATCAAGGATTTTTAGCGATGTGTGAGTGCTTTTTCAGTGAATATTCAAATTTGTAAGCAAATTAAGGCTATTTCACTCACTTTGTTGGCAAATGAGGCCTGAACACCTCCTTAGAGCGAAAAATCTAGCAATAGCACTGCTTACACCCTCTTAATTTGAGAACAAATTAAGAACAATCCAGCCTCAGATTTTCAAAAAAATTAAGGACAGTCAGCCTGAAATTTAAATTTACTGGTTCTTATAAAAAAAGAGTGTATGTAACTATACATGGATAACTAAAACCAATGCAAGCCTTGTAAATATTTCTTATCTGATCACATATTAAACAACTTGCATTTAAAATAAATTTGTGTCATGAAATTTTAGATTAAACTTGAACAGTACAGTCAATTTCAACAAAGTTTAATACAGTTGTTGTGGAATCAATACCTTCTCAGTTTTGTTCTGAGCTATTTTGTCAATTTTGTTTCTTCATATTTGCCAAAAATGAATCACAGCATTGGAATATTCATATTAAAAATAGTCTGTGCTGAAAATTGCAGCCAGGAAGCAAATTTCGCTTTCCCATATCGTGCAAGATGCGAAATCAATGATGTCAACTTGAAATCAAGAGTGAATGAGACTTAAAATATTGGGTGCATGAATAAAAAATCTTTTCAGTTTCGGATTTTGAAAAATTTAGAATCAAAGTAGCTCAAAAATTCACACAGACAGTCTATCATCCAGTGAAATTGGAAGAGTTTCGTAGGCGCTGCATTTTTTAGAGCACTCTCTATCGGTTAAAGAGGCCCATTAATACTGGTCTTCTGGAGTTTCATTTATTATGCATTCAGATTCAGACATGAAATGCGCTAGTTAGAATATTTTTGTCATGAAACATGATATGAGCAAAAATTAAGGCTAGATATTTGTATTTCTATTATCTAATATTTAATTGGTTACCAAGTGCATTCGACGATGAAAAAACGGGTCTTGTTGGGGTTTTAGTAGGCTGTTTAAAGCTACTTTCCAGTGGAGACTTTGCATCTTTCCTTCTTGATGAATGCGATGATTTGCTGACTGGCGTCTTAGGAAGAAATTGCTCTGCGTTCTTGTCTTCGGCTGCTGTCTTCCGTCGAGTGCCTAGGCCTAAGCCAATCGCCCTCCTTTTCCTCATCGGGAAAACATTAGTAATAGTGATCTCTTGTCCGTCCATATCTTAACAACGTAATGAACTTGTTGATCCATACTTCAAAGAATTATCCATTGTTTGAGAATCGAGTATAGATGCACAAATCAAGTCAAAGCTTCCTCATCTCGAATGGCCCTAGTGCATACAAATTAGCGCGGTTGTTGTTATTGTAGGACAGGGAGTCTAGAGCTGTTTTTTCACAGGGATGAAAGATTGCCTTGTCTGTTCAAGTAATGTATCAGAGTCTAGTCTAGTCTACCAACTGAAAATGTCGAAAGATTTGAAATTTCATCGAGAAATCCAGCAGGATGAAGCATTGTCTCAATAAACCATTGAATAAGCATTCTTATTTAAATCGGGCTTCGCTTTCCTCGTTTCGTAAAATTGCTTTTGACTGTCAGGGCTTGATGCATGTACTATAAAGAGCATTTTATGCATTATTCATTCAATCAAAGGGCTTTGCATTCGGTAGGGCAGCCCTTTACTTTAAGGCCAAACAGGTAAACATGCTCAAGGATCTTGGAAAATCCATTCTGTCCAGATTCACACCCTGAAGAAAATTTCTTAATCATTTTACATTACAATTGTTTTACATTACATTACATTTCTTAATCGTTTTACATTTACTCTACAATTTATCCCATAGTGGAATTGATGGGGATTTTGTAAAGATTAAGAAATTTTGTAAAGTTGGGGTATTATTTCGGAAACTCTGATTTAAAGATTTTAGGGAATACAGTGCTGTAAAGTTGGAGTATTATTTAGTAAAATCTGATTTTAAAATTTTAGGGAATACAGTGCTTGGGTTCAGAAATGAAAAAAAGAATCTCCATCATTTAGCTTTGGCACCAACATAGTTTGGGCCAGGTTTCTCGATCTATATCCTAAGTCAAGCATTCCGCATTCCAAATATTATACAATGTTTTATAGTCAGTGACCGATTATAGTTAGCGATCATACAGTGCAACGTGGAACGCACAGCTTAGTGTTTTGGTTTCCCCGTATGTTTCCTAAACAAAAAATTTGTAAAGTCATGATAATGAAACTTGAGCGTAATTGATGCTGAAAATATCAAGCACCATAGCTTATGAATGGTGGACTACTTTTTCTTTCTTTTTTTGCAATTACTTTGACAGACTTTAATAACTACAGAATATCGAATCTATTCTGTGCTTTGATTGTGCTTAGAAATGTTCTTTCTTCGAAGTGAATGGAAGTAAGATATATTCTTTGAGGTGAGGTTAATCTGTCATTGTAAGGTAAGGTTCTGCATCTTTATCTGTAGGGTCTGTCCAGTCGAGAGAGGCTTTCGATTAGTAGAATAAAGGGATTATAATGCATTATAGAAACGTATCATAAAGAATATTATGTAACAAAAGCAAAGTTAAAAATAAAAACTTTATTGAACAAGATAACAACCAAGACGGGAACTTGTTGTGTCTGCTCGGTTTTTGTCAATATACTGAAGTGTCTCTGCAGATGCATTAGTTGTCAGGTAAACACACAAGAACTTACAAACAATTAGCACTTCACCTATGAGACAAAACCTGCAGATTTGTAATTTTACGACTTCCTTTCAAACATGAAGTATTTCGTATAGAAATTTTCTTATATATAGAATGGGTGCATGGTTTAATGATTTTGCTTGCAATATGGTGTTGTAGAAGTAGCAATTATCACAAATTTATTATAACACAGAATATCAGAAGTTCCATATATACATAATTAAGTTATTTTGGAAATTGAGGGCTAGGATCCTTGCTAGTAGCACTATGGCTGCGTGGTCCCTTCCAAACTGCCTAAGCCAATTTAATTTTTGTTCTGCCTGTGCATCACAGTCCAAATCGAATTTCGGATTTCCAGTTGTCTACATTCGGTTAGGAAATCCTTCGTAAAAAAAGAAATTTTGTAAAATTTCCCTCACAAACCATCCAAAGCTGACACTGATGGTCATGTGAAAATAAATTTATAGCAAGGCAGATGTCAAGTAAACATGAAGAAGAACATTATAGAAAGTGAACAAATAATTGAAACTTTGTTCGTATTTCAAGTATTTAATCTATCATTTACATATTGTTTTGATACACAGAAAAACGTACGTACAAAACAAGCAGTAGCGGTTTTAGGGGGGTCCAGGGGGCACAGCCCCAGGACCTGCACTTATGATAACCAGAAAGCACCTTGCACAAAAATAACACAAATTGTAGAGAACAAGGGTCCTGCAGATGATTACGTCCCTGGGCCCTGTAGTCCCTAAAACCGCTGCTGTAAACAAGTCAAATGTATGATTAATGTATTATATAAAAAGTATAAAGCTTTGACTTCCAATTATGAACAATTAACATCTACTTTTTGGTACATCTACAGGTCTTAAAAAAACCTTTACAACTCTTTTAATCTTTTTGTGGTTTGCCAATAAAGGTTACCATACACAATAAAAATGTTTTAATACATGTATTTTTTATTCAGTATATTGTAATAATAAAGCATGATGTCTTTATGAAATGCATAGTTTGCATGTTTTTGAATCTAAACAAATAGTCACACTCGATGAAAATGAAATGGTACAAAACCGACAGAAAAATGCTTACTTACCAGACATTAGAAAATTATAAAAAGGTTTATAAGGATGCATTATAAAACAAATTTCAGCACCAAGCCTTCAAGTAAAAAACAATATATATGAAATTCTTTAATGACACTAATGTTACTTTCTAAATTGTATTTATGCATTATAAAACTGATCAGTAGATTCAACAGTAGCTTTGGGTATGCCACTATCAACAGTATCTAATGATGCTCTTGAATCAATGCTGGCAGAAGTTCCTGACTTATCCAAATGCTGGTCTTCATCGTCTTTAGCAGACCATCGGTTTACATTTGCTTCATCTGAAATACAAAAAATGAATTTCATATTTTACATCAAATCATTATAATTGTATGGTTAACTGGTCTAGGGTAAAAAAGATTGAATCAAAATGAGTTATTCTTGCAAAGTTGTAGAAAAAATGATTTTAATGTTAATTGCAAAAAAAATTGACCACAAATAAAAGCTGATATTGAAATGTAAAAAGTTTCCTTACCATCAGAATCTGCCTTAAAAGTTTCCATTTCTCCACCAAGTCCCTCATCAAGCTCCTGTTTCTGTTTCAACTTTCGAGCTCTCTCTCTAACTTTCTCTGCGTGTTCTAAACGTCTCCTTTGTTTGTCAGCTTTTTCTGCTTGTAACCTCTCTCTGTTCATAGAGGTCGAATCCATTTTCCCCTTTATCTACAAGAATGAAATGTTCTGTTTATTGCCCTACTCATCATTGTTGTCAGGATCCCAGGAGCAAAAGGTTTAGGCCCTTACTTCTAAAGTGGATTCAGTAATGAATCTATAGTGTTAACATTTAAGGTAGAAAAGCAAAGTTAACATTTCTTAGTTGAAGTTAACAGTTAAACAATGAAATTCTTTACCAATGCAAAATACAAAAACACAAAAGACAGTTAAAGTTCTAAAACTGGATAATTCTAATGGTTTACCTCTTCTGCTTGCTCTTGCACCCTGCTTTGCTCTTTTGCTGCCAATAGTTCTCTTTTCCTTCTAGACATTCTACTGGACTTTAGCCTCTTTCTTTGTATTTCCTTTTAAATAGGAAGAAATTAGATTAAAAGTTGAAGTAAACTTTAGTGAAAGAACAGACATGAAAATGTCAAAAGTGGAGAAATTGTGAGATAAGATTATTGAGTTGGATAATGTAGTTATAACAAAAGACCACAACTTAAAATTATTGGTTCTATTTCAAACCCAACACAAAAAATTAAAATCATAGCTGTTCTCTAGTAATAAAAATTCTAATGAAAGCTAAAACTCACAAGCTCCCTTCGTTCCTCAGATAGCTTTAATTTTTCTTGAAGCTCCTGCTGGGTGAGTGGTTTTGGTGCATTGGCCAAGCTCTAAGAGATATTAAAAAACAATCTGTAAAGTCAAGTTGGGAATTGTTGCTTATGGTAAGATTTTTTAAAGAAAAAAAACATACAAATAACAGCTTGCAATGTGCGAATATTGAATGTGTAAATATATTGCATTTTTCTTGGGAACAGCTAGTGACAAATTTACTTTAAGAGAGGGTCATGGCATAATGATCAAATCAAACAAAATCTATTAATACAATCATTTCAATGCAAAATAAGTCAGAGCTTTTCAAGCAAAGAAATGCATTAATAAATAATACCCAGATGGATGTTGAGTTTGCTAATTTTAAGCAGCCATGACAACCAGAGAAAAAAAAATTCTTTAATGAATTTTTCTTTGAATAAAAGTGTCATGTTGGGATATACAGGGATATTTCTGTAATTACCTCTAATCTTCTAGGTGGTCGCATTTTTGGCGGTTTGGTGCCCAAGGGAACTTCAAATGCAAGTGGTTTTGCATTCATTAAGCTGCCACCTGCAAAGCCAAGGCAATAGTCAATTGTAATCAATCATTACAGCCCTGATTAAAAAAGGTCTTGATTTCCTTGAACTTTGTTGCACATTAATTTTCAGATTGACGATTAATTTTCAAAATTTAAAACAGGCAAACTGTTTACTGGCTTTGAATCAATCAATGATGTAAAATGAAACAAAAATCATAACCAAGTTCAATGTGTTATTAGGTAAATAATTAATAAAAACAACGTAATCGATTGTTTGATTTTAAATCAACGAAATTATGTTTTGACCATTGCAAACAGATATCATTAAAAATTATGAAATTAAGCTAGTTAAACTAACCGTTACTTGATGTTAGCAAGGGTGACTCGCGTTTTTTCTCCGATGATGAAGCTTGAAATAATTTCTCAACACTTTCTTTTTTGCTAATGCTTCCTGAAAACTTTCTCTCTAGTTCACTGCAAGTACTTGTGGCACTTTGAGGCCTGACAGATCCTTTAGAATCCCGGACGAGCTTCTTACTACTTTTGTGTTTTGGGCTTTCTGTTGACCTTATGCTTCCTGAATGTGAACTTGGTCGTTTCGTTAGCAGCTTTTCTTTCCCAGAAGACGGTCTTACATTTTCCAATGAGTGAGGTTTGTTCAAGTTAACATCAAATTTAGCACTATTTGAAGATGCGGGACTTTCCTTGGGTTTTGTGTCATTTGGTCCCTCTTTGATAGAGGGTGAAACCTTTTGTGCAGATGATGCTCCACAACCCATTCCTATAAATCTGATCTTTATTTGCTATTTCAGGTCAACGCAGCCAAAACTTTGCCCAGGTAAATATAAAAAACTTGTCCTAGGTGTCTGTTGTGTAGGCATGCACAGCAATGAGTAATAATAAAATTAAATCGTCGCCTTTTAAGATCAAGAGACCTCGTGTTTGTTTGCTCCTCTCCAAGGCATTAGACCGGTTTTGATTAGCGTCCCGAGAACATGTAACTAGGCAACGTCTGAATAATGCTCCTCCATAGCAAAACCGGACGATACCTGTGTGATGTTGCCACAGAAACGTTACCAATTTCTAACAAAAAAGTAACATGTTTTGCTTGTGCCTAGCCTTGTCAATGCAAACTGAAGACTGACAAAAGGGTGATCATTTGGTTTTAATACAGATACTACATACCTGGGTAGATCTGTTTCACTTAACCAGGATAAGTTAGCATATGGTTGCTATAAAATACAGGAGCACTAGAGATAAAACAAAATGATAAGACCACTTTTACATCAACGCAGATCACATGGTCGTGGCAAAACGCAGCAAGTATTAGGCCAGGTACAAGAAACAAACACTTTTACCAAAATAAACTCTACACTTTTTGTGAGACCTCCATCATACGTATGACTCCTCTGGATCAGAAATTTTTTAAAACTAAATCTGTCAATAATTATAGAGTCAAAGTTTTAGATTTTTTTTCAGGGAAAGACAATAATTTTCTAATTTTGATTAGATTGCAAAAATAAAAAGTTTTGCAAAAGCCCTTAGCTGCATAAAAACAGTAAATCCCTACCCGAATCATATTTGTGCAGTCAGTGCTGCTTTTTCGAATAAATTTTTACATTTCCTGCAATTTCACGTCTTGGGTTTTCGACTGGGTTTTTTCATTTCTGACGTTGCTTTTAAATGTTCAGTGCAAAAAAATCCTTTAGGTATCTAAAATATCAGCTTTTTCTACTTCATTTTTGCTTGGTTTAATTTTCTGGTTTGGTAACATGCCAGGCAATGCTGTCATTTTCTCGAAAGAAATGCAATACGCTTGATAGGGGATATACGCTTGATAAACTTTTAAGTTCCCTGTTGAAAAGGGGGAAACCACATAAGAGTTTGAGACGGGAGAACTTTTGAAAATATTAGATAAAATTTTGTTATTGCGGCATCGTTTGTTGAGCAAGACAGTTTCTCCTCAGCTGCCTTTTACTACCTTTGGCGCCTTCAAAAAACACCAATGACAACACAGAATCAGCCGCAAGACAAACCATGACCTACTTGGCATTCTGGAAACTCAAAGTACAATGTACCATGAACCCATTCCAAAACAAAGGGGCGTTCATAAGGAAAAGCAGAAGTCAAACAAGCTTTTTTAACCATGCTCCCAAATAAAATTTTCCAACAAGTGTCTATAAGTTTCTTCAAACGAATCCTTGATCAACTTATAAACGACATATACAATAACTGGAATAATTGATAAAACAGTTGTCGAAAGAGAGCTAGTGATATTGTAGCAGCAGATACTACATGACTTCTGAGCCTTGCATTGTCATAAAGGCAGAAGCTGAATCGTATCAAGATGAATATGTACACATAGAAATCAATAGGCACCCAAAACAATTTCATATAAGACACGCATCTCCTTACTTAGTATCATGGCACATTAAAGATAATACAGCTACCTTGAAACAATCGTATAAAAAAGTAGCAAGGATATTTTGACTGAGGTAAGGCACACAATGATTTTCTCGCATAGGCAAGACTGCAGGCAAATAGCAATGCGACAGACAAGACAAAAGCTTACAAATCATGCTTACAAATCATTTAAGGCTCCCCCAGAGGCTACGCCCCTCAAGGTATAATCCATACTAATAACAACTAAATTAACATTATCGCATGTCTCGGTGAAAAATTTATCTTCCACGTAATTTTTATCTTCTTAATGCAAAGCTTTTTCGTCCAAACTGATATAGTTTTGCTATTTACAATTAAAATCTGAAAAATTATATATATCACAATAGCTACAAATATCAATTAAAACATGCTTAAAGCAAGATATTGCCAGTCTTCTAAACGACGACGTAACAAAATTTTGTCGATTAAGTTTATCTACAGTTTTTGATCGAAAGCAACTTGATAGAATCATAAACACAAAACCAAAGGCTATGAAACAGTTATGTAATATCTTGGATCATTTTTTCAGTGTTTGAACTGTTCACAAACCACCAGACGAGTTCTTTGATTCGCAAGTGTATTTAACTGAAAAAATCAAAGTCGAACTCATCGTCATCTTTCTTTTCGGATAAATCATTTCCACCAGATATATTTAGTTCGCCTGCCTCAGATTCCGAGTCTGAATTTTCCCAGAAACCTAGAATCGAAGAAAGTGAATCCTTTCAAAATGATGAAACAAAATAACGAAAATGATCGGCGTTTTATGCACTTTTCCGAAGCCTAAAAGCTGGTTTTCACGACATTTTAACCCAAGAAACATGATATCTATCGAGTGTGCTAGTACAACAATAAAAAGCTCAATTTTCTAGGTTCTGTTCTCACCTGATCATTTACAAATATTAAAAAAGCTTTATTTGTCTAGTTCAGTTCAAAGCGTTGTCGTGGGAATAGAGATACAAATCAGGTTGTGCATCCTCTTTTCTTGGAGCTAATCTTTTAGCTAAAACAGTGAGTTAGGCTATGCAAGTTCTCAGATTAGAACTTCATATCAATAAAAAAGCAGCAAAATGAAAACTGGGCTGCAGAATCAAAATCTGTTGTGGCAGAAAAAAATTTCACACATTGAAGAATTCACGAGTTTACAAGCACGATGACGCAAATTCATGCAGTTCTGCGTCACCAACAACTTGCTTGATTAATGACTCAATCACTCAATCTTGATTAATGATTAATAACCTAAAATCTAAATGTTTTTAAAAACAATCTTTTTCAAAAAACCTTCTTCGATCCCTTATTTTTACTAACAATAGTAATAACTTGCTGACATGCAGTTGAACGCAGGTTCCTGGTAACAACGAACATTTGAGTTCTATTGAAGTGTTTTTGATTTGCTCAAAATATACATTAGCAAATCAAATATTCGATAAAATTTTTTTTCCAGCAGCCTACCTGGCTTGCGGAATTTGCTTGAAATACTTTTTGAATTTTCAGGTGAAAAAACATCCTTTCTTGAAGCAGCTTCACTTTTCTTTGGTAACGGCATTGGATCATCCACCTCAAATGAATCTTGTTTCTTACTGGGAAATAAAATGCAGGCAACGTTCAGACATTTCGATGAAAGGGAAAATATGTTAGTTGAAATTTTAAACGTCCTATTCAAAACAGAAGTTTAACCTAATATTTTTTGAAAAACATTAAATGAGCTAAAGGACAATTCAATAAAAATTAGCATTGGTAAGGCCCAGTCGTCTTTTCGTCTAACAGTTTTTGAATCAATTCACAGTAAAACAAAAACGCCACAATTGTGTAGGTAGATAAAGTTTGTAAACACCCTTTGACTTCAGTGGCAATTTTTATATAAACACACGGTTCTGCTTGGGTAACGTGTGCTTGCTTTTATCTGATTGGCCTGTTTCGATCCACAGCTGGGGATATATTTTCTTTCTTGATCTTTTCAGCACTTATTCTGAGGTTCGATACTCTGAAGAGTGTCAGACGAAAAACTCAAGTTACATTGAAAAATGTTTGCTTTTTTAAAAGCCATTTGCAAAACAAATATAATTGAAAAAACGTACTTAAAATGGGCTCGAATCTTTGCTCCTTCTGCGCCTCTAGGTTTCTCAGACTCGGCATTACCATTGCCCGCTCTATTTCTACCCAGACTCCCGCTTAGTAGATCTTCCAGATCTTCTCCAGAGTCAGAATCATCATCATTACTCACTGGTATGGTATTGGCTTTAGCTTCTACCTTTTTCTCACTCACTTCATCATTTTCTAGCCCTGGCAAGCTAACTTCAGATTCTGTAGCATCGCTTGTTGAGCTTACATCAAGCAATTCTTTCTTTTTATCATTAGCAGAGACCGTATTTTCCCTTATGAAGAAATAGGCATAACAAATTTAACTCTAGCGAAATTGCGTTAAATAAAATTTAAAGAAAGCGAGCGCATTTTTCCCACCGTCACACATCGAACAGGATCAGTGACTCCTAACTAGACAAAAAGATAGAGGGATTATTTCATATTATTTTTTAACATTGGCTGTAAAGTGGGACAAACATAAAAACCTTATAATCTAATTTTTGAACTAGTGTTTCTTTAAATTTTACGGTTCTACGCTTGTCATTTACTGTTTTACACGTGTGAGGACTGCTGGTTGCAAAGAACAGAGCTTCAAATATTTCTATATTTGCTGATGTTACGGTCTGGACGCCTCGATAATAAATGTACCCAAGCGATATTTGGTCTCTTTAAGCAAAAATTGACGTGACGGAGTGGGCATTGTCGTTTTTCAGTAAGCATTATAAAGCGGCGGCCTAACTGACAAGGGCGGCTTCGTATGTTCGTTATCATAATCTTCTCCATGTAACTACGTAATTTTATTTTCTGACACAGAAAATCTTGAAATTGTGCAGGTGCGATGTTGATAAACAAAATACAGAGGCTTCTTTGTTGCTTGACAGTGGGCCTTTAATGCACATGCATAAATAGGTGCAGCCCAGGCACAAAGGAAGTTTTTAATGAATTCATCAAGCTCGAATCAAGCCATAAAACTCACGAAAAGGCTTCGATGACTCGAGCAAGATATTAAATTGATTTCACAACACAAGACTGACTGAAATGTGTGTCGATTTGCATTTTTTAATTGGTTACTAGAAAATTGAAACTACTGTTGTGAAAATTTCCTCTTTTACAAAGTGTTTGTCTTATAAAACATTATATTGTTTGTTTCCGTTTCCTTGTAAGATGTAACGGGTGCAGGGACGATATGCTTCTTAGCCATTCCTGCCGTGCCATTGCTACCCTTTTAGCTAGCTTTATGCTAAGATAAAATTTGCTATGAATTGAGTTCTAAAATAAGATGCAACACCTATTTAAAACAACAAATCTGAGATAAATGCACTGCACTGGATTCCATTTGATCTGAGAATATCCAGTGGAAAATACGACCTCACAGGAGGAAATTTGGCATAGCAAAGACTATCATATTGGAAAAAACTGCACATAAAGTACATAGGTACCTAATGCTTAAAGAAGAATAATATGGAGAAATTAAGGAAGAAAGAAGAAAGCGAAATACTTACGGGATATTTCGCGGGGTAAGCTTTGTGGAATCAAATGTTGATGAATCGTCGTCATCACTTACATCTGAAACGCTTCCAACAAAATCTAAAGAGTTATCGGCTGGATCTGGTTTCTTTGCACTTTCATCAAGTTTTGTTGATGGTATCGTTCCTTTGTGAATTGGTGAATTGTTTGACAATGGGCTAGCGGCGGATGGGGCATTACTGGCATCTGAATGAGAACTTTGATCGCTTTTTTTGCTTGGTGATCCAATGCTCGGAATTTCTTCTACAAAAACATTTTTTTACATTAAATAGTAATAACTAAACCATGCTAAATCACTTTGACATATTGCAAATCAGACCACTGAATTGTAGAAACGTTTAACTGCAAAGGAAAAAACAGTAATTTGCATTGGCCTTTAAAATATTGCAAAATATGTTAGTGGCTTGCAAAAAGCAAACATTTGACAACATACTACTACACTTCAGTGGTATGCTGTGAAATGTTTGCTTTTTTCAAAACCATTATCAAGTTCTGTAGCGCCAAAAAAATTTCAAAATATGTTAAAGATATCGAGCATAACCAGCAAAAACATATCATACCTATCTTGTTTATTTCTGTATCTCTTTGTTCAGGACTAATTAAGTCATCTTCTACATGGTCCTTCACTTCTTGATCACCATTACTCTCAATCGACTCTTCATCTTGGATTGACTCGTGCTCACTTTCGTCGTACAAATCCTCGTCATTTCCGTCCATGATTCTTTGAATCGCGTTTGAAACCTGGAAAGCAAAGGTTCAACATAGTCAGAAAAGCCCTTTGTGGCAACACTGGACTGACCCCAAGCTATGTCTAGGGTTGTTTTCTAAATAGAGGGCCATTTCAAACCTTTAGTGATTGCTACGATTCTTTAATGTATCACATTGGGCGATTACATCTGGTAGTAATGTAATCTGAAGAAGTAGCTTTTCTAAACCTTCTTTCTTTAAAAGCAAACAAAAATATGGCAAGGTAAGTTAAGGGAGGGATTACACAATGAACAAATTCTAATGGAAGAAACCCGGATTCATTTTAAGGGTGGAAATTCTTGATCCTTTTCTTAAAATAAATATTTTAATTGTGATTTCGAAAATTTGACTTTCGGAATTAAAGAATCAATTGAAATTCAAAGAATTGATATTTACAAACTGACATGAAAGATGCTTTTGTGGGTTCGTGCATTTCTCTAAATCCCTGTTCTAAAAAAGTGCAATTAAAACCAATTCCGTTTTGAAAAACAGAGAAAAATTATCAAACTTAAATAAAAGTGTGCGGAACCTAGCTCAGTCTGAGTTCTGTCTCAACATAGCCCTCATAAATAAATCGACATGCATTTTGCAAGGTGATAAAAATGCTTCCTAACCTATGCCGAAAGCCAAAGATTGCTATTGGTAATAACGACAACATTAATTGTTACCTCGTGTGCCACCTCTTGACTGCCAGGACACAGAATTTGAGAAAATATTTCACAAACTGAGGTAGATTCAAATATCATATTCCCGAACAACAGCTCCATATGATTGAATACATATTCCCATAATTCTTCAAATTCCGTTGGAATAATTTCTCTGCAGGAAAAATTAATGAAATGATACACAAATGAAGGTAAGTTGGGGCTTAGTTTTAATATTGCCTGAATAAAATTGCTTCATTGAGAACTGCCCAAATGGAGCCTGAAACATTTTGAAAGGAAACTTGACTAGAAAAGGCTGCCTCTAGGCCAAATCCACATCCCGTGCTGAAAGAACAATGAATTCTTTTAGGAAAGGGAAAACACATTTTCTAGAACATGTTACTCAAAACTTTTGCCCTGGCAGTAATATGACAACCTCAAAGCCTTTTTGTGCAAGAAATCCGTAAGTTGATAAACTGCGGGTCAATCAAATATATCTTTCGGGTATTCTGCTTCACCAAAATTCTTTTACAAGCTTAAGAAAATGTTTACCTATGCTTCATTAAGCTATCTTAATAGCTCTTTGATATATAAAAGTGTATGATTCCGGAAGTCTGTCAAATAAAAGCTTGAGTAGAACAATAGTGTTACCTGAAACCATCTAGAGTGTAAACGAGGGACAAATCTTCATCGTTCTTTACAATGCAACCATCTTCACTATTGTTCTTCACATATTCAGTCGTCACTAACTTTGAAACTATACATAGGTCCGGAGTTTTGAAATGAAGGAGATCGCCTTCCACTAACAGTTCGCTGTTAAGACAAAAAAAGCAAGAGTCTTTATAGCTAAATGTAAACATCAAAATATTGCTTGCAACTATAAATCTGTTAAATTCAGAAATCATATGTCATTAATACTAGCATAGACGACGTATGTCATCTTTGATTAACATTGTTGTTACAGTATAGCTTCAAGTGGTTGCCATTCAATGCATCTACACACATTATCTTCTTATGAAACCAAACAGTTACAGCGAATTTTTTGAAGTTTTGGGAAAGTGCAAGATCTATTGCACAAACTTGCCAGCCTAGGCATTTCCTAGTCGTAAAATGTGTTCACTCTTAAAAAATACATTGGCTTATGAGACAGTTAGCAGTGCTGAGCTTATTGTTTAAGGTTAATTTGTTTTTCCTTCCAACTAAATCTAACCCTTAGTCTTAGTTATTAAAACCCAAAAATTGTGGATATTTGAAACATTTGTTTTCGGGTATGTAGATACTATAAGACCTCAAAAGTAAATGTGATTGGTCAAAGCCACAACCTCTAATCTGATTGGACGTTGTTGGAAGGCTTGACCAATCAAAAACTTTCAAGTGCACTAACTTTAAAGGAAAACGTTGATTTCCGACCTTCATAGTCAACGGCATAGGCAATTCATCTCAATTAATTTAATGCAGAAGATGTGCAATAAAAGCCTATTAACCACTTGGCCGACTAGAAAACGATTAACAACACTAAAACTAAGTTACATCCTTGATCGATGAATGAAGGTCATGCAAAGTTGCTAAAAATATGGAAGTAGCAGCGATTGAAGGGCGAATTGTTTGTCTTCTGAACGAAAACATCAAAGGTGATATTATTATGTGTAAGAAGGAAGAACCGCAGGATAGGCTGTCCACCGGATTCTGTGAATCTTGCAATGAGTGTTGTTACGAAAGATATACAGGAACAAAGCAATACGACGAAGAGAATCCAATGTCACGAGATAAAATATTCAAAATAAATTAAATTCAAGGAATATACTAATATTTCGCCCCGGCATACAGGGCTTCATCAGAATAAATGAAACGAACGAGTGAATGAATTTGAAATGTGAGATGGTGATGCCGGATTGGTGGGTGCTGAATGGTGTGAATGCAGCGCAGTGACGAAAAAATGGGAGGATGATATTATTAGTTGAAATTGTCATGCAAGAGAAAGAAATCCTGTTTGCATAGGTACGTACTTATTGAAACTTCTGTCAATAATTAAATTTTCATGAAAAGGAGCGTCTTTACTAAAGGCATTTTGAAATTAAAAAAAACATTGCTTGAAGTTTAAACATTAATGCGTTGTTTTGCTTCGTTTAAAATTACTTTAGTCGCGAGATTCTCGCACGAGATTACAGATAATATAGGCAGGTAAAAGGCAGATGTTGGTGTACAGTCACGAAAGCAAGGATGTTGAACAGCAATTTGATGATAAATTCTTGCAATCGCACTTCATATCTTGCCTTCATAACTAAATAGTAAATGATTTGGATACAACAGGAATCTGCAAAGGACCAAAGGGTTTTAGGAAGTTACTGACTGACTTTCTTTGATCCTGTATCTTGCTTTTAAGAACCTGTTTTCCTTAGCAAATTATAATGTTTTATTTTAAAGGCTGCCGTCTCTTGAACCATCTGGTGCCACGAGACACCCCTTACAGCCAGATAATATCACCATCGAAACACACCTTATAAAAAAGAGCCCCACATTGTCATCATCAAAATACACTTTATAAAAGGAGCCCCACGTAAAAATATTTGACCCTACCCCTAAGAGACACAAGACACGTAAAAATATTTGATCCTACCCAGGAAAAGCCTGAACCTTGATTGATTCTTCTTTGCAGGATTTACTGTGTCTACTTCAGTACTGAATCAAATTGCACATTGATGTATAGAGCAAGGATGTTCCTAATTTTGTTATTTAGACCAAATCAGATTGATAATTGTATGGGTTTTGTTTTAATCAATGAATGCATAATTCTAAAAAATTGAACTTGCAACATACCTTTTAATCTTGCTCAACATATCTATAGATAGGCTGTCAGGAGATGAGCGATAAAATTCCTTTCGATCATCGACTCCCATTCGTTTTTCAATCTCTTCATACAGATGTGATATGCCAGGCATATCCACAGCAACTACAGCTTCTTCGATGATGCCTTCAGGGCTAGATCTATTTGGCTCAGTAGTTTGGTCGGACTCTTCCTCTGTCAATTTTTCTTGATTTTCCGCTTTTAGGTTAGCATCTTCAATATGCTTGTCCCCAATCTCATGAGAATCATTCTCGTGATTACGAAAATCTGGTATTTCATCATTGTTGGCAATACCTTTGCGCGCAATAACATTTCCCGTCCCTAAAAGATCAGGCGGTGAAACATCTAGATTCCAAACGTCTGGATTGGCAGCTAACAATTCATGACTTTCATTCACATTCGATATTGCTAGTTCCTCTTCACTAATCCTTTCTACAAGTTCCTTCTTAATACCAAGGCTGCTTATAGAAAACTGCGCATCATCATGATCATTTTTCTTGACTAGCGCACCTGCTTGATTCTGATTATAATGCTTTACCCCCTCCTCTTTACCTTTCTCTAAATTCACTTGATTTCCCACATCATTCTCTACCAGTAACGGCTTTCTTGATTCAATCAGCTCTTTGTCAGTGTCATTTTTATTCCTATATAAACTTTCATCCGAAACATTTGATATAAAGGACTCCAGCATAGTCCCTGGGGCCTTTTCACTTTTCGTCATTTCCTCGAGTACGAAAACCTTTTCGTCATGCTTGGCGCCATTCTCTACAAAGTCATTCGTAGTATCGTTACTGTCGCCTTTAAACGGCCTAAATCTAAAATCAAGCTCAGTTTCATTATCGTGGTTCTCCATCCTTGCAACTCGCACATCACTACGAGCGCCTTTACTTGGATCCTTGCCAAAACCCTTCTCATTTGAAAAAGGTTCACCAGCAATTGGAACTTCACTTTCTAATCTATCAACACTAAATATCCTCTTTTCTTTCAGCTTGGTAGAAGTAGGATCTAACTTTCCTTTCGTTCTTTGAGAAGTCTCTCTAACACCATCCCCAGTAATATTGACGTCACTTTCAGCTTGAGAGTATGGTGCAGTTTGGATCGGCCCTCGGCTCTCAAATGACTGCATTCGTGGAGAGACGGCCATAGGTAACAAAACCAACTGTCCTTCTGGACTTAAAGCCAAAGCTTGCGGAAGTATGGTATAGTCTGATATATTAGTAGGGTGATCAATCTTTGGGATATTCAAAATATTTGGTCGTGACTGTCTTGTACCGCTGAATGATTCGCTGTAATCATGCGTTGGATTAACAAAATTTTGAGTGACTGGCCTACCTGTGCCTTGATAACCGTTATGATAATAAGGGGAAGAAACACGATGATTAACTGAGTCCTTTTGGTCCCTAAAGAGAGATGAAGCAGGAATTTGGTTTGGTCCATTAGAGTAATGTTCATACTGCATGGGCATTTTTGCCCTATCTTCATGAAAAGAGCTGCATCCTACAAAAAATTCAGGTTCGTACCCATTATAACCATTAATGGATTGATGATCTCTTCCTGATCTGTTCGAGTTCATTCTGGGTGAAAAATTCAAAGTTCTGTCTGTCACAGAGTCTCTATTGACATTTATTGCTGTTGAATGCAAAGGACCACTCGAATTGAAAGTGTTTCCTTCTCTTTTATCCAGTCTTTTGTTAAAGGAGCCTGAAGTATTGTTCATCTCCTAAAAGGTATTCCACAGGTTTATAATCCTTACTGCAAAGTAAGCAAAAAGCATGCAAAAGTTGTTTAAACTTGGTTGGAAAGGGAAGCTTTAACATAAACTTTAGTATGAGGACCACAACAAAGACACGAGTTTCATTTTAAAAGACTAAGACAAATCAGTGTAGTAGTCAACATTCCAATGAAATAAAGATTTGAATAAGCTTTACCATACTACATTTTTCATACTTAATTAATTTGAATGTTTCAGGAAGAGTTCATTTAGTCTTGAGGAACATGAATAATTAAAGTGAGAGACTCAAATATTCTCAATATTAATTATTCGAAAAATTGATGCATAGCAAATATCCATGGAAAGATAACTAAATGAGGAAAGGTCATAAAAATTAACCGCCTGAACAAGAAAGTCCAGTGGGATAACAAGCCGTTTAAACTTGTTAGGCATGAGAAAAACATGATGAAAGTGGTGAATATGTTTATATGGCAGGCACCGGGGAGCAGGGGGGCTGGGGGGGCTTTAGCCCACTTTTTGCAAAAAATGCAAAATATTAAGTATCAAACTACCAGAAAAGCCTTTTTTATACGGTTTTAGCCCCCCCTCACTTTTTTAGACCCCCACTTTTCTCAACGCTCCGCAGTGCCTGTATGGTGGAAAATGATGTCAATGTACTACATTGACAATATTGTTTCAAAAAGAAAAGTTAGGTTTACCTTCTCTGATGCTCCAGGTGAGGAATTTTTGCTCAAGTCCAGATTTTCCTTCCAATTAGGGTAAATTGTATGAATATAGGTCTCATAGTCTTGCTAGAATGAAAGAAACACAAAGCAAAATGTAAGCACCCCTATTTCAAGTCAAGAGATTAATCATGTTTACGCAAATGTGCAACAAATCTCCTCAACAATAGCTAACATTTCATCCTTCCTTTATCTTATCAAGTAGATGATCTGTTTGTTTAAGGTTTTTGTAACTTAAGAGGCATGTTCTTTAAGCGATAGTATCAGATTGAATTTCAAATTGAAGGCCAAATTATTGTTTTGAAAACTTTGACTTATATAGCCTGGAATTTACAAAAGTGTAATTACAAAGAGCAACTGCACAGCGGCAAAAGTGTGCAAAAGGGTTTCTTTGAAAAATGGTTTAACTTTACTGAAGGAAAAGTTCCTAAAATAATGAGCATAAAATTATTTTCAGAGGTTTGAGGTAGTTGCTAAGAATGGATTTGAAAGTTTTTGTTAGCTAGTTAAAACAAATGTTCTCCATTGGTGTTGAGATCACCAGATATGCAAATAATTTTATTTTGATAAATATTATGTCTTAATGCTGAAAAAAATAAAAACTGTTTAAAAAAGTTGATTTCAATCAAGCCAACCTTAACTTTCTTTAACTTTCTTGCCTTTGTCTCTAAACTTTCAGCCATGTTGTTCACTCTTTCAAAATCATGTATCAAACTATCATTGCGCAACTTGCTCTTTTGCTCTTCATCCTTCAGTTTCCGGAGAGTGCTTTTAAGTCTCTCTGCTTTCATTCTTGACCTTAAAGTTTAAATAATTAGAAAATTTGCTAAGAGGCTTAGAACATTACTGAAAATTAGAAACATGCATCATTCTTTGCTAAGCAGCCAACATGAAGAAGGCAGTTTTGCCTCTATACAATTACTTGTGTCATCCTTTATGTTGGACAGAGCAGTCAGTGACTGGTGAATGAAAGAGAGCAGCATGTTCCAAAGAGCATCAGACAAAAACAGTTTTAAAAAACAAGGGCTTGTTTGCAAAAATCAGAATGCCCAAGTACAGTAGACTCCAGTTATAGTCACAATAATTGTTGCTTGAAAACTTGTGACCATCAATGGAGTGTGATTGTAAGCTAATTTGGCTTTAAAATTGGATAATTTTGCATCCTAGGGCCTAAATTTCATGTGGCTGTAATGGGTAGCGTGACTTTAAGTGGAGTGGGCTGCACAATGTGATTCTGCTCTAGATCCACATCTACTCAATAATCCAGAGTGCATCAGAAAATAAAGGGACAACAATCTTAAGGTCATTGGGCAAGCAAGTTGGTCTATTCATTTTGGAACCCAACTTGCATATACAGAAAGATTCATTTTCTCTCTTGGATTCTTCAAATAGTTGCAGTCCGGGTAATATTAGGGGTGCGATCACACACGCAAGCCTCTATACAACTCCTCAAGGCCGGGTTTCCATATTATTCTATTTCCGTATATGTCTCTGTTTTCTCATTCCATTTTTGTATTTTCTTGAACACGTTACCCGAGTCACTCCATTTTGGTCAAAACCAAAATGGTGTTTTCATTACTCCATTTTTATCCATTCTAATATCCTTTGTTCGAGCTCTATTTGCTGAGATTTAATGATTCAAATGTCTCTGTCTTTGCTGTTCCAAATGAAAAAAAGCATTCTGTTTTTGAATGACTCCACTTTGAACAGTGTTTTTGAATGACCTCGGTTTGGTAACAAATGGCAAAATCTAAAATGGAGTTATTTGAATCTGTTCTCACACTAAAACAGAGTAATGGCAACAGGGCCTAAAAACCTGTATGCTGTTAAATTATTGTCATTTCTAGAAGACTGAACACTCCGAGAACAGGCTGAAGACCCCAAGAACACCCTAAAAACAAGCCTTAAAATTCCAATTAAGCAGCTGAACACCCTTTAAAACATATTAAAATAGGCATATCATTTGAAAAATAATTTGGTAAATTAATCAAAATTAATTTTAGGGAGGGAAAGGGTCTGATAAGTCTAATGTTGTTTGTGTTGTTACAACCAACTGATGTTTTGTGTGAAAACCTCTAACTCTTTTTCAAACAGTGATTCTCCCATTCGAAAAAACACGTACATGGTATTTAAAAAGCTATCAAGTTTTCATAAAAATCATAAGGTCTCCATTTTATGGATTGCATGCCATCGCACACCATCGCTGGGCACATCGACAAATTTCATATTACCAGGACTGTAGTTGAAAGATTGAGTAACAACCTTCCTTGCTCCCCCATGTGAATTGTAAAAACCGCCTTCACCTAACGTCATACACCAGCTTATATAAATGGCACTCATAATTGACCAAAGAATACTTCTTCAGAGTAAACCACATGTGTGCCACTTGCAATGCACATTTACGCGCAAGTGTACACTTGCATACTCCAAATTTTGCTCTTACTCACCCAAGATCTTTTTAAAAACCCCCAAATATTTCCGGTACGCATCTAGGCCAATGCATTTTTATGAAAAACAGAAATTCATTTCAAACTGAGTAAAGGTTTAAACGCGGCTTAACTCAAATTTCCCTATGAACTTCAGGATCACATTGGACATAGAAAGCAAAAACAGTCTAAAAATTAACATAAAATAAGATCTATGTGAAGTTAACTGACCCTCTCGCTTGAAATTTATTTTACAAGATGATGTTGGTGGAGAACCTTTGATTTTAAAGTTGAAACTAAACTCATCATCATAAGCACCTTTGTATAAAAAACCAACGCACGCAAGAAAATCTTACCCAATCAGATCACTTTTGTGTCTTTTTAAAGCATCATTTCTGTCTCTGTTGAGCCTCTGCGGATTCCTCTCCATCTTTGAAGATGACTCAAACTCTCAAGCGAGTTAACCTACTTCTATACTACCATCAACCCGCCATTTTACATTCATATTGTATTTCTAAGCCCCGTTTCCATGAAGAATTCTGTTGATAACAATAGTTGGTTACGTCAGGCATGACTAGAATTCATTCTACAAGATTTTTACTATATTTAGATTTTTACTACAAAAATGCTAGAAAAATCAAGAAATTCCTCAAAATTTAAAGAAATAGATTTTTACCACAATAAAAAGAGGGTACTACATTCATAATTTCGAAGCTTTAACGCCTTTCAAACATTACAGAGGTCTGAGGTACCGAATAGAAAACTCCCAAGGGTAGAGCAGCTATAATCAAGTTTGGATTCAAACCATATCATTTCAAAAGATGCAACAGCTTTATCTAAAATCCACAGCCTTTGCACCACCGATTTAGCTGAAGCAAATCAATCTTTAGACTATTATTCCATTTACTTTTTTAGTTTGAATTTCCTTGCTTCTCTTGAAATATTTCGACAACGTCATATGTACAAGAATAAGTAAATCAAGAAACATTTTATGAAGAATGAGAAATAAAGTTAACAATTTTTAATATCTAAAATTGCTTAGATTTATTGAAGCGTCAGGTTAAGTCCGAGGTATGAAGTTCAAATCGCTTATTTTTGCGATTTCTTGCGAGTCTTATCTACATTTACTTGTCTAGCTCCTAATAACTGGGTCACCATCATCACTTACTCCTTGAGAAGGCTCGAATTCACTGCACCGTTTTCCTGAGCCTTTAATTCCTAGCAATTTTCTGGCATTCTCCTATATCACTCTCCCATCCACAAAATAATTTGTTCGTCTTATCATTGTAACAAATATTTCCACGTTTAGTTGTCTTTATTGAAACATAAAATAAAACATCTAAAGACAATTTTTTCAGGAGAATACTGTATGTTAAAGTGGGTGCCCTACGATTTTGTCTGCTTGGAAGCTGTCTAGTGAAGTTGGAAACTTTACACTTAGATACAAATATGATTATGCCAAAAGAAAAGGACCCAGAACCGATCCATGTTTGAGACAACAGAACGCAATATTCTAACAATGAATAACCATTTGTTCTAAACAGATTGTTAATAATAACAGAAAAACATATCCTAGATTATATTAAAAGGTACGTTGGTGTAACATTTAAGTTTGTATGGAAATTCGTTACAACAAAGCTAAATAAGGGAGTTTCGGTATGTATCGTTTTTGTATTTCGCCTAAATTGTCGCAATTTTCAGTCCATTCTGAAGAGAAGGAGCTATTGTGTGAATCAATTGCACATAAGCATAACTCAAGATAATCGGTTTGAAGGGGGGTTGGCAAGGAAACATGTTCTAAAACCAGGTATCAAAAACAGATATTAAGTTAAATGTACCTAATGGAAAAGATACGATAGTTGGTGTTGTGTATTGAGGGGATATGGTATGTGTTATCCTTTTAAAAGTGTAACATAGCTTAGAAAGTATAAGGGCCTTGATGCATATTCAAATAGCAGCCCGTGATTAAGAGCGGAGTCCCTGGATACTGCCAGCATCAGCCCTCTCTTCTTAGCATGCAGAGAAAGAACACAAACATAGCAGGAAACGAGACACGCATTTTGGTATCGATGCATGTTTCATTAAAGTAAACAATGTCATGCTAAGATAGAAGCAAATGTATTAGATAACAATTAATGGAGAAGCAGTTCGCTTACGCACAGCTGGAACACAATAAAAATCTCGTAAAATAACCTTCTGTAACAGGCTGAAATGGCTCCTGTACATGCGGCTTGTAATCTGCAGTTTCTTTTATGTGGGTTGATAATGTACGAGAATAAAACAATATGTGGCTGCGTGGTGGGCGACTGCAACTTCTTTTAATGTTTTTTAGAAACAGGAATTCAGGTGCTGCAGCATGGGCATTTTTATCAAGAGTTAAGTAGATCAAACTTAATATTGATCCTAGCATTTTTAAAGGGCCTAATGCACATACAAGCAACAAGTATCAAACAAGAGTAGAAACAGCATTTCTGATTAATAACAGTAATCCATTCTGATTTTACAAATCACGTGCGTGTTTTCCTGCTATGAATTTAGAAGCACTAGGCCTGAATGCAATCGCAAGGTTTGATACCAACTCTAAGCATCAAATTAAGAAGTAAGTGGAAGCAAAAATGTCCTTTCCAAAATAGTTGCTGATTTCAAAGCCCAACTGCTATCTTAATTTTTAACATATCTTTAAACTCAACTTCTTGTGCCTCTATTCGTACTAATCTCAACCGAGGGAACATAACCCTATAGGACACTTTTCACGCCAGAAAATACTTAAATTCCGGAGCCAATAATGTAAATTTGCGGTGTCTGATAGCTAAGGCTTTTTGCAGCAGTCCTTGGTTTGAATCTCCAATATCTTTGTATGTTATATGTGTCACTGTTCGTAACTCAAAAAAGAACGTTTCTTGTATGATGTGGATAAGGAACAGCGATAAAATATGTTGCAATCAAAATTGGAAAAAATTTAAACAGTCGACTAAATTGGAAATATAAATGAGTATTTATACGATAAAGAAACGAAAGCACGGGTTGCCGATGGTTTGTTGTTGTGGCAACCTAAAGGCAATATCAGCCACAAAAAGAGTCAAGAAAAGAGAAAATTAAAAAGTACACTGAACACTAATTGCGGAGGATGAGATGCCAGGGAAGTCTTTACGGGTTGAATAGAATACTTCTCTGAGATTCATTCGGATTCCAGCTTCTAAAACATTTATGTTTCGCAATTAACGGTGACATCACGCACAAGGTCATAAAAGACAGAAAAACCACGATTAGAACAATGTACACAAATGATAAGAAATATTGTCTAAATGTTTGAATTGACATTATAAACAGAACGTAACTAACAAATAGGTATGTGTAAATAATAAATGTCAAAACAAACTAGCTACTGATATGATAATTAGTTTCAGTTAGATTACCCGTACTTTATAAAGTTCAACCATTGTTAAATAGCATCTAAAGGAGTAACAGCATCACGACAGCAAAGCATACAGCAGTCTGAAAATTGAAAACAAAAGTAAATAAGCACTCATTTTTGCAGTAAATACTCAATTACAGAACTTTTTATGTATATCATTAGGGTTTAATATTTCCCTTTGAGGGAGGGGGGTTGGTGGGTAAACGATTTCAGTAGATGATACGGCAGACAGTTGGGAAAAAACATTTACCTTGCAATATAAAAAGCATTGGTAAACAACTCAGTCTTGTTTTGATAAAGGAATACGTTGAGACTCAGGTGAAAACAAATAGAAAAAATTATGATCTTTTAAAATCCAATATCAAAATTTTTAAAGATATTTGGAAAAATCAAAATTTTGAAATTCCATAATCACCTGTACAGATAGACAAAGAAGCTGATCAAGAAGAAAGCTAGCTTAACCCAGCCTTCCCTCTGGCATTTGTTCAGAACAGATGTTGACATTATTTCAGTTGGGTCATAAATACCAACACCAGAGATAATTCCTCTATTGGCATACCTATAGAAACAAGAACATAGATATAAACATATATCTAGAGATATAGATATATATTTTTATATAGCAAACTGTTCAATTCTGGCCAAAAGTGGTTCAATACAATTGGGCAGCACCCTTGTGAAGAAAATTTTCTCCTGTCAACCTTTGCCTTATCATTATACAATAATTGTTGAAATTGCTCTGTTGAATGCTTACAACTGAGACCAAAAATTTGTTTGCGTTCCTTGAATATCTTTGTTGCTGCTAGTGGTATCAAGAGAAAATTTGTGGGGGTAGTGGGGGCTTGCCAAGGCCAGATTACTTTTAGAGGTTGAGAAACAAATCTAATAAATGGAACAAACTTTCTGTTTACTATAAGGGATTGTGGTGCGAATTTCAGTGGCACCATTTTGCGCCAATGTAAAAAATGTCTTCAATAAATGATGGCCAAAGTAACCCCAGGAGCCTGGTAACATTGGCAACTTAGAATGGAGGCTATATCTAGAGTTTGGAAATTCAAAAATTTGTCTCGATTCTATTCACCCTTCCCACTATTTATTCTGTATATAACGATTTTGGAAAAATTGGCTCAATTCGAGGGAAAATTGGTTTACTGTTGGTCATTACTGTTGTTTCCACAATGTGACTAAACACAGGAAAAATATGGTTATAAACCCAGTGCTAAGGCTTGTTTTAAGTCAAATGGCTAGTAATAAAGACCAACTCAAATTCTAATAAAAAAAGAAACTTACCGATATATGTTATAACAGAGTAATGGCACATTAAATAGAAATACAATCCAAAAACCACCAAAAAAGAACAAGAGCATCAAAAATGCATGCAATCCATACTCTGGTAGGACAAGCTGTCAAAAAAATCAAAACATCATTCCTTAGCTATTAAATACATGGAGTAAAATAATTTTCTAAGTTTCACGTAATAAGATGGCAAAAAACAATAGCATATTTCATAAAAACAAAAATATACCATTATTTACTGTATGACTATTAAGTTAGATGACATCATGCAGCATATGACACCATACAAAGCCCAGCTCAGAGTGTAAATGGAGTTTATTTTACTTTAAGAACTTTTTTTACTATAACTATTGAGGACGGAAAAACTGGTCATTTAAAAACGATTGGTCTGTATTTGCTGTTGGAAGAGTAGAAAAAGCCTTTAGTGCCTCATACAGTGAAGATTGAAAGCTGCCAAATATCTAGATACAGGAAAACGCTTACTACTCGAAAATTCAACTAAATATATACTATTTTCTTGTGTACCATAGCAAGGACAAGGATGAAATGTCTAAGTACCATGATACTATACTCACTGGATTAAGGGTCTGACAAAGATCAATTGGATTCTTGTAATCTGTCCTCAAGTCATCAAAAGCTATTACCTGTAAGATTATAGAGTATTAATAAAATAATGGAATTCTAAAAGCAACACAATTTGAAAAGAAATGGAACATAACATAATGTTCAAGAGACATCTATTTGTGAGTCTGTTTGCCAGCTATTAAAAATGATAATTTGTTAATGACAACCATGGACATTAATTCAAAACTAGTGGTTATGACAAAAAACAGACACAAAAGGACATTGTCCATGAATTCCAGGTCTATAAATCTGGAATTTCCCCACTGAAAAAATAGCAAATTGTCTTCAAGTGCTGCAGTATGGACCCAAAAAGTACAACAGAAGATAAAATAAGAAGGTTTTATGGGATTTTTTAAATCCTCAGTTCCAATCTTAAAACCACAATTTTCTAGAAAAGCCACCTTATGAGAGAAAAGCTAGGCATCTGTTGCTTCCCATTAAATACCCTGTTATAAAGTAATATAATCAGGCTGTGTGAAGAGCAAAAAGCAGGTTCTTGACCAACCTAGCACCTTAAACTTTTAAGGCACTTAACTGAACATCATCAAATATCATTAATGACCAAATCTGGTTCTACACGTTTAGTTTTTTAGACAGCAAAAACACGCTAGGCACTCTATCAAACATGCTCCTAGAACTTTCTAGGCACGTGTGGAGGTGCTCAAGCACCTCTCCTTGCAAGGCCTGAATAAAATATAAATTGAGAATTACTGAGTGGTCAAGCCCCTGGCTTACAATAGCCTTGGCTTATCTCAGGGAAAACTGCTAGAGGGCGCCTTTTGAGAAATAAGACACAGTATCAGTATCGTTCTACCACACTCCAATAAACCATAGTCTAGGGATGCGAAATTTCATACTTTTTGCTTTCCAAAAAAATCTGCACTGTTCATTCCAGATTCATTTTGAAGCTTGAAGTCACTGTCAACAGGCATGTACTTCTTGGCAGTGTTTAAGTTTCATTTTCCAATTTCCAAAAAAGTAGAAAAAAATTTGCAAGCATTTTCAAAACTTAGTTTTTGAATTTTCAAAACACTCATAGTTACATCTCAAGGCCTAAAGAATTTTTATAGCTGATGTTTTTTGAATTTTTTGGTGTGCATAAAAGGCTTCCAAACACTTAAGCAATATCTTGCCAAAATTTCATGGAAATAGATGCCATACTTGTTTAATGACAAAAGATTTAAAAAGTTTTTCAAAAGTCTTTATTCGTAGTAAAATTTGATTCATAAAATGTATGCAAAACTTCAAAGTTGTTCCCATACCTTCTTGATGCAAGAGTACTTAACGGTAACAACTGATATGATTAGTTGACAGATAGAAGGAAAAAACTGTAGATAAAATTGAAGTTATGTGCCCAGATCTCATGAAAAGAGCACAAATTTAAAAAAATTGGTTTGATACTAGAGCGGCACGAATGAAAACGCATTATAATTTGAAAGCAGAAGAAAAGAAAGAAAGAAATAATAATAATGCAGGCCTTCCTGGGAAAAATTAGCACAGGTGTGGCATTGTGCACCCCTAGACTGTTGTCGGCATGTGATGGAGTGCTATTGGTGTTTTCTATAAAGGTTTCATAACAAAGTATATGGAGCTTTAAAAAACCCCAATTCTTAAGTTATTTCTTTAGTTCACATACACAAGAATAAATATTTTTAGCGGCAGTGGGATCTTTACTAAGTCTAAATCAATGTTGAAAATATTTTAGATGCAGTTTCCGGGCAAACACTCTTGCCACGAACCATGGTGGCAGCCTTCATGAAACCCTTTAAAAATGTTTATATTTTTGCCCCCACTTGCAATCGTGTTTCATCAAAAGGGATATGAAAACAATTTTGATTTGAAAATGGCTCCATTTGAAAAAGGCACAATTTGAAAACGGCACAAAACATTTCAGTGCAAACTCTTGAACCAGAATAGTTATATTGCAAATTTCTCTCTCTTTGAAACCAGATCCTTGTTGTTCTGTTTCCAAGTGCAACCCTTGAACATTTAATGCATTGATCGGAACCTGCTGTTTTAAAAAACAATCAGTTTTCATATGAAAACAAAACAAAAAAAAATAATTTGTGGTAGGTGAAAACAGTACCCCGAAAACAGGACATCTTGGTGACCAACATACCAGACTGCATAACCCCCTCTGGGGAGGGTTGTTTAATGTTGCGTGGTGCATCACTTACATTTAACTCAGCTGGCGATAGAAACTGGACACTGAAATCACTGGTGTGAACTTATAGCGTACAGAAAGAGAGCTTTCCAGCATGGGTCATCGGCAAAAGCTTTCACATAAAACCTCTGCAGCTCCTTAGAATGATGGATGCCTGATGATTTGGTTATGATATTTTACACACAATGTGCACCAAATCTTTGTTACATACAGTAAATCCTTGAATTAGCCCCCTGGGGGCTTATTTATTTTTGAAATTTTTGGACAGGGGCTTTTTTGAGAGGGGGGGAGCTTATAAAATTATTGTAGACAATAGAAAGGCATTATTAAAAGACCTTGTTTATTTTAGTAGAAATTTCTTTATGAGCATTTAATTAATTACTACCAAAAGTATGAATTTGTTGTGGTAATTCAATAAAACCTCATATATCACCATAGGCAACCTCAGATGGCAAAAACCGTCAAATTGAGGGGTCCAATTTGAGAATATATGGTAGCAGTGGGGGCTTATTCAAGGGGGAGCTCATTGACAATTTGTTGTTCTAAGGTGGGGGCTTTTTCACGGGAAGGCCAATTCAAGAATTTACGGTATTGCTTATTGTTATGGGCCTAAATAGGATAGCCTATAATGTCACCCTTGCCTCATTCAGGAGCATGGAGAGCTCTTTTGTGACTCCTTTACTTTTCTCTTCCAAAAAAGCCAAATTTAAGAATGTAGATCAAAAGAAATATGGCACAAGCAGGCCTGGCCGTAAGACTTTTTACAGGAGAGCAGTAAACAGCTCTCCTAGTAGTATTCAGGTGAGCTATAAGAATAGAAACAAAGGAAAAATTGATTTCAAGGAGAGCTAGTTTGCTTTTTAGAACAATTTAGGAGAGCAATCTGTAGCTCCCCTCCAGCGTTTGAGGAGAGCCTGGAGGGGAGCTAGAGCTACGGCTCTCCTCAAATGGCCAGGCCTGCACAAGTTGTGCCTTGTTCAAAGTCTAGTCAAAACTGGAAGCCATTTGTATAGAAATTCAACTTGATTTACCATTCGCAAATGGTATTTTAGAAACATGTGCATGCTAACACAGGTATATGGTAAAAACACAAGTTAGTTTCTTTTAGCACTTGACTAGAAAATAAAAGCAAATTGTCATATAATAATTGTTTTTGCAGCCCTAGAGGTAAGAATGAAATTTATCAGAATTGCTACTAGCCTTGATGCTATGGTAATTTGGTCCGTGTTTTATTTCATATGAGTGTCATCACAATAGCTCTTCAAAATGATTACGGTGAACCACTGATAAATGATTAGATTGAACATTTACATGTTAAATGAGAAGCTGCAATTTTGTTTGTCGCCAAGACCAAATCAAAGAAGGGACTGAAAATTAAAGGGAATATTGAGAGGGCATTGTGGTAATGGATTGATCAGTGGCATTTATGAAATAATGCATATGATTTATAAAAAACTATTGGCGGCGAAAAGGATGACTAATAGTTTCTATTATGCATTGAATCATACAACTTTTTGGCGTAAGCATTAAGATATAGAACATTCGGCACAGCTTAATAATTTACAAGCCAACATCCAGCGGGAGGTCTACATGGATTCCACCCTGGGGGTTGGTAGAGAATTAACCTGGATTCAGGGGTGTCACATGTCTGGTATCACCTGAAGAAGACAGATTGATCAGACTTTCTTTGAATGAATTCTTGAAAAGTACTTTACATAAAATAAGTTTCACTGCTCTCACTGCAACTGTGGAGGAAAAAATGAAGGGTATTGGTTGTTATTCGCTGAATTCATCTTGCATATCCCTCCATCAAACGTATTATTTAAACTGCAAACAATTTAATGTTCAAATGAGTCTCTCGGAATATTATGCTTGGCAAAAGGACTTCAAACAGCACTTGACAGTCGATTCAGGTGCAGGCCTAGGCCGCCAGTTTAGGCCCCAAGGGTACGACGAGTATTGGGTTGAGGAATATTACCAAATAAAGCTAACAAAGAATCAGTACTTACATTCCATATTACCAGAAATATTAGAGCAATTGATGCCAGCAAAGCAAAGATAAAGCACAACACCTCGTAAGACATCATGCAAGAAGTATAGATAGAACACCTTGCTCAAAGAGAGGAGACGCGTTGCAGATGCCTCGCAGCGGCAGAGGTGTCCGTTGTTTTTAGGGCTGCTTTGACCACAGAAAAAAATTTCTGCTAAGATAATTTGTTCGGCCCTTCTAGCCCAAAGGATGTCTTTTCAAGTTTTCGCTCATTTTCTTTGTTAAAAATTTCTTGAGGCTATTTTCTTTGTTAAAGATTTATTGGGGTTAAGCAGGCAAAAAACTAACGAGGATAAAAGAGGGATTCTAGGTTCATGGCCTCGAGAAAAATGTGACCGATCTCTTTAGTGGAAATAATATTGTTATATAGTTAGAAATTCATTTTTTTCGATTGAAATCTCGCTGCAGAAGTGAATTGTCCCTCGTATCACGCCTTTCAGACAGACGAGAATTGTGGGAAGCACCCTTTTTGGCACTTTTTTGAAATAAAATTTTTGGCACTTTTTGGCACTCACCTATTTCGAAATAAAAAGCAGCCAACAGGATAAATTTTTGCAGCGCTAGACGTTTTTGCAAAAATATAGTTAGAATAGATAGATAATACATAAGAAACACACCATACTTTTATTAACGAAGAAAAAAGATATATATATATATATATATGTTTATATGAATTCAAGCTCTGTTTTAAAACTTACAAAAAAAACTCATATTTCAAATTGAATTACACTTAATGCAAAATATTCATTTTATTGAACAATTAAATTAAAAAAAGATTAACTGCAATAAGATTTGAGGTATCAGCAAATGAATCAGAAAGTGGAAAAAAGAAAGTATAAATGTATCCTTTGCGACCTTTGGTGACAATCTTTTGTGATGTCTGATTCGACGATTAATAAATGTTAATCATATTACCTTGCTATTATCATTTTATCTTTCATGTTGTTAGTCTTTTACAGCTATCCAGTATACTTATTTACACCAACAATTGTACACCAAGTTTAAATGAAGAAAGAAAAAATGATGTTGTGACTGGCGTTTCGTTTGTAACGTAGTACACCTATCTTTTTAATTAGAAACTAATTTCCGTGAGTGGTAGAAAGTTTCTTAAATTTTCAGGCCATTTTGCTACCAATAGTTTCTTACGTGTTTCTTGAGGTCTTTTGATAATGAGTTTCTTAAACATCTTTCGAAGATACAACAAATAGTTTAATCTAAAGGCAAGTATTAATAGAACTCATAATCAGAGATAAATGGTATTTAATGTGGTAATTCGAATAATGATAAACATAAACAGTACTTGATTGTTATCATGAAGTCAAAGCAAGTTTTTTGAATGGAAACTTCTTGCGTGTGCGGTTTACTGAAAATGAATCAAATATGCACGTCAAGTGTAGTGTTGCGATAAACCGTAGTGTTCAATGTCGAAACTGTTAGGGTGCAAATTAAAATTGAAGCTGCAAATTACAAAAGTTAATTAGCTTTTTCAATTAAGGTTTGTTCCTAAACTTGCGAAAAATTGAGCCTACCGTTTCGTACAGGCTGTTTCTTACACAAAAGTACGTGTATGCAGTTGTATTGATTGGTTTTTATAAGTTACATGAATGCCAGACAAGTTTTCCATTTCTAGTTGTTTGAGAAGGTTCTAAAAGAATGCCAAGCTCGATTTTGTTAATGATTTTTTAAACCATGGAAATCAGCCTTCTCATATGGTTTTTACCAGCTTTCCGAAAGTAAGAAAATTGACCTTCCTGTCTACCCCATGGCCTTCCTGTCTACCCCTTAGGATAGGTAACAAGTCCTTACAAGACGTATTCATCCTAACGGCACTGCCACATGGAGACATACTGAGTTGTGAGGAATGTGAGAATATGCATCATTTTCAGATATGTCGAAAATGAAACATATTCCTTTTTTCAGAAAGTGACAAACAGCTTTCCTATGGACAGTAAGTTGAATGCTTACATTAATTTTCATGCAAATTTAGTTTGCACAAATCTTCTTAGTGAAATCTCAGATCAACAAGCTTAATAGCTTCGATCAATACGAATTCTTTTCAAACTTTTGAACTTCATAACTTCTTATCCTTCAACTTCTGATTCTATTATGGCGACCTTGTTATGAATTCAATATAATTGTAAACTTTTTGCATTTTTGTTGAAATTGCCGACAGGTTAAGAGAAACAAAGAATAAGTCACATACATTCTTTGCATAATACAATTAAACACATTATACATGATGCACACCGCAGAGGCGCAACAAAAGGGTGGAAAGCCCGGGTAAGCGCCAGGTGCCTCAAATGTTTCTAAAAATGGGGCTCACTGGTCTGATTTTTGCATATTGATTCTTTTACTTGAGTTTTCTTTTTCTTTTTGAATAGGAATTTTTAAGATGCCCGTAGTGAAAATTCAAAGATTTTTTTAAATCTAGAGTAAATAAAGGTAGTTCTTAAGCAGAATTCTGCAGCTTGTTTTATTTTTATCACTTTCAGCAACTGTTGCTTCTGCAGAACGTTCTTTTTCAAAACTAGATTAAAGCTAATAGAGAATGTTTAATATTCAATATAAGGCAAAAACCTCTCTCAGGCATGGTACTGCTGTCTTTTAACAAAAATGATCCAAAAAGCTCAATGAAGCTATTTCTATTGATATTTTTCAAGGACGAAGCCAGAGAAAAATTAAATTTGATCAAGTGAAGTTGGGAGGCCTAAGCTGGCCAAACTGATACTCATGTAACTTGTATGTGACATTCAATGTTCGGTATTTCTTAAAACTGCATATAACTAAAGTTTGGTTGTATATTACATAATGTAAAAAGAAATGCGATACAAATATATTGGTTTGCACTTATAGTTTGGTTATGTTTTATATATTGGTTAAGCGCTTTTGGTTATGTTTTAATGGATAAATTTAATTCATGTAAACAGAGAGCAAACTTCAACACGATTTTAAGTGGGTAGCTACTTTCCTTGAGGAATGCATTTTATAAGCAAGTAGATGAAAAGCTTTCATTACGAAGTCATCCAATTAGAGAGGTTGATCTTTCGTTTCTCAGCAGGCCCTGATTGCTTGTTGCCAAACTGGCTCACTGGACATCATTTGTTACAGTATATACTCAAGTTTAGTGGAACGTAGCGTAGGCCTTTGATTGAAGCAAAATTTAAAGAATGCAAGTGCACGCATCTTACAGTGAGTCATTAGAACAGAGCTTTTACATGATATGCAGTTGAAGAAGGTGCACCAAGAAGCACTCACTGACCTGTTTCAATGAATGGTACCTATATATGCAAGGAAGCGTTTTAACATTCGAAAAGTTTTAGGGTCCCACGCCCTAATTCTACATCTTAATTTTCGGACAGTAGAGAGGACCATAAGAAGACACAATGATTGATTTAATCTGAATGCATAATACGTATATACAGGTCCTTCACAGTGCTAATTCGATAGCACCGTTCAAAGATAAAGGATTAATATGTTGTAGATAAGTATAATTCCTTAAACTCAAGTGTTCTTGTTGAAAGGTGAATCTGTACGACCGACAATCAGATCATGAAGTATCTGTAAACATAGAAATCGCATATAAGCGAACTTTTAAAAGTGCCTACGCACAATTAAACATTTATTGAACGGTTTGGTGATGAACATAAGCCATTCTAATACTGCAGACGTTGATTGATTTTACTTAACTCTACATAAACATAAATATCAATCAATATTAATAATTAACCAAGGACGCATAAAAATGCGTGTTCATCTTGCCAACTTATTAGAAACGTCAACGTTCTTCTTGTACGTCTATGTTAAGGCCTTTGAAAAGACATCCACAAGCCTGTGCGCACACTCTAAACTTCTAGTAAGAGTCCTTAGAGTTTGCGCGCAGGCTAAAATCAACCGCCTCATCGTATATTAGAAGACTCATTACAGTGAGAGCCAGGCTATAAGCAAAGAATTATGCTATAACATTTGAACTCAATCGCTCTATCTAGTCAATTGGAGCAGATGAAGTCTGCTCTAAAGATGCGCCACCAAAAGTAAACAGATGACTCTTAAGGTGACTTATAACAGCAAGACTAATTTCGGGAAGCTTGCAATTAGTTTCTAAGCTACGCCTCTTTTGTATTACCCTCTCGTTTTCTTTTTATTTAGCAGAAAATCTGTTCAAACACTGTTGCTATTAAAGTTTTTTTAAATGCTGCTTAGGAACGTCCAGTGATCTTTCGAGAAATTTGATTAAGTGCATAAAAACATCATTTCGGTGAAGCAATGAAGACTGGTGGCAATGTATTGCTATTACACATTACATAGCATAGTTGGAAGACATAACCACTTTCTACTAAGAACAATAAATGATTTATACTTTGAGAGGAGTTGTGTCATAACTTAGATCAAAGTCAATACTGATTTTGAAGCTCTAAAGCGTACTGCAAGCTTAGATTTTTCAAAAAAGCCAATAATTAAAAGTAAAACACATAACAGTAAATCCTCACAGAAAGCCAAAAAAGAAACATTGTTAATATTTGTTCCAGGTTACCAAACAAAAACCATTAACAAGTAAGGGTAAGATGGTCCTCAGAATATTTTACCAATGGTGACGTTCTCTCATCATTTGGACCATTTTTTTGTCTGTCGATGCGCCAATCACAAAGACGGCCATAAATAAAACCCCAACCGTTTTTGTGGGGGTTGAGAAGAAGAACAATGGCCTTTTCCCGCCGACTAGCAACACCTTGTTCATGCAAAAGTTGCAAGCCATACGGCCATTAACTAATGCACAAAGAGAAGAAAGAGAAAGTTAACATGCCTCCAATTACCTGAAAATACCTAGACATGGATTGGGTGGGCAGGGTCGCAATGGAAGAACCTTCCCTCTCTAAGTCCAACTTCAAGTTGTCTTGTAGCGTATGAGAATGAAACTATGCCAACACAAAGTTTATATGCCCAGGGCCAATGCACATTTGCACACTTGTTGCTTTAGCCTTATAAAAAACACAATGTAATGCTAGCTTGAGCACTGCTACAATAAACACAAAACTCCACAATTGTGCAATCTGTTTCCGAAAACAAAGCCCAAGGGGCACCTAAAAGGCGTACCCTGTCACATATCAAACGTAAAGA